GTATGGATTACGATTAGCTATGTGTCCAAGCAAGGCTAGTTGCAACTACACAACGTAAGTTGGATGTCGTTGAAAGGTCATGTCAGAGCCTCAATCTCCACTAGTTTCCTGTTAGACGGTTTAAACCCACCAGAATGGCAAGTCACAAGGTCACAAGGCAAACTCCAAGCTCGGAAAATCCGGCACACTACCCGACCTGGAATCTAAATCTGGTGAGTATCGTGGCTCCCTCGCTTCATTGTACCCACCTATATGCATGTTCGCGCTGCCAGCAAATCGGCTGCCAAGCGTAAAAAAAGAAATCAAACATCGTTGTCCTGCAAGTTCACCTAGTTTACCCCCTAGGGGCTATCCTGTGTAACGATGAGACGACTATTAGACCATAACATGCAAATTTTCTTGTTAAATCTACGCTTGGGCCGACTAGTTCAGTTGGGATTTAAAAAGTGTCTTCAAACTGCGAGACACACACTCGGTTAGATGTGGTATACCTGTAGATATGGATCCGTACCTAAGTGTGTTTTACCCCAACCTGCCTTAAGTAGATAGCCAAGGTCTAAGAAATCACAAGGTAGCAAAATCAGTAATACCTTTTATACATATGATCTAATATCTCAGCTATTGTAATTAGCGCCCTCTAAAATAGGAAAGATACAGTAGTACAGCCACATATGAATTATAGAAATAATGCATCTCCGTTTTATTTACAGTTGGAGTTATCTCTTAGAATCAAGATATGGCGATACTATAATCCCCGATGAATATCTTTGCGCGACATATTGCACATTATTTACAGATTGACCTTGGCAAATACTATTTACATCTTCTATCAGGAAGGTTTGTAATCCTTAAGTGAGCAGGAGTTCTTGGAATGACATGTAATAAGCCCGGGAGCCCCTAAGTCACTCACTGGCTACCGACATCACAGCTGACAGAATGACAAAATGTTGTGTTACCGACAGTCTGGCGGCATTATATATCAAGTGCATAGAGACCTATAATAAGATGGAATGTCCGAAACACCGGATACAATAAGCCAACTGCGGTTTTAGATGTAAACTCCAACCTCTTGTCCGCCGATGCTGAGATCAGCTACTCGGTGGTCAACACCGCTTGCAAATTGTACGCCGTTCGGAGGGAGATAAGGGGCAGTTCTCACAAATATCTCATTGTAAAGAATTCGATGCTACTCACCGACTCTTATTCTATCACCGCATTAGAAGCGTACTGCAGGTCATCATTACACTACCAGTGGTCATCCGTTTGTTGTTGACGTAGCCGCAGACTTCTAGACGCGCCACTGCTTAGGCGGCTACCCTAGCTTCTACGATGATTCTGTATCGGGATAAGACGGGACGGAAAGGACACACTAATTTACCCTAATTGGTGTTCTTTGGAAGAAATATGTTTCTAGAACGATGTGACAGATTCTGCTGTGTTACTCGTGGCTGCATGACTCCTTTCCGGAAAGTATTGTCGGGCCACATAACCGCCACAGAAGGGTTCAATGAACCACAATACTCACTAGCAGGTATCCAGTTACTCGCTCGTAAAGCTAGCTCGTAGGGTTGTTTCGCAGCTTTCCATACGCTACCCACTGGCGATCTGTGGACTGTTTCCGGAAACCCTCTTGGGGATATTATACCGGAATCCACGGCAAAAACGTACCATGGGATTGTTTGCTAATCGTTCAGCTCGAGTGGCGGAACCAACTTCGAGAGTAGATCGATGCTAATAGTAAGCCACGAATACCCGCTACGACTATGGCGTACGTTACGAGAGGTTAGTGGTTGATTATGGCCCAACGAGTGCTCCAGAAAACTTCCGCTGCACTACGAGAACAGCGACGCCCATGGCCTGGGCCCGGACTGGGTCCAATCCCGACCCGCTCTTAAAGTATCTGTCCTAATCATCGTGTAAAGTGCGGTAACACTAGGATACCGACAACCCCGAACCTCTCACGATAGTCCGGTAGGTAAGGATAGGTTAATAGTTGAGGGAAGACTACGGATTACTCTCCGCGATGTGATATTTTGCTACGATTAACGCCATATAATCTCGCTAAAGGCGGCGACCGGAATATGAATGGCATGTTTTAACCTCGTTAGGGATGGTAGATATGCCATCTGCCGGCGGGAGGGGCTTATATTGATTCTCGATGACACCCCACGACACAGTTCTAGGCGATATCCAGAGGTCAATCCTCATTAAACATCGGGGAATTTAGTACCAAGAACCCCAATCGTGGGTACTCATATCTCTTCTTCGAAATTTGACTTGTCGGGAGCAATGGGTTGAATAGCTAAGGTAATGTCTGGAACGGCCAGGCTACCCCTTTTCTAGAAGGGTAACACGACGAACACAAATGTTGGGCGTAACACAGACACATTTAGTTATGCCTAAATACCATCTCGACTATCCGTGTCACACCTGTGAAACAAGATGTGTTACCAGCGAATAGATGGCAATGCTTATGGGGAAAAGTAGATTGGCATCACTATGGAAGACCTAGAGTAACAGTAGCCCCTTAGTGGGGATATCTTACGGTCTCTCTATCGTAAATTAGAACACCTTTAGTTAGGTTAATTAAACCTCTATCGTACCTCTTCACGTCGACTTTAACTTCTACTCACTCGTATGCGATACGAAAAGTAACACGGCCAAGACAAGCCTCGAGATGCTAACTCCCGACGGAAGGTGGGATTCCCTTCTTGATGCCCAGCCTAGTCGATCTATTACATATATCTGCTCATATCAAAATGACCATGAGCTGTAAAGCTCCAGAATGAGTACCACCCCAAGTTAGCTAGTAGTCGGGACCGTACGAACTCGAATCACGAACACCCCTTACTTACACGACCAAATATACAACATATATGTGTGTAGGTATGTATGTGCACACTAAGCACAGGCAATATAGCTACGCTGAACTACTCTAGTTCGCATATACCTTCTCCCATTAACTATGTTTGCGACTCCAAGTTGTTCAATGCTCCAGAGACATTCACTTCCGTGTGGCAACGTCCCTCTGATAGCTTTAGACGATGATGCTTTCATCTCCGAGGGCTGTAATATCCAAATTCCAAATATCGACGATATTCAATAGCGTCAGCATTGGCTTTTTGCCGCATTGTGGCATTGAAAAAAAAAAATCAAGCTCGAAGGAAAATGGTAATACTACAGTAACCCAGTTGTAACCCCTATTATCCCTTACCGTGGGTTAGGCACTCTGGGTTCATCCCATCACTCACTACTCAACAATCTAAATCCTTACTCAAATGGGGTCACTCGACTAAAGTGAATGTTCATAGATAAGTAAGATACAAATAAGATATAGATATTTATGTTACTGTACATTATCTTGAATCTGCTTATGGCTGATTGAGAATACTAGCTACTGAGATTTGGCGCTAGGAGAGAAGGGCTAAATCTCACTAAAGATTCACAGTGTCTTATTCACAGAACATCGGAAAGACTGTATATGATTCAAGAGGGCAATTGACATATAACCATGTATGGATATTGATTCATAGACTGCATTTAAACTATGGTCTTAGCCTAGGCGCATTTTTCCAGAGGGGGGAAGTTTATCGCCTCTATGAGATTGCACCTGTATTCCGCATGACTAGAGACTTCAGACACAGCTTAATAAATCCACCCCGGACCCGTCGGAGCCTTAAAACACTAGCATATGAGTAATTCAATAAATGAGTCCATGAGTAGAAGCTCCTGTTAGACTAACAAAGAGCTTTATATATCTATTCACAAGCTAATAGTCCACAGGGATTGTTGCCTCCTATCTAGGTATATCGCCGTAGTTAGATCTATATTCAAGCTACGCCATCATTATACAGACTTAACGGCTATGTACGCAGTTCGGTATCCCGTAGCGTATGGCCCGATAATCCGGATCATACGCCGAACCATGCTCACGTGGCGGATCTTCAACGCGAGCCGGAACTCAATCGGAGCTCGATCGGGGAGCCGCGTACTTCGGATCAAACTAGATAGCTAGGGCTGACGATGTCCGGGGTAGACTGAGTATACTAACACTATCGCCTGTCTTAACTGACTAGGATAGTGTCGTCATCATAAGGTATAAGTATACGAAGGGGGTATAGAATAACTCGTCAGCTCCTCCAGGCTCCAGCTATTCGGGTTCCGACAGCCAATCAAGAGTATAGCGATATATTGAATTCGCAATCCGACCCATGGGACTACGTATAAGTTAAAAGCCAGTAGCTGACGTATCACTAGGGAATGGGAAGCGGGGAATCGCACGTAGGACTTTTAAAGAGCAGGGGGAGGAAGAAGCATAGCAGCGGGGTATTTGCTAGTAGTATTGAGGTATTGCGGTATGCGGTATGGCGTAGTATTATACCATTATACCTAGATATACAGATTACAGTCCGAGTTAGACTACTTTAAACAAACCAATAACACAACTCCAATGCCAACATTTCTTCTATCTAACTTCCCTTTTTGCAACACCCTACTGCAGCTACGTCCTCGATAACCCTATAATATGGCTTCACCTCCGCTCCGCCCTACGGCTCAATAGAGCACGTTTATACTGCGTAACGTGCGTAGATTGCAGATAGGGCTTACGCAGCCTTCTTGACTACAATTGGGTTAGATATGCGTTGCCAGTTAGTGATCCGAGTCCATCCTAGGTAAGTGAGGTGCCGAGGATCGCATATATATAGTCTCAACAATTATCCTGGTGTTAGTCACAGCCTTACCGTGCCGTAATCAAAACCACCACGTTCTGTGATATTCCTTAACATCACCCCACACGAGATGGAATCATTTTACATCTTATTCTAGAGGAAAGAAACCAGCCCTATAATTTAATTATTCTCTGTAATTATCCACTAGCTTGTTACGTCTTAATTTTGCCGGTGCGGTAAGACACAGACGAGCGTTTCGAGTGTAACAAAACAGCTTGGCGATAGTTTCATTCTCCGCCAAGACCGTTTCAACGACGAACCGAAGAAACCATGCCTTACGCCGATAACTTGTACTCTATGGGTGATGAATCAGATGGCGAGGACTACGCAGATCAATTATCGCCTTCGGATGGTTACTTCGCCTCATCTTCCTCGTCCCATGCTGTTCCAAACGTACCAAACGTCTTAGTTCCCGACCCCACGCTCCAGCAGACATCTGAGTCTGGCGCTGAATCAAAAGCAAGAGAGGCAGAAGAAGAAAGGTCATCATCAAATACTCAGAGAATAGAAGACTCTTATCATAATTACAACCATAATATTACAAGAACGGGCACTACCGAACAAGCTAGTCAGTCGGAGCAATATCCTACTAGTTCGACCGCACCACGTCAACAACAATCCAATTCCGCGTTTGCGCATACGTACTCTCCCTCGTCATCATCATACACCCCTCTCAGAATATATCCAACACGAGGACGGACTCCTTCCGTATATTCGGACGCTCCACCGGCGTATTCACCATCGCCAATCTCCCCTCTCTCGTCCACCAACCAACAACGCCAATCTAGAAGCTACAACACATTTACCCCTACCATGGGTGTGCAGGAAATCATCGAGAACGAGCGGCTGCTAGCCAGAGGTCCCGAGAGCATCGGCCAACCAATCGACGAAGAACTTGGTAACACACCGCACTGGACTCGACGAGTCAGGAGACGGCTGCCTACGTGGCTCGGTTGGAGGACCCTAGTGCTTGGCTTGATCGTACTGGTTGTCTCGATCGGATTTCTAGCAAATTCTGTACGGATTATAAAAGAAGATGATCATGTAAGCCGGACTATCTAACTTCATCTTTTTTCTTGGCATCGGTCGGAACCTGTCGCTAATATGGTTACGCAGAGGAAAACTATTGGGGCGCAGCCCGTCCAAGGATCACCGCCCGAGTCCGTAAAGGAACCCGTGTCTGGACCCGGACCCGATGCGCCTGGGGTCGCCGGTCCTTTCCCGCCAACATATTGCGATAATGCAGTGCATCGCTTCGAGGATCAGATCTTAGGCCTCAACTTTGATAGGAACCACAATATTACTTTCATAGAGGATCAGCACGCACACTCCGGAAATACCCAGGTGCGCGTTGCCGGTCAAGTCAATGTACGAAGGCTTGATGCCGGAGGTAGCCCGCGCTTGGTACTGGAGATCGCCACTAATGACAAGGGTGTCCTACTCGACGTCTTCGTAGACGAAGAAGCCCAGGCCTTGAAGGTGAGCGTACCTAAGAAGTACAACTCCCTAAACCCGAACATCTGGCCCTGCGTCGAAATGCGAGCGACCATCTGGGTGCCCGAAAACGCCGAGATAGGAGTGCTGTCACTGGGCTCAATCCATCTTGATATGTTATTTTTAGACGATCTATCTCTCCACGTGGCGGGTTACACTAGGGCTTCTTCGATCGTAGGGGATATCACATCCGGTTCGGACCACCCTACCTCGTACAACAACACTGGCTTTATGCTATCGGCTCCGGAGTACACTTTCATCCCTGCTAAAGATTCGTACGTGCTTGACTCTCGTATTATCGAGATCACGACCACGTCGGGTAAGATCGAAGGCAACTGGCCTCTTTACGATATGCTAGGGTTGCACACGACCTCCGGCCACATCACAGTGTCGATCACGCCCAAGGAAGAACTCGAAACGGACCCGAAGGCTGCTGTCCTATCCTTGAGCTCGATATCCGGCACTGTCTATGCCACAGAGCCGGTGCATTTGAGAGAGCAAATCCCGCTTCGCGACTATCTTGTAGATATCAAGTCGACTTCCGGAGGTATCCATGGTGCCTTCGCATTTGGCGCTGGCATCGAACTCAAGAGTACTGCTAGCGACATTGCTCTTGATTTACTTCCTGTGATGAACGAAGACAGGGTATCACCGGATCAACCCGCTCAGCTGGAGACAGCAACGACGAGTGGCACTACAGCCATACGCGTGCTTGAGCCGGTTTGGTACGGAGACAGGGGATTGGTTAGCGGCAGGCCGCTTGACTGCCTACAAGCGCTTCACAAGTCCACTAGCGGTGACATTGGACTACGATATCCGCAGGCATGGGAGGGATACTTAAGCGCCGAGACAACGAGTGGCAGGCTAAAGGTCAAAGGAAGGGATGTCAAGATCATTAGGTCTATTGGAGGTTGGCCGGGATCCAAGCTGGAAGCCCAGAAGGGCGCAGGTGGTCCCGGTTCGACGGTCCAGGTCCACGCCCTTATGGGTAATATGGACACTGTCATTGGCAGGGAATAATGAACGAATGAGCGTATGGATATAATGCGTCTAAGGAGAGGGAGTTGAACGGATTATGGATTAAAGCATTTAGTCTGGCTTTACGTCAGGTAGGAAATAGGGATACCCTCGCATTCGTTAATTATTTGGAATGTGCAAACGGCGTTGTGGTTTTCGAGCATAGGTTTGGTGCCTGGGTTGGTTTTTTTTTTAAAAATTTGTTCATTTTGTTATTATTCAACAAGTAAATACCAATATGATATCTCTGATTACTATATACTATATTCTTGTCTTTTAGCTCACTTTCGGTATAAACTCTTGGTAAGCTACAAGGTCGTTCTGGCTTGGGAAGAGCACTTGCTAATATCTGTATCTAAAATAACGTATAGTAGGAACCTGCGAGGCTTCCGTAACTTGTCTATACCTTCTTAAATCAGGAGACAGGTGCAATTGTGTAATATGTAAGGTATCTAAAGCAGTCCTCCTTATGGGTTCTATTTTTCTAACTATACCAACTTTTACGAACTACCTATTTCGCTTTTAGAAATCAGCATTCTATAAAGTACAATTCTTCCCAGTCAGTCGTTAGATATAAAAGAAGGAATGTTAGCATACTCATATTGATATCCAATCCCAACGATTTTTACCAACACACCACTCGCTTTCAATCGAACACAGCAAGATGTGCTGGTTACATAGAACCCGCACACTTTGCGTAAACTGCAGAAACATTACGACGAGCCATGATAAGATCGAGTATTGCCTCGCGCGTAACGAATGTGAAGAAATAGACTGCATCGTCACCAGGTTGGAATCATACGAATGCTTCATTTGTACTAGAGTGTACCCCCTACCACAGAGTGATGTACAAGACGTATTGATGGAAGACGTCGACGTAGAGGAAATCGACTTAGACGAGACGTCCTGCATTATCACGAGAAGGTCAAGGTCAAGGTCAAGTACGGTCCAACCAATACCTACAAGACCCAACTCCAGGAACTATGCTCCAGTAGAGGCCCTGGGTCGACAATTGACTTTGGGAAACGAGATAGAAAGGGCAAGCCGCTCACCCGTACGTCTATTAGACAGGCGCAGGATGCGTAGAGAAAGACACGGTTATAATACATCGATAGGCCGAGTAGTTTCACGCCAACGGCGTTACACCCAGCGTAGCACAAGGACTAGATATCCCAGGTCTCTAAGAAATACCGTTAGGGCCGGTATAGGGGGATCAGATCTCGAACCTAGCGCGCCTGAATCACAATATCACCCAGTAGGTCTTCGAAGTAGAGGGAATACCTCCCATGGACCTACAAGGAGAATACATCAAATTGAAGACATCCCGGGAGACCAAGCGAACATGCAAGAAAGAGAAGTCATAAGGTACGATCAACGTAATGGTAGGGACTTACACGACGACCGGGGTATGGATCATCCGGACAGTATGATCCAAGGACTTAGTATTCACCTGCCTCACGAAAGGATGGCTCAATCTCCGTGTCGATATCATAGTATGGAGGCTCGCGGACGGTGTCGCCTTTGTGGTTCTTCGATGAACAGAAGATTAGGAGGACCCCGATGCCCTAATGGTGATAGAAATGCCCATAACTTGAATCTCGATTGAAACCCTGGGCTAGGAGTTGGCGTTGATAATACGTTATGGTATAAATAGGGGTAACGAGATTTGGAGAGGTGTCAAGGATAAAAGGTCGACCATGGAATCAGTGGTTCAAAGTATTGCTCTGAAGCGTGTTCTAGAGTATGGTTTGGTCGTTGTATTGTATACCTTCATAGCGTCTAGGTAGTCATATATATCTTCTATAGTATCAAAAGGTATGATACGGAAACTTTTGAATGACTCTAGGCTCTAACATAACAAGTTTTCAACCATGTATGATTATAGGTAACGAGCAAAGCATAAAAAATGTAGTTTTTATTGAGCAGATATTCCATAGGAAAGGAAAGGGGAGGGGTTCGTGAGATGGGATGAGCGCAATCAGCAATGAAGGGCTCCAAAAGAATCTCGTCATAACTGCTTATACCACCTAGTCAATAGCTGGAATATGAGTTGTTGATGATTATTATGGAATATAACCCTTACAGCGTGATATCAGGTAACAGATACAACCAATCTTGACCATGAGCGGCTTCACATCAGAGCAAACAACTGACGAACAACCTGGCATAATAGTCACTGCCTCGTGGTCTCAAGTAACTGTTTCTATAGTTTGTCTGGTTTAAAACATCTAATATTAGAGCATCAAAGGAGTAATACCTTTGTGATACTACTATCAATAGCCTTCTATCTCATCTCTTTATATATGACGCTTCGCCCTTTCACTGCAGAATGTTGTAGTACAAAAAAGCCCAGAATAGCCAACTCGCCCTCCAGACAATGTGGAAATGTCTTTGTACTCTACTTGGGGGACTTTACTTATCCTATTCACTATGTATTACGCACAATAGGTACCATCTGGTTACAATGATGACGAAGTAGACGACGCGACCAACTCAAGAGACTTGCCTAAAATTTGTGAGTGCACACAAATCGCATTCAACCCACGTCGTCGCCTTCACCATTTTTACCCACAGTACAGTTTTTCATTGACACAAATCGGCATCGATTGCCTTATTTAAATCATTCGTTTCGCCGATGCTATCCAAACAGTTTAGGCAACCAAACCCCCTCCACTTCCGACCGCGTACTCGTCTATCGCATCGTCGACATCTCGTAATATTTCCTGCAGTCAAGCGTCGTACCACTACCGCAAGTCATTTCCTGCACTCGAGTTACACCTAGGAACCATGTGCATCGAGATCTGGAACACCTTCCGGGGATGCAACCACCGATTATACCAGAACACATCCCCCTGCCACGTTGCCAGGAGATGCGGTCCTAAAGATGACATGGTTCTAGACAAGACCAAGTTCCTACCAGATAAACAACCCAAGCTGCCTCCCGGGATGCTGCAATGCAACCGCCGCGTCGCCCTGAGACCAAAAGATACCCCATGCCCGGAATGCGCGAGGATCCAACGGCGAGCTGCCGCCGCTAACGGCAAGGCCACCACAACCAGTCTTGCGGGAGGGACTCCGTCCCCGTCACCAGGTAAGAGTGCTCAGGTCCTCGAGACCATAGTAGAGCACGTGGATGGGACGTTTGGATAAAGACAAAAACTTACACCGGGGATAGAACAAAGGCTGGGCAGCTCATCGCCAGAAGAAAAAGCTGCCGAGAGACTGCGAGACTCGCTGATGCTCCTGGAGCAGTTCCGGAAGCCATTTTAAAGTATTACACGCTCTGGATTCTGGCATAACCATTACTCATTGGTTCTGGGAAGGTATTAATTAAGGATAGAGGGATCAAAGCTCGGGCGACTATGGAGTAGGAGGCGCATTACATTGCTGTTTGTTCTCTTGGCCAAACCTTGGCTTCCCCGTGTATATGTGCAAAAGCACTACCATACCGTAGGGAGCTAGCTCTACGTCTGGAAATACATTATTAATACCCAAGAAATATCGGTGTGAAGTTAGGGCTTGCTGTGCAGATATTGACAAGCTCGAGTACTTCGTCTTAATACAGAAGTGTGTTTGTTTAGTGGTAGTTCACGATAAAGGGGGCTAGTAAATTAGGTCGATAGCATGACCATTGGTACCTAATTCATATACGGCGGTCTAATAGCTCGAGGCATAATCCTTAGGTATATCATATATCAAATGGATTGATTAGTATATACGGTCTGTACTTTGTCATTCGAAGTTGGAGCGTTACGTATGTAGTTCTAGTTTGCGGTTTGCGCATCTCGCGCATCCTACAAACCCAGGGGTTGATGCAATAGAGCAGAAAAGGTACCATAGCGGGAAGATGTGGATACAAAGAATCGAGTCTACACCTCATCCCAAAGATATCCTAGAACCTCAGCCCAAAGTCTAACCCGATTTGGCAAAAGCTAAGACCTTGGATCCAAAGTTCTAATTGGTTACAATTGACATGGTCCCCGCTTTGGGGTGAGCTTTACATCAGGTGACTTTGGGGTGAACTCTGGTGTCTCATTAAAATATAAGCCTAAATGCCTTGTAATTACAGCGCGTTGCAGCCATTAAGTCCCTATATTATAGCGCTTGACATTTAATCAATTAAACGTATGCTTTTACCTATTCTTTATTTTTTACTTGATTTATATAAATTAATTATAAATTAATTAAAAATTAATACGTAATCGATTAATAATTAATTATTAATCGATTTTTAATTAATTATATAAAATTATTTATATTTCATTAAATATCATAATAATGTATAAAAGTATATATTTGTATAAATATAATGTTAATAAAATGGTAGTCGAGTTTTGGATGCGCTAGTACTATTGGGGTGAAAGAAGGTCCACACTTGCTTGATTGGGTTAGACTTTGGGCTGAGGTTCTGGGATAGCTTTGGGATGAGGTGCGCCCTCCAAAGAATCAATTCTAAGAGGTTGAGATCTTAAATCGGTTCGATAAAAGAGTGGGACTGGAAGTGGAGTTTCCGAATATGTAAGTCTAACTGCGCTTGCTGCGTGGTGTTCGCGTGGGACGGGGTCCCATGGCTAAGTTACAGTACAGTAGCGCCTGAATCTTGGGGAAACACCAATGCTAAATACAAGATGTTTTGGCGTACTGCATCCACTAAGAAACAATTAAATTTAGGGCACAGACCACGTATTATATTTAAAAGGACTTAAACTATATTAAACTTATAACTTTTTTAATAAATATTACAAAATATTATAAAAAATTTAACTATTTATAATAAATATTATAAATATTATAAATTATATAAATATATTAATTTATTTATTAAAATAAAATAAAATCTATTCCTATTATTACTATTACTATATACTAAAATAAAAAGCAAAATTATTATCCAAATTAATTATATATTACCAAAACAAATTTTTTAAATCTACTGTACCTATTTATATCAACAAAAATTTAAAATTATTTTATTTTTCGAAAATTATCATATACTATTAAAAAATAACAAAGTTAATAAATATATATACCCGAAACAATTATTAAATAGTATATTTATTGTTAAAAAAAATTATAAATAATCTTATTTAACTAAAACTTAAAATTATTTCCTAATAAAAAATTTATAATTAATATTAAATTAATAGAATAAAAAATATTAATTATTTAAAAATTAAGAATTTTTACTAAAAAATATTTACTAAAATGGCTTTTATTAGAAAATTAATTATAGGTTTAATTTATAACTACCCATAAAACCTATAAAATAGTTATATACTATTAATTTCGCAAAAAATCCCTAACGTTATTTTAAGATTTATATTTATAATATTTTTAAATATTTATTTTTTCAAATAGGTAATTTATAATATTCTTTCGAAAATACTAAATTATAAAATGTTAAATAACTTATATAGTTTTTAAACCCCTAAATAAAATAATAAATATACAAATAATTTCTTTTAATATATTTAAAAAATTTTTTGTAAAAAAGATTTTATTAGTATAGTTTTATTTAATAATCTTAACGTTAATTTTACTTTTTACCAATTTCTTTTCAAATTAATTTTTAATATAAATAAAACCTTTTTACCATTTAAATTTTTAAAAGTTATATCTATTTTGCCTTCCTTCTCCTTCCCCCCTCCCTCCCCCTCGTTCCCCTCCCCGCTCCGTTCCTTTCCTCTTCTCTCTCTTTCTCCCTCCGTTTCTCCCTTTCGTTTTCCGCTTCTTTTTTCTCCCCCCCCTCTTCTCCCCCCTCCCCCCCCCCCCTTTTTTCTTTCCCTCTTCTTCTTCCCTTTCTCCTCTCCCTTCTCCTCCTCCCCGCTTCTTTCTCTCCTCCCTTCCTCCCCCCTTCCTTTTCTCTCTTCCTCCCCCCCCCCTTCTTCCTTCTCCCTCTCGTTCCCTTTTCCCCCTTCCTCCTTTCCCTTCCCCTTCCCCCCCCCTCCCCTCCTTCTCCTCTCCTTTTCTTCCCCCTCCCGTTTTTTTCCCCTTTTCCTGTTCCTCTTCCTCGCCTTTTTCCCCCCCTTTTTCCCCCCCCTCCCTCTCTCCCTCCTTAAAAACCTATTAATAAACTTCTTAAAAATAAATTTTTAAGGATAAAAAATTATAATTACCCATATTATTAAAAATTATAAAAACATTTTAACCAACCCTACAATAAAGCCCTAATTAAAAACTTTTTTATCTATACTAAGATAATTATCTACCTGTTTAAAGATAAAAATAACCTAATTTATATTAAAAAAATTAATTTATATTTATTACATTTAAATAATTAATCAATTTTTTACCTAATTAAAAAAAAATTTTAATATAACATACTACCAAATAAATTAAATAATATAAAACATTAATTACTATTAAAAAAACTTTAACATTACTACGTAACCTTTACCATTCGTTAAAAAAAATTATATTAATAAAATTTTACTATTAACACCAACTTAAAATAAATAAAAATAACCCAAATTAATTTAACAATTAAAAAATAAAATAAAAAACGCGCCTTTTTAAAAATTTATAAATTAAAAAACAAATTTAACCAATTTAAACAAAATTTAAACATATTAACAATTAAAAATAAAAAAATAAATTTAAATTTATTAAAACTTTTTTCGCTTCAAACTTACAAATTCCTAAAAAATTAAAAAAAATTTTAAATTTAAAAAAATATTTTATAATAATTTTTTTAAATTTAACAAATTTTAAAAGATCTATTAATATATCAAATTTCCTAACCCCTAATTCCTAATTCCCATATAATTTATATAAATTTTTTTCATTTTTGAAAAATTTTTTAAAATTATATATATATATAATTTTTATTTAAACAACATTTTTTAATTATAAATAAACTTAATATAACAACGCATTTTTTTTATAACCCAACCAAAATAAATTCCTTAAAATTATTTAAAAAATTTTTAAACCTATTAAAAAAAAAAGCTATTAATATTATAACATATATATATAAAAATAAAAAATTAAATTTTAAAAATTAATTTTAAATTTTATCCCCATTTTTACAATTAATATTTAATTTTTAAATTTTAATAAATAAAAGATTTTTCTAATACCTTACTATTCGAAATTAATCTAACTAGTTTATTTTAAATTTATTAATTTTATTTTAAATTTCTTTATTATCTCGTTTTTTTAATACTATTTTATAATTCTAAATTACAAAAAAAGGTAGGTATTAACAATTAACCTATTTAAACACATACCACTGATCTACTGTTAATTCAACTGGTCCGTACCCTAGATTCAATTATTTCTTAATGGATGCGGTACCTACGTCTAACTTACATACATTATGTACGTCCCATGTCGGGTCCCCCCCATATCCCCCATGTCCATGTATGTTAGGTACAATACATATCAAAGCCAATATCTTAAGCTATTTTCCCCAGCTCTCCCCCCATAACCTTGGTAGCTCTTGATGTCTATTAATCAATGCCATTGCGTTCATCCGAGGTAGTATCCTGTCGAATATTCTATCGAATATTCTTTCGACAATACCTCCTCGCATGTCAATCTCTTCATTTTCCCAATTGCCATGGCCAAAAAGGCGCGTCAGAGGATAAGCTATGGTTCGTCATTTCTATAATTCCATCTTTCTCTTTAATTGAACCTACCTTACACCTTTTAGTCCCAGTTCCCGTCCCCGTCCCCTCTACCCGTTGATCTTTGCCCACCCCCGCATAGTTGAATGGTCACCATCTTATTTCTTATTATCCACTCCAACTTTATCGTCACGTCTTGTTATACGCTATACGCTTGAGTGAAATGGACTAAAATAGAGAGACCCTTTTTTTGACTTTGTCCTAACAACCATATTGCGTTTCAGTTCTTGAACTCGACCATTCGTCATCTGGCGGCCATAGACTCGGTGTAAACGGTCTTGCAGTAGACCGAGATAACGCTATCCTGTAAGCTTCCGACTGCTGTCATGCGATCACGTCCCGTCCCGTCCGTTAACTTTATCGCATAGCTACTCTGGAGGTAGAGATGGAGTTATCTGTGCTTGGGATCTGAACCTTGATTTAAACGGGTATTCCGATCGAGGGCTTGCGTCTAGCCAAAATGCAAAACCCCAACCGACTACCAAATTCCGCGCATCGACCCAAGCTCACACCCACTGGGTCAATGACATCGTTCTCGCTTCCAACAATTCTGCCCTCGTCTCCGCATCTTCCGACCTGACTGTAAAAGTATGGCGACCCGAACTTGGGGACACCGAACCCCACACCATCGGCCAACATGCAGACTACGTTAAGTGTGTTGCGACACCAAGTTCCGCAGACTGGGTCGCATCCGGTGGCCTTGATAGAAAGATATATCTCTGGGACCTCAATGGCAAGGGGAAGTCCCTAGAAATCGACGTTAGAGGCGAAGATGTTAGCGAAAAGGCTTCCGTATACGCCATGTGTGTCAACCAGAATATTCTAGCTAGTGGGGGCCCAGAGTCAATAGTACGGTTATGGGACCCCAAGTCGGGGAAGAGGATCACCAAGCTGGTTGGTCATACCGACAATATCCGTGCTATATTAATGAACGAGGCCGGCGACACTGTTATGACCGCTAGCTCTGACCAGACCGTCAAAGTATGGAGCGTCACCGCCGGCAGGTGTATGTATACGCTTACTATGCACAACGATAGCGTCTGGTCGCTATTTTCTGAAGATCCCGAGCTGGCTGTTTTTATAGCAGCGACCGATCTGGCCTTATTGTCAAGACTGACACTAGAGGGACCGTGGAGATGGACGAAGGCCTATCCGTGGCCGTAGCTCAGGAACACGACGGGGTCAGCAAATTGGTGGCTTGTGAGGACTACATATGGTCGGCTACCTCGAGCTCTTCTATTAATAGGTGGACAAATGTTGATACTGGCACCGATGCTCTGCTCCCAGAGGCGTTTAGACACTTGCGGGCTATTAACACAGTTTCGAGATCGAGAAAGTCATCCGCAGCATCTGCAGATGGGCAAGGAAAAAACGAAATTCCAGCTAAGGCGGTATTACGAATATCGAACACTGCAGCTTTCCCGCCGGAACTCGACGATTCTTCTGAACCCAATTTGATGACTAGCGCGGTGTTTAGAAAAGACTCGGAGATTCATGATGATACCGTTGCCCCTGTTATCGAGCCTATACATCACTTACCGGAAGAAACTATCGAAGGGCAAAATGGACTGGTGAAACATAAACTCCTTAACGACCGACGACGAGTATTGACTCTTGATACTGCTGGTGATGTATTGTTGTGGGATCTAATTAAGGTGGGCTCTCTTTGCGTGATATAGGAGTGTAGCTAATCAGAAGTAGTGCGAAGTTATTCAGAGATTCGGAAAGAAACACCTCGAAGATGTTGAACCTGAGATCAATACTTTGGAAGCTGTTGCTCCTTGGTGTTCAATCGAGACAAGTTCTGGCAACTTGACTGTCATATTAGAGCCCTTTAATTGTTTTGATGCTGAAATGTATGCCGATGAGCTTATCCTCATAGAGCCCGTCGAATTTCGAGAGGATCAGAGAAGTATGATTCACGAGAGTTTCATTATAAGGCAAATGCTAACTTTTTGAAGTAAACCTTGGGAGGTGGATTCTTCGATATTTATTTGCGAAGTTAATCGATGAGGAAATCAAGCGAGATGAGATCTATAGACTGAAACTCAATGAAGGCGTAGAGAAGCGCCAGACAGCTTCTCGACTGAACCCTCCGATATCAATAACTATACCTACCTCAAACATGCGAGGGTGGCAATCCAGCGACTCTCCAGCGACAACCCCAAGAGCGAATGGAATCAGTCACCCATTGAGCCCTGGATTGGCAATTGGTGTGGCTACTCCTGCTCCTAACTTGGCAGTAGGGGGTTCCGAGAATACAGCCGCGCCTGTCAGTCCTCTTGAAAAACCACCCCAGCAGGTGAACCAATCATCTAGTGACGATTACTTCTCTGGTGGTATCAGCTCAGCAGACACCCCTGCAAAAGCGGCGACGACCCCAGGAGCGACGGAGCAAGCACCTGCTAAAGAAGAAACATCGAAGTCTCCGGTAGAGACCAAAGATAAGGAGAAGGAGAAGGATGTTAAATCTCCTAGTACGCCCTTCGGCAAAAAATTCCGAATGGGCATGTCTTTCGGGAGTAAGAAACTAGGAAGATCAGCATCTACTAACATCGAGAAGCCTACCGTTACGGAAGATAAGACAGAAGAGAATAAGTCGGAATCATCTTCAAATCATGAAAAGGAGATTGACGATAATTTTCGCGGTGTTGTCCAAAAGATCCACAACGACTATGAGAAGCAACTGCTAGAGACTCCGAATAACCCAATCGAGACTAAAATAACGCCAGCTCTCCCCATTGATGCGCCAGTATTGAAGCTCCCGCCCGGTACAAAGGTTATCATCCAAGAAGAGACGTCAGGCGGCAGTGCCAACTTGTATAGGGGCACGGTGATGAGTGTCGGTGTTGACGCAGATATCATCGAAGAGAAAGCTCCTATGTGGTTGGGCGAAGTCTTACTTACAGTACGTGCTGTTTCCCTTATTGTTATAGAATCTACAGCTAACCTAGACAGAACACGATTCCGCAGAAAGATCCAGTTAAGGTCTCGTTCGTACTGCACCCTTGGAAGGATTCGTTACCTAGTATTGCGACCACAGATGGAAACAACCGTCTTAATGCGAATAGAATGTTAAGGGTAAAGAAAATACTAGCATATGTGGCTGAGAGGATTGACCCACAACCCGAAGATCTCGAGCCCGATGATCTCAAACCTGAGGAATACTTAGAACTGTATTGCAACGATCAGGTATGTACCAAGATAAATGTGTGTGAAGCTAAGATGCTAACCCATAAACTTAGCTACTACCAAACAATATGAGCCTTGCAACACTGCGAGCTCATATTTGGAAGGGAGGCAACGATGTAGTCTTGTATTATAAAGCGAATGGTCGTAAGGAGATTCCCAAAGAGCTCCCACAACCGACACTTGATGACCCCGCGGTCTCAGATCCTGGAGGGCAGCAGGCGATACCACCTATAGCTACTGTAAGTTGATGAATTTGGAATTCGACAAAGAGGGAGGGTATCATCCATTGTGTCTATGTCCGGTAAATCTAAAAATGGGGTATTCTCTATCGTCTGTTGTACATACTCTCTCCCGTACCGCTATCTTAGAACGCGGCTACTAGTATATACCCCAACGAGTCATATACAGCGAGGACTGTCCTGTTCCAGCCTCGATCTCCCGCATTTGCTCGTCTACGTGCGGCCGTCACGTGGGTGTTGGTGTTATGACTGTTATAAGACGTTTCCTTGTAAGGCATTCACGGCCCATTGGTAACTCCCGAGGAATACGGCGCCGCCGGCACTAATCCACATAACCCGAGGCCCTATGCCGGCGAAGAAAGGTCGTATCCCATGACTGGATAGTAAATCCTTCAGTACGACGAAAACACTTTCGCGCTCTTTAGATAGCATAACCCGGGTCTTAAGAACATCCAGCGGCGTCGTGACACCCGCTGCCACAGCACCAGACAGACTGCCATACAGCGCGCTCTCGCCCGCGCTCACTTCCACATTTCCACTACCTAGACCTTTCCGCCGCCGGCCCCAACCCTTCAGCGCTTCCCACAGCGGAAACTGGATCACGGTGAACGGCACCTCGCGCATCACGGTGATGCCCCACCCTCGGTTAATTCCCGCCATACCCCCGTCAACCCTATATCCCGACGCCGTGATAATATCGCACCCAAGGCCGCAGCACTCGAGCCCCCATGCAAACCCGCTTGCGCGCGCTGCTTCACAACCTCAGTAGGCACACGGATCGCGCAAGCCGCAACCTCGCCCAGACTCGCAGCAAGCATGTGTTCCAGAGGCGCTTCCCAGGTCTTCCCGGCACCATGCCCTACGTTCCCATGTATAAGATCGTCGCTCTTCCCACTAGCACTAATACTCCGCTCCTGCCGCCTCTTCGCTAGCACGCCCTTCACACCCTCGTACGTGCAGAAGAAAAACGCAGCGCCGGGCGCGCTGCCGACAACCGCGCTCCCCACGCCCCGGTATATCCCCCGGAAGCCGCCGGAGGGGAAGAAGCCGTCGCGCGACTGGAGGCGGGTTTTTAGAGTGTCGAGGGGGAAGAGGGATAGGTCGACTGTGGTGCCGGCTATGCCGCCGGCGAGGAGGGCCGTGGCGAAGGGGTTGGGACGACATTGGGGGGTGTGGATGGGTTGGTGGTGGGATGTGGTAAGTGAGTTGGAAGAGTGAGAAGGGGAGGTTTAAATCTCTTGACTAATTGTAAATTATACGTAGGTAAGTACCTAAAATAAGGGTGTATAGAAATATTAAGGCCGAAGCCGGCGGAGAGCTAGAGTGCGGCGTCCATTGGATGTGGGCTGTAATGTGATGTAAGTCGGAAGGTGGGATAGCGAAGAAAACTTATCGGTGCATGTTGAGCTAATTGATAGTGACTATCGATAAAGCTAGTTATCGATAGAAAGTATACAGATATTTGGGCAGTAGCTCATGAGTTTATGTAATAGTTTCGTTAATTTATGTATGAGTTTAACTATATCCTTTTTTCCCTCTCCTTATTAGGTTTCTACTCTAACCTAGCAACTTCATCATCATAGCTGGGAAGTGAATATATATATCAGTGTAGAATGGAATGGGCACGCTCCACAATGTTCTACATACAAGTGCGAGGGCGATTAGCGTCCTCGAGTTCATGGACGCCGTGCGCGCCACTTGTATTCCTCGGTTCCCTTATGCTAGAGGGACGAGCCATAGGCGAGTTGGTAAGTTCTAAAAAATTCATATAATCTCAAGGGTACCGGAAATTCTAACAAACCTAATAGCCATAGCTGTGAGTGGAGGCGTCGATTCTATGGCACTCGCCTTTCTCTGTTCTCAAGTGCGCAAGATAGACCCTGACTTCAAGATATCTGATAATCCTGTATCTGGATTTCGGGGCATCGTCGTTGACCATGGGCTCCGCCAGGGGTCTAGAGAAGAGGGTCTCGCTGTTCTTAAGGTTCTCAAGGACATGGGCTTGGTTGATGAATTGGTTGCTATTAACTGGTCTAAGATACTTGGCGATTCTCAGCTTCCAAAGGACTTGCCTAACTTTGAGAGCGTCGCGCGCACTCAGCGGTACAGGAAGATTGGAGCCGTGTGCGCCTTTCGAAACATTGGTAGTCTTCTTCTAGCGCACCACGAGGACGATCAGTATGAGACCGTCCTCATGCGCCTATTAAAGGGGCACGGAATTCGTGGCCTACGCGGTATAAGGTCAGCCTGTGACATCCCTGAGTGTCACGGCCTGTTTGGTGCTGATAAGAGTGGTTTTGTGGACGATCAAGCTCGCACCTTTCCTTTTCATAACCTGACCCCTACTAGGAGAGAGCGGAAGCATATGCGACGAGAGTTTAGGAATGCTATTAGTAACCTCATGGCTGAGGAGGAAACGGAGGACTGGGCCTCGACTGACTTCGATATGAAGGAATTCTATCAGACGAAAGACATTCCAATATTTGCACCTAAAGACCTTCCCGTTGAAGATGGTGGAGTTACCGTCTACCGGCCCCTGCTAGAATTTAGCAAGGACCGTCTAATTGCAACTTGTTTAGAGAACAAGGTTCCTTGGTGGGAAGATGCCACCAATACGGATCCTACACTTACGATGAGGAATGCTGTCAGGCACCTATACAAAGGTTACACCCTTCCTAAGGCTTTACAAAAACCAGCAATCCTTAATCTCTCGAAGAGGTGTGAGCGGAGAATCCAGGCTCAGGAGGCTGAGGCGAATAGACTGCTGAGACGGACTATTATTCACGATCTTGAGCTGCTTACCGGAACTGTGACGGTCCAGTTTCCGAAATTGGAGCTTCATATAGCGAGGAGAGATTCCCGCTCGTACTTGAGACACCGAGCACGATTGTTGAAGAAAAGGCAGATTGCTGCCATCCTTATTCGCAAGATTCTCTTGTTAGTCAGCCCGGAATCACAGCCACCGCTTCTCTCGACCCTCGAAAATCACGTTACGCGCCTCTTCCCGTCTCTTGCTCTCCCTGAAGAGCTACCCGTGGCTACACCTCCAAAGGCATTCAGCATTTCCGGCGTTTATCTCGTACCAGTCGAGTCTAACCCTAGCGGTCCGGCCTCCACAAAGGCGGCAAATCAACAACTAAGCTGGTATCTTTCACGCGCCCCATACCCCTCAATACAACCGCTTCCAACCTTCCGTACGCCGTACTGGGCTACCAAGCGCAACAAAAAGGGGCGATGGCTGATGTGTAGTTGGATGGATTGGGCGCTATGGGATGGTCGGTACTGGTTTCATATCAAGCACCGATTCCCCTATCGCGTGCTCGTCTTGCCATTTTTAAAAGAACACGCAAAAGCCTTTCGCGAGCAACTCCCGCCCGAAGACCAGAAGCAGCTGGCTACACTTCTCAAGCGCTATGCTCCGGGTAAGGTCAGATACACAATCCCGGCTTTCTACCTCGAAGAGCCTCTCAGCCTCCTCGATATGGAGAACACCACCCCACGGCCCGGGTACCCGATGCTCCCATGGAAGGTAGTGAGTACGGATAGTAACAGTGAGGATAACAGTAGCGGGGGAGAGAGTGAGAACAACGAAAAACAAGAACCACGTTCTATGCATCCCACGATCCTAGATACTTCGAAGATAAAGCTGCTTGCTCTCCCCACGCTGAAGATCCAGCTCCCAGCGCTCGACAACTGGATGTCGTACGAGACACGATATAGGAAGATAGATCGTCAGACACTCCGCACGGCGGGGACGTTTCATAGGGGCTCGTTTGCGGGGCCGCGAGCGAGCACTTTGCGACTGTCGAAAAAGGGGTCAGAGGTGAAGAAGCCGCGTAGATATTTAGATAGACGGCGAAATAGAGGTAGACGCTAAACCGGCTTATATCTCGTGTCATAGTGTGTACCTATGAAAATGTATACATATATATATACCATACTTCACATAAATTTATAGTTGTGATTTTAGTTGTCTCTTCGCACGACGAGTTCTACTTAGATCTATTCTTCGATCGATACCTTACCCCACCTCACCTTGTACAAAATAAACCCGAATAAACTATAATAAGATGAATATATCAGATTCTCACAATACTCACTAAAACGCAACCCCTTAAGAATATGGAGACTCAATTATTATACATTAGAAAAACAATCGATTTGGTATCATGCAATACGCAGCTAGCTAGCTAGCCTCTAAACAGTGAGACATACATATACACATACAAGGTATCTTCCTACCTTTTTGTAAGTACCTGGTCATATGGTACACGGCAATAGCAACAAAGCGAATTCCACGCCTTTCCTAGACGCCTATCTATTCTGATGCAGTTTCCCTTGGCAATCCACCTACGTCATCGCGGCTGGGAGTTCATAGACAGATAGGTAGACAAGATAGCCTTTAGACGTGTAATTCGGTAGTAGAAGTACACTCAAAGAGTCTCGTCTCATCCTATCTCTGCATATGAATTCCGCCCGTTTCGTCCATGTTGGTTAAAACTCTTTCTTCCGCCTAATACACACCAATAATTAGGACACCTTAGAAGACCTATCCTTCTATTCTCTTCCAACCTCCGGTTCCGTCATTCTACTAAAACGCCGCACCTCCAACCCCCTCGCCTGCAAACTTCTTCACGCTGTTCTCACTAAGCTCTATTCTCAACTCCAAGACCTTAGCCTCCCTCTCAAACTTATCCCATAACGCCAGACTCTTTCTCAATTTCTCCTCCTTCACATATTTCTCCGCACGCAACTTCTCTTCCTCCTCTTTCAGCTGCAGCGTGTGGGCCTGGAGCTCGGGCATCACGCCTGTTGTCATGGCGAGGTAATGAGGGTCCATTTTACCTCCGGGAACGATAGGTGGTAGAGTCGCAAGAAGTTGCTGCGCTAGGCTAGGACGGGTACTCTCGGCAGCTGGGCCCTTGGGTGGGTTGAAGGGTTTGGCTTGGTTAACAGGGGTTGTGGGAACGGATTGCGAAGATGGACCTGCTCTCGGGCCGGTGGGGATGGTATTAGAGATTGTTGTTGCTGAGGCAGGAATGGGACCTGCGGCTGGTGGTAGATTACGGCTTTGAATCGTACTACCCCAGCTGGGTCCTCCTCGACCGCCTCGACTATAGCCGCCTCCTCGTGTGGCGACGTAGCCTCTAGGACCTGCTGGCGGAGCACTAGGGCTGATGTCGGGCCGACTTGCTACTGCGGGTGCGGCCGGAACCGGTCTGGGGGGCGGGCCTATCACCCCGGCAGATTGGCTCCCGTAAGCGCGAGTATCTCTGGGACCAGTGGGAGGTGCTCGGAGAGCGGCAGGGCCACGCGGAGGGGATCTAGGTGGGGCACTAGATTCTTTCGGAGTGCCCTGAGGACTTCGATCTCTAAGTGGTACATTATGAGAAGATCTAGACAAAGGTCTAGAGGGTATGGGAGACTGTGGATGTGATCGATCGTCGCGACGAGGAGGAAGAGGGTGGGGCGAAGATCTTCGAGATGTGTCCCTAGACGGAATTGCCGATGAGATTGCAGAGTCGCGTGGCGGGGAAGGGCGTCTGCTATGTGAAGGGCCGTATCGATCGTCTCGTCGGTCCGGGCTGCGGGTGCGGGCTCTGTAGGTACTGGCCCTCGGGATGGGCAGGGGTGAACGTCGGAGAGGCGACCTTTCTCGGATGCGGTCTCTATCGAAGGGAGATCTCGATCTCCGTCTGTATGGAAGACTTGTTAGGGGTATAAGATTAGGATTGTTAATCTGGGGTGGTGGTTGGAACCTTGCGTCATAGCCCCTTCGTGGAGATCGCAAACGATCTCTATCATCCCGTCTTGGTGAGAATCTGCGCGGCGGCGGACTTCTTCGAGGCGGACTACGTCGGGGAGGAGACCGTCGTGGGGGGCTTCGGCGAAGACTACGGCTCCTATCGCGTCTTCTCCAGCTGTCGCCCATATCTCTAGTATCTCGTCGGTCTCTGGAAAGGTCTCGACGGTAGCGATCAGCGCTTCGTGAGCGACGTCGTGGGGATCGACCGGGCACATAACGGTCGCTATCTAGAAGTGGTGGGCTACGGCCTCTTGGGGGGCTTCTAGCTCGGCGCGGAGACCGGTTGGAATTAAACGGGCGGTACGATTCACCAGCGCCATATCTAGTGACTTCCCCGTCATCGTACCTATAGGGATAATTTAATTAGCACCTTATTTCGCTAGTCAATTCCGAAGTAGGCCACGATAGTTAAGCTTTATGATCTCATAGTAAGAATAATAACGATGTAATACGAATAAAGATCGATCATACCTTCTACTTCGCGAATCGCGATCCATCCCCCGATGAGCAAACGCGCCGTAATCGCGTGGGTCAGACCGTGGTGCAAATAAGATATCCCCTCGAGAAGAGCCAGCAGATGGAAAGAGTTCAACTGCTTCCGAAGTAGTGTTTGTATGAGATGTATTTTGCAGAGAATTCCTAGTTTCGAATCCCTGGTTTGGACCTTGTTGGGAGTCCTGAGCGGGTTGAGGATTAGGATTAGGCGGGAGGTTCTGTTGGATAGAATGGGAGGGTAGTGACTGGTGCCAATTGTTCTGTATTGGAATTCTTCGGCGTCTTGTAGGCCTTGCAGGGGCATCTTTACGAAAACGTTGATTTCCATCCATATTGACCAATAGTAACACGTTGATACCGGAGGTTTAATCTGCCTATCGCCGCCTGTACCCACCGGGAGCCTGGTAGCTTAGGTACCTAAGGTAGGTACTAACGGACTAGGTACGTAAGGGGTAACTTTAAAGGATCTAAGCTAACCCCTTGGGTCGATTTAGTAAAATGTGAATGGTATTAGTGAAGGCGAATAATTCAATGGATGAGATGCAGGTAAAGAAGTTGCAAGAATACTGATAAGTAGATGTAATTATCTGGTGGTTTCGCAAGTGGTTTAAGAAGCTTTCAAATGGAAAGGAGAGGGAAAAAGAGAGAGAGAGCTGCTTAAAAAGAGAAGTTTGCGAGTTTGGTAGCTGCAACCTAAGTACCTAAGGCAGGTACGTTGTGGTATTGCTCACAACATATGCAACAACCAATATGCTGCTGCAGCTCTCTTGCCGTTGCGTTGCAGAAAAAAGTTACTTTTTGAGACGTTGATATTGATAAGGACAACCAATACATTTGTACCTTCTTAATCTCCTAATCTCCTACGTAGAAAAACACGAAAGCTACGGAATCGTTGCCTAGTCCGCAACTACTTCTAACAAATACTCTCTCTTCGAACCTTCAAACCTTCGCACATTTGCACCCTTTCCGGTCTGATATATACAACTAGCACTAGCTACTCTAAACAGCTATAATTATTCCGAACTTTTGGAATTTATTTCTCGTCCTCCGTGGTATTGCCACTTCCATCTTGACTACACCTCTCGCCGATGAATTGATACACCTCTTTCGCGTGTGTTTCCATCATCCGGTTGAGCCCAACTTCCGGGCTCCTATGCACCCCTCCGAAGCGTTTCTTTAGTACCTTCTTTGCCAAGTCGTTGTCCTTCCAACATGCGTGGTCGTTTTGTGACATATACTAGCGAGTTTTGCTTATACCAACTCGACAGTTCTGTGTCAGTTTCCGATTTCACTGGTCGTAGGTTACCCGTTACGAAATTAATCACCCCCGCAATTCGATTTTTGCAATCTGCAGTCTCGTCAGCATCAGAGCATCATAAGCTCCTTTATAATGACTCTAGTTTCTATACATACCTCTATTCGTCAGAAGGACCTTAACGCCTAGGTATGCATTGCCTACGCCTATAATGAACAAGTCTTCTACATCGTAGAGCTGAAGATAGTTATCCCATATATAGCATACCAGTTCCTGGATCTGCCGTTGTAAAGTCTTCTCATCTGCACGGGGAGTAAACGCGTCGATGTCCTCAGAATGAGTAATGTAATGGGGAATATTGGCGTCCATAATACCAAAGTCATTCTTGTGAGCCCAATCAACATAAGACATAACACCATCCAACTGCCATATATTAGCGTTTGCTCTCGTAATTTGAACAAATTCCACTTACGATGAAGCCATTGTGGGGATCAACCGTGTTATCAATAATATCCGGCATTGCCTGTAACTCAGGACTGAGTAATCTGTTAGTAGAGACAACAGAAGTTTTGTGCGTGCTACTTACGGATCATGAACGATGAATATAATTTTTCTCTTGGCTTGCAATCCCGGTGTGACAAGAACCTGGTTCTCAAACGACTTGTAGAGAACTTCTCTTTGAATGAAGAGGGGGACCATGGCATACTTATCAGACAGTATCTGCCGCTGATAACCTCGAATAACGTCGTGTAATCGAGAAGTGTTGTCTCCCAATTCCCGAACTTCGATTATACCAGGTCTCATGCATTCCCAGTAGGGCGCTTGGACAGCTTGAACTTTTGCTAAGAGTCTGGCTGCATCCTTGTTGAGGGGCGGTACTCCCATCTTTGGTGGCGGTTCTCCCATGAGTGTCCGAGCGACGGCTAAAGCTGAATTGGAAATTGCCTTCAAGTTATAGCCTCCTTCGAGGCATACGGCTACCTTTCCGCCAGCAAGGGACATCAGCATGTGCGTCATATGTGCGTAGCATGGTGGTGTGACAAAACATCCACCCAACTCGTCACCATCGGCCGCATCAAAACCAGCAGAGATAATTACCATGTCCGGGTCGAATTCGCGGGCAATGGGCATTACAATCTTTTGGAACGCGGCGAGGTATTCGCCATCGCCCATGCCTTGAGATGGCCAGCCAATGTTCACGTTCTTCCCTTTGCCTAGACTTTCGCCGACTTTGTCTATATCTCCGTCGGGTATCATATCGTTATCTGGTTTTCCTGGGTAGAAATTGCCATCTTCATAGACGTGGAGGGATATATAAGACATTCGGGTCTTCGTAGAAAATGTTCTGAACGCCATTTCCGTGATGAACATCCCAATCCAAGATGAGTATCTTGCGGCAAGTGTCTGGGTACTCGTCTTGACAGACTCTGGCACCAATAGGGACGTTATTAAAGAGGCAAAAACCCATAGGTACATCACATTCGGCATGGTGACCCGGTGGCCGAATAATAGCGAATGCGTTCTTCACTTGTCCAGAGGCAACGTTCTTACAAGTCTCCACACAACCTCCCGCCGCAAGTAGTGCTGCTTCATAAGACATACCACCTACGTATAGAGAGGCCCTTCCTTGATCCAACTTATGGCTCAATGATCGTAACTCTCTCGTCGACATCTGGGAGAGATTTTGAACCCAGTCATAGTGTCTTGGGGTATGTACCGTGCATATTTCCTGCTTCGTGGCCGGACGAGCTGGAATCCTCCACATATATTTAGTTGGAGATTCTCTTAGGATGTCGAGAAGATCGGAATCGGGACCCGTGAAAACGAGGCCAGCTTTCTTAAACATCTTCATGATCTCCTCGATTCTCCTCGGGTCTTCTGGATGATGTGGTGAGGGCCCAAAATCGGCATTTGCATGGAGCTTCATTCTGTCATCGTAACAGCATCCCGTGGGAAGCATACCTAGCCGACGCATAGATTTTATTGTTTCGTCGGTTTCACTAAATTCTTCACTCTCGTCCATGTCTAGGTTCATACCATTCGTGATAGGAATGTCGCCGCCTTCCTGCCCTGCCACGGCGACGACGTGGGACTCGTCAAAGCCATTAGGCGCATCAGTCATAGACTGATCCTCACCTTCCATGTCGGCGTTAAGCCTAGCCGAGTCGAAGGCGCAGCCTTCCACCCGGCAAATCTCAAGTATTATTTGCCAGACTAGAGAAAGAAATACGACTGCCGGCTTAAGTCAACAGGTTGTTGAGCTTTACCAACAGCACTGCCCAGTTGTGAGAACTCAGGACAGTACCACGGTAATTAGCGTGGATAGGTCTAAGCCTGGCAAGCGAGACTTGGTCTGGATTCCTTGAATGGGTGGATGATTCACATGCCCATAACAAGTTCTGAAGTTATTGCTAAAGATAAGGAATGTCGACGACGATCTGTTAATTTGTCAGCTAAGAACGTATATCTCGATGCATGAAAACGTTGACAAGAAATAGTAGAGTCGAGATAGAGTAAAAAAACAGGAATGCAACAAAATTAGCTAGATGCTCTTGATATGGGACTTATACGGTAAAGCATAAGTTAAGATTTACATGATGATTGTAAAGGGAGTTTCGATGAATCCAAAGAATAGTTTCTTAACTCGGGTCTTCGTGTCCTTTCTGCGTATTAAATATTCTTACTACACGAGAAGAATATATATTTAAGGATAATACAGTAAATATAGAAAATATAGAAAATATAGAGTGGAGTGATGGTGTACTTACACTGGACGAATGTTGCTTGCTTGCCTGCTTGAACTTGAACAGCTCACGCACTCACGCACTACTTTACTTGACGGGGAGTATGAGACGATGCACCTCAGCGTCTTCGCAACGAGAGATAGACCCCTGTAATGATGAAAACCCTTTGAAACAGTTAATTAAAAACTTTCCGATGATTTCTAATGACCTCTCGTAGTGATTTAGGTATGTTTGGTGTGTGGCTGGTAGGTGGTACCATTAGATGTTATTATGTTATTGATATGCTATGGTAAGTAAACTTGCCTAGGTCAGTAATCTTTTTGGTAAGTTCCGAAGTTGGGTCGCGGCGTATCGGATCCAGATAACCCCGTTTTTAACACAGACACCTGTATTTAGGTACCTCCGTAGGTGCTACTTGCCTATATCAGGAATTTAATTTAGGTACCTACACGTATGGAAGATACATATCTTTATTTTAGGTACACATGCACTTTTCAGTAACTACCGCGACCAATTTATTTGACCTATAATTAAGGAGCTCTGATTAAGGTACTGTAGACATTAAGGCCGGATGAAAAGAAGACTTGAATTTAAAAAGACGCAACGTAAAATATGCAATTGGTATTCTATGAAATTACAAATCGAGCTCGTCTATTTGACTACCTAATGATAAGACTAATACGTATTCGCCTCAAACTGACCACACTCTTCCTCCTCACGATGCTATGATATCGAGCAACACAGCTTATGCAGATCGGAAATCCTAATCTCATGTCCTATGACCATTGATGGGTCTTTGCAATGCAAGATGTGAATAGTAGAAAATCTATAAGAAGGAATTGAATAATAAGAGAGAAAAAGAAAGACAAGCAAATATAATATGCAAGTTAGAAGAGGAGACGCCTTGCGCAATGCATATGTAACAACCCTCCATGATTCGTGACGCTTCAGAAGTAGCGGGCTTGAGCAGTATTGCAACCACTACCCTTCAGTTATCCCCCGAATCGGCCGAATGGTAATTATTTCATCCTAAGATACTCCGTGGCAAAAGGAGAGTTCTGTGGTAGGAGCTGGACAGGGGTAGGAGCCTTTTGCAATTCGACAATAGTCTTCTTACATCGGCGGCATCGACGACGTTGATCCTGACCCTAGAATGGAAGAAACGTCTCCGCGCCATCGTCTCCTCGGGCGATTATTGATGGTGGGTCGAATGGTAAAGTGGGAATATGCGCTGGAATCGGAGGTACCCGTCCATCAGGCCAGGCGTCATTAAGCCATTGAGAATTGTTTAAGTCGTTTGGTCGATCCTCGTCCAAAATTCCAAAATGCGGCATATCTGCCCAGGAGTGCACATCCGTGAAAATCTTGCGCTCTTCGAGAACCTTGGTTATTGAAATAGATAAGGTCTCACAATCACGAGCAAAGTACGGCTCTATACCGGATAGTGAATTGATGGCAACGGACTTCTTCCAGTTCGCGTAGTATCTGAGGTAATAACGAAGCTGCTCGGGATCAAGCTTCATGTACGTCTTAACAATTTTCGCATGGCGGTGGCCTTCGTTAGCTCCCCAGGGAACGAGCTCGACGCTATAACCTTGCTATAGATTAGTTAGTAAGTATATTTCGATAGGATCTAATCTAGGATGAGGACTTACCTTGCAGTGGCAAACTTTCTCAGGAGATGAGCAAAGGTCCTTACTCACTGTCTCTCTTACCAGACGCCAGAGGTGCCAAAGCTCACTAACTTCACTGGTCGGCATGAGCCGAATATGGTGGAGTCGAGTATCAGTCGTCCACATACTTGGATGATAAATGGTGAATCTAGTAAAGACTCTACCATGGTGGTGTTTCGCGTACAGCCACCAGCGAGCAACAGCCTTTCTCACCCGAGCTACTTCGCTACCTCGTAGACAGCGACGATCGTCTGAATTGTCCCTCCAATGAAGTCCGGGGTATTTTTCAACCCACCAGTCAATCACCTTCGCCATGTTCCAAATTTGCTCGATGTCCTGGGTCATGAGTGTATACATCGGCTCCTTAAAGGTCCGCCTGTTCGGAAAGTCTTGAGAGGCACCACCAAGTTCCATGAGATTTATGGTGATATTTTCGTAGTGATAATTAATTATACGGGGACAGAGCATAAGGTCAGTATGGGACTCGTCTTTGTGAGCGGTGTAAATATAAAGAAGGATGTTGATCTCGGGCAGACGTTGGAGGACAGTAGTCATAATGGACTCTTTATTTCCTTTGAATACGAGGAATAGCCGTTGGCTCGAAAGAGCAAAGTTTGTAACGTCTGAGGGGGACAATAGCTCCATGATTTCGAGTATCAATTCATTAGGTATGCTATGTAGCGGGGGTTCGCTGGAGGGCTGGAGGGTAACATTGGCGGACGGCATGTTGAAGTATGGACCTATTCGTAGACTCGAATTCGAATACGCGGATCAAATTAATAACCAACTCCAATGGATGATGGATTGGGCTTCCGATTGAGCTGTAATAGAATGAAAGTAACCTCTTGGGCACTTCTAGATGCGAACCCAGGACAGGCGAAAAAGTAACAACAGGTTTGCTGATACTTTTAGTGAAAGTTGCAAAAAGTCCAAGAAGGGAATATTGAGGTTTCTTGAGTAACAAGAGGCCAGCAATGTGCGATAGATATCAACCCGCGAAGGCTATGATTCGTTGATACCAGTTCCGAGAATGGCCTAGATGCCTTGTAGTGCAACTACAATTGAGTTTTTGGCCACTCTAGGATCTTTTAAGTGATCTATGTGTGCTCGAACCGAACAGGGTAAACATTCAAAATGCCTCCAAGCTCTCTATAGTGCTAATGTAACGAGAAGGAGAATAGAAAGATAATACTGAAGTAGTAGAGTGGGTGGTGTGAAGGCGAGTGTAAAATCTAGTAGATATGAAAAATAAAAGAGGTGGCACCTGCAGTAAGCAAAGCAGTAAATCTAGGAAAGTAGAAGTAGGAGATTCTGTAATAAAACTATTAGGCGGATACTCCCCGGCGATGACAAGTTTCCAGGCCGATTTGCGGGCCTGACAGTAGGAAGTATCCAGGTGGCTTCTAGAGGTAGTCAGGACGATTTAGTGTCGATTACTTAGATACAAATTGACATAGACGAGCCCCTTTGCTACAGCGAGCTATTAGAATGCTGGGAAATCTCTACTAGCTACAAATCAGTCAGTGCCTATAAGTGATTTGAAAGCAACTGGGACTTACTCTGAACTGAGCTGTTTGGGATATTATTCTCAGGAAGATCGACAACAAGGTAGTATCTCCTTCTTAGCAACACCGTTTGTGTACTTAATGCTTCCCTCCCCTTAAAGGCGTTTGTCTCACTGGTGGAAAAGAATTCACGTCTAATGTCCTCCTGAGACGTAATCTCCTAACAATATATCGTTCTCTTCTCACACCTAAGAGTTGAGACTATTTGATTCCTTAGCTAACCTGATACTAGGGCTTCGACAGCTCTCTTTGTGCGTCAGCGCCTAGCACCCCTTGGTCAACACAGGAGCAGAGAGTTATTCAACTCAATCCGCGACAACCCCTCCTTTGGGGTTATACTGAATGAAAATACTGAGCAGCTGAACCGCATGCCGCTGAATTGGGTACGCCATAAAGGCGGACTCATAGCGTGGTAGTTCCATATTGTTGCTTGATCGAAAAGGAAGAAACGAATTACGCGAGACTAACACGACTTCATATATGTACCTGCCTGATGTAATTCCCCCCCTGTCCCGTCTTAACTCCCATGTCCCATGTAGAGCTTGGACGTTGGTTTCGGGCCGAGGTTTTGCCTAGCGCCAACTCTGTTTAATACTCCTTTAGGTAATTGTGCAATGGTCCGAGCGTCTTATAGCATTGAAAGAACTGTATAAAGTGCACTAATATCTAGTTAAACCTCTTATATAACTATATAGATCTCTTAATCTGCCTACAACAGGTTAGAATATAGGTAGATTTACGAACTTCAGGCTTGTACAGGTAAATGGTATTGATTTTAGTCTTTGTTATTTTTTGGATAGTAACATAATAAACAACGATGGAAATTATTAAGGTGACTTACCTTAGCTAATACTGGAATAGGAAAACAAGTGTGTGTTTCAACAACAATATCATATCGAGTACCTAGTAGATATTCACTTGGTCATGATAGAAGCCAGCTATTGCAGGGTATTATTTCAGCTCAAAATTAGCATATTTTGCTAGAGAATATCTGAAGATACCTGGGTGTCATAGGAACGCCCAGAACGCCATTAGTAGTAAGTTACAACATCTAAGCGAATAGTTCCTTCGTATCTAGCGCATCCACCGGGGCCTGCCTACCGTTCGTCCGCAGTCCCAGATCCCCCTTCTTCGCGAGCCTCTCCACGTGTTGCTCTGTACGAGTGTTATGCTTCATGGCCTGTCCCCTTCGCAAGTCGGCTCGGACCTGGTTCGGCGAGACGAACTCCTTGTTCTCGTAGATGATCGGTCCGCCGAAGGAGCCTTCCTGAATGACGATAGGGGTAAGCACGAATCGCGGGCCAATTTCTACCATGCTGACGTCGAGCTCCTTGTTGCGGCCCTTAGTAGGTTTGGAGTCTGTCTCCGCCTCCCCGTCCTGCACCTTTGGTGCCTCTGATTCTTTTACTTCATAGTTGCGCACCCATATCTTCCCATCTGCGAATGTGAATCCCATAACACGATCTACGAAGGGCTTAGATTTTCTCGCGCCTTGTGGTACACCGAATGTGTGGAGGAAAAGCTCCTTGATGACTTGTAGGTAAGGCTCCTTATCGAAAGCGGCGTCGAAGGAGAGGATTGGTCTTGAACCCTTCAAGCAGTTGCCCGTGAAGTGCAGCTCTATAGAAAAAGAGTTAGCAATGAAACATCCCCACCCGAGAAGAGGGTCAAAAAGGACATAAACGGAGTCTACCAACCTTCCATTGTGTGTAAGTTCTGGAGGTGCATCTTGACCGTTGGGCCATTGGGAACCTTGCTCAACCATACGTACAAATCCTTTCCCTTGCGCGCCTCGAAGAACAGCACATTGTTGCAGTTGTAAAGTTCTGCGAGCTCGTTGAGCTGGTAAAGTTTCGACTTCGTGTCTAGTTTTGCGTCCTTCCGGCCATGAGGAAGCATAGACGCAAGGTCATTAAGTAAATGTCGATGCCTAAGAACAAAAGCTATTAGATATTTCTCTGCGCAAGCGGTCATGAGCCTGCGGGTTGCGAAAATACCTGTATGTAACACCTCTGGAAGATAATATTAAAACTCTTTGCTTATTCTTTCGGACTCCATTGGCAGGTGCTTCGGCCTTCTGGCTACTAGTCCCCTTGGACAACGACTTATATACGGCTGCCATTGTTCGTCAAAATTTGCGATGCTTAAAATGGTCACTGGATCATGTCTTCAATTCAATTCAATTCAATTCGCGATTCGAACGGGAACTTTTTTTCTGCTATGCTTATCGATAGATGATAGCGGGGCCGGGGGCTAAAACGAACCATCCGCGGCATGCGCGTGGCTTGTGTTGTACCTATGATGATGTACCTTATCTAGGTACCTACGTAACTTCGCCGACTGCCCGATTACATGTGCGAAATCTATGCTGGTAACCGTATCCATTCACGATCGCCAAGCTGCCAACAAGGATTATCTAAAATAAATCTGATATCAGACATGATGAATCTGTTTGAGGGCAAGTTGTTACCGAATAGAAAGACATAAACAGCTTACTCACAACTTTTCTTCCGGGGTATGTGATCTTCAATCCAATCCATAAGTAAGATGAAAAAGCCACGTTGATTAATGAGACTACGGCTCGATATCAGTTGGTAAACATACACAGCAACGATACATTCTTATATTAGTAGGGGCAAGAAAAAGATAGCATTTAGTAACTACGTCGGGTGTGTTAGATTAGACATTGTTCGTGACCCCTAGTTGTCAAAATCTTAGGCTATGGCCACGAACATCAGTAAAAGCAGGAAAACAAAACAAGAGAGCCATGTCCTGTGTAAGGTCAATATCCCGAACCCCATGACGCATCACCCTATCACAAGCGTATTCGTTCCGGGCCATACGTGACGCCATATACGTAATGTCATATCAACCGTATAACCGTCGTATCATCTCGTCGCGAGTATTGAACTAACAGCACTTCCCACCTTGTTTCGCGGCATCGTCAGGAGACTTGCTCAACGAAATGTTGGTGCCTGCCATCGGGGCTTGGGCACCCTCGCCGCTATCCAACGCCTTGCTCGACACGATGCGGTAGATTTCTAAAAGTAAAATACATTATTAGTATGCGGTTGCCTTAGCTAGCGCTTGCGTAAGCTAAATGTGGCGAAGGGGGGATACTTACCGGTAAGGATATTCTGGAAGGCAAGTTCAACGTTGCTGGCATCGAGAGCAGAAGTTTCTATGAAAGAGAGATGGTTCTCGCCTAGAGGTCTTGTGTCAGCAATTTGGGCATCTTCAAGAAATTGAATATTAGACATACTAGCAAATGCCTTGGCCTCCTCCGTAGGTACTGCTCGGAGGTGCCGCAAATCGCTCTTGTTACCGACCAGCATGATGACAATGTTGGCATCAGCATGGTCTCGGAGCTCCTTCAACCATCTTGTGACATTCTCGTAGGTCTGGTGCTTGCTAATGTCGTAGACAAGGAGTGCACCGACTGCACCTCGGTAGTACGCAGAAGTAATAGCGCGGTATCGTTCCTGGCCTGCAGTATCCCAGATCTGCGCCTTGATCGTCTTAGAATCGACTTGGATGGATCGAGTCGCAAATTCGACACCAATCGTGGACTTGGAGTCTAGATTGAACTCGTTACGGGTGAATCGACTAAGTAGGTTGGACTTTCCGACGCCGGAGTCTCCAATCAACACCACTATAATTCCATCTAGTTAGTAATTATTGCTTCAGGAGCTCGAATAGTCGGCAGGAGGGGGGTTCGCACCTTTGAAGAGGAACTGTAGTAAGTATTGGTTAGCTGGATCTTCTAATGACAGTCTAATGGTTCAAGATAGAGAGAGAAACAAGAAGTAAAACTTACATCATATTCGTCGTTGGCCATGTTGGGCGATAAACTTGCGGTCGAGGTAAAGTACTGTCAAAGAGAACAGGAAAGACTGTAGCGGCGGTGATAGATAAAAAGGAGCTAGACCGTGGGGCCTATATGTGACGCAACTATAACAAAAGGTCGAGGACGGCGCTATGTCCAGAGAGTTTAGAGTCGAATGTTGTTAAAATTTCTACGGACACTTCCCAAATCTCGTCCGTTGTCACGGTTTCGGTTGGCTGTCTAGAAAGGTTTTAGATGTGTCTTGTAGATGCAGACAATCGAATATACCTGAGTGGTGGAGATGTGAATGGGGGGGAATTAGGTACAATTGTTAAGGCAATCGTTAAGGCAGGCGGTCGGATTGCTGCTAAAAACTGTCGAAGTGTAATAAATTACGGCCTACGGCTTAAGCAGGTAGGTAGTAGGTACCTTGCTACCTTAGGTAAGGCAGGTGTTATCCAGCTGTTAGTAGGGCTCGAAAGTGCGCTAGGAAGTATGCTAGGTTACAGTCGGTACCTAAAGGTCACCTACGGTCGGGGATTGTTGCACGGTGTCAGGAGTCAAAGCGGATCAAACTGGTGCGGGTGGGGGTGTATCACAATAGGAGGCGGTGCAAAAGGGCAAGTTGAACTATTCGACACGTGATTGGATCTACTCCACTCAAGTACCTTATATCTTATCTCTGTGGATTTGTATAATTTCGTGCGTTAGCTCTAGTTATCCATTCCGATTCGTTCATCTCAAAATATATACAAATTTTACTCAATGAGCAAACATAAACGTAGTCTCTTTGTTAAACTACAATCTTGTAGTTACGGTACTAGAGATAAAGGGTTATCAATGAATCATACTCACACTATTAGTGTTTCTTAACACATCTAGTAGATCAGAAACAAAAGGGCACAATATGTAAGGCAATACGTTCATGAGATCTACAAACTTCAAAGTCATCAGTTTTCAATTTTCAATCTCCTACTAATTTAATAAGTTCAAACAAGTGTTCAAAACAGATGCTCCTTGCTAATAGAAAGTTATATAAGTGCCTCTCATAAAGAATGGAATAGATAAACACGTCGACCCCTATAATCATATCTCATCACCACCTCTCAAGCGAATGTGTATGAAACATCGCGCCCTTCCACCTTAACTTCCCTTTTACCCACATCTCAACCCCAGACCCCTAGCCCCTTAACTCCAGCAATCCGCAACTAATCACTCAACTTAACCCATCTTGAGAACAGCTCGGAACCGAGGTCGGCCACTCATCATTGCATCTAGGAAAGTTAGTATGATGCAGCAATATTATACAGGAAACATATGCATACCATAAGCCTCCCGAGCCTGGTCCAACGAGAATGTCTCAACAGCGCATCGTATGCCATGGCGATAAGCAAACTCAATAGCCTTCTCTGAGTCGCGGTTATTCCCCACGGGCCACGCCTGTACCGAGATTCCGCGTTGAACCATATCAATATGGCTAAGCGTCATATCCCCGGGAATGCTCAGGACCACCAGTTTACCCATGACATTGAGGCCCCGGATCAGTGGCGTAAAAGACTCGACAGTCAATGCTGTCGTAAATGCTGCTTGAGCGCCACCTAGAGCCTTGAGAGCTGCGCCGGCATCGCCCTTGGACGAGTCGATGTACTCGTGGGCGCCGAACCCTCTTGCTGCTTTCTCCTTCTCAGTACCCCGTGAGACGGCGACCACGCGGTAGCCCATGCGGTTGGCGTACTGGATGGCAAGGTGGCCGAGGCCGCCGAGCCCCTGGATCGCGACGGTTTCGCCAGGCTTAATGCCAGCCAGCCGTAGTGCGTTGAAAACGGTTGAACCTGCACATAGCAAAGGAGCGACTTGTACGGCATCAACGTCTGCGGGAACGCGAACAGCAGCTTGCGCTCGAAGAATGGTGTACTCAGCATCTATGAAAGCCGTTAGCTCTCTTCTTGTATCAGAACCAAACTGAAGGATAGGGATACTTACATCCTCCGTTCCAGTTGATGCCATTTGCGATAGGGTTATCGCACATCTGAGGCCAGTTCTTAGAGCACATATCACACGTCTCATCGTGGCCGCCGTGATAGCCACCTCCAATGCGGTCACCAACCTTCCAACCCTTCACATTGTCGCCGACGGCGGCCACCGTCCCGATGATCTCATGACCTGGGACAATAGGAAAGCCGCCACCGAAAGTGTTATGTTGGGCGTGCGAGTCTGTGTGGCAGGATCCACATGCTTCGATCTTGACGAGTAGCTCACCATCACCAGGTAATCTTAGAGGCACCTCTTCGAGAACTAGCTTCTCTCCTAAGGCTTTGAAAGCAGCTTGTTTATATGATGCTGGCAGACCCATGATTAAGTGTCAAGTATAAGAAATCAAGGTAAAGGGGTAAAGAATACGATCATATAGAGGACTAGAAAGATCAGTAGACAGATCAGTCGCATTCGGCTTCAATATTACTACTACTCTCTACAATGCTCTTATACTCATATTGAATGGTATAGGGGCCTACCGGATTTACGGTGAGGCACAGCACGATACTAAGCTATAGTCCGGAATTAAGCCCTTAATCCCAAACGAAGCTACTTGAAGGTTGGCGATGACAACGAAGTTTGTCCAAAACGTAGCCTTATCCGAACTTATTGTGCTTGTTGCCCCCTCCCCCGTAGGTAGAAGCATTGCGTGTCGTGGCTAGTCTCATGATGAGTCAATATAGGGTAGTACTACTCGGACTCTTTTTGGTCTTTTCCTCCGTCTGATACTTGCCTAATCTCCAAACAAGTATCTTTCTAATTTTCAGCTAAGGGTTTGATATGCATGTTGGTGTACACTGATAAAGTTGAACTGTTTTGATTGTTTAGGCCCTTGCTATAAAGATGAAAAGGTAAGCCCTAATCATCTACTTTACTAATATAGGTATGTTCACGGGGTTGAGACCCCTGTATGATTCGAATTACTTTAACAATGGTATTATTCAATGAATGATAGGACTTTTTCATATTTGCTATGCTAACTTATGTCCGTATGTCATAAGTTGACATCTACCCGCTTCGGACCACCAACTTAAGATGGGAGATAATTAGCGTACCAGCGTAGACAACATATTTGAAGGTTAGTTTCATAGAATACCGTCCATGTAAAGTCATTACATATCATCCTCAATAAAACTCACTAAGCCTATCTTTCAACATAATGAAATAACTACCAACAAAAGGTATAGCTAATCCATAAAATCATAACAATTCAGGCACGAGAGAAATCCAAAATGCATCCCAATATCCCTTACATCTCCTCTTCCAATACCAAATTAATCCAAGCACGACCCCTTAAACATCAATCAGAGATACTTCTTAATCTGCTCTTCACTCCACTGCCAGAATTCCTCCCCGATTCCACTACCGCCTTCGGACTTTCTCTTCGATGCGTTAGACATCCCTTTCGAGATATTCCAGATCCTTCCCCATGGGGCAACTAATCGCGGTCAGCTTAGCTTCTATAAGTGGTTATTGGTAGTTAGTAGTACTTACCGAAGGCGCCAGAGTTGTCAGAGGTAATATGAGGCGAGAGCCCAGCATAAAGAGCCGTGTACGCGCCATAAACAACCGGGTAGAAAACCATCTTCCGGAGGAAGAAAGTTGTGATAGGCCCCTGAGTGCGCCACAAGTCCGAGTCGAGATTTCCGGGATTCAACGAGGCGGTTAGCACACCATCTGCTTGATGGCGTTTTGCGTACTCGGCAGCGTGAAGGTAGTTCCCAAGCTTGCTGATGAAGTACTTGTCCATCTCTCCTTGCTTCTCGATGTTATACACGCCCTTTAAGAAGACCTTGGGATCTATACTCAGCGCGGCTGAGGACGATAGCCAGATTGCGCGAACGCTGTTGGGGGGCGATGTCTTCGCTGTGGATACTAGGATCGGCGTCAAGAGTTGTGTCAAGGCAAATGTGCCGAGACAGTTCACGCCAAGCTGGAGTTCGTAGCCCTGCTTCGTCTTGGATCCCTTCTCAGGGTATGCGACACCAGCGTTGTTGAAAAGGATGTCAAGTTTTTGCTCTCTGCTAAGGAACTCCTCAACCGTCGTCTTGATGCTTGGGAGGTCAGCTAGGTCGAGGCGAATATATGTCAATTCGCCTCTGGACCCGGGAGTAGCGGCCTTAATGCTGTCGATGGCATTATTCGTCTTCTCTTCAGATCGTGCCATTAAGTAAACCTTGGCATTCTTGGAGTAGAGAATTCGAGCGATCTCCTTGCCGATGCCAGTGTTAGATCCTGTGACGATGGTGACCTTATTGGTTAAATCCGGGACATCTTTCTCTGTAAAAGTTGGCTTTCCAGGGAAGAAGGCCTGTTTGAAAACAGAAGATAAGTCGGCCATTATGAGTTATTCGTTTTCTTCCGTCTTTATAATGATGGATTTGATTATGTTGGTGAACGTTATAGATGTATGTTATAGATGTATGTAATGAGATGAGGCTATATCGTGTTGGCTGTGAATGAAACTGTGATATTTCAGCTAAAGAGTTCTTCAAGGCAATGGTCATATATACAAAAAAACTAATGTCATGCCATTGATCCTACGCCGGGATTATCCCGCGGGGTTTAACGGCTTGGGTCATGAAGATTTATTAGCAAGAGAAGGTGTTTTCGGTATTGGCTTTTATGTGCGAGAGTGTTTCCGCCCTTCTCTACGAAGTACATGATGCGCAACTGATAGGGCATACGTTACCGATATTTACATATAATTCTAGAATCCATATTAATCGTCAGAATAACGTAAAAAAAAGGTGTTCCATTCTTATTGAAGCAAATAATATACTCCTTTCAACCCTATTTTCTCAACGAACACACCAATGATAAAATTGATAAAATTGTCTTACTAGATTCAACGTGTTAATTATTAATTTAAAAAATACTTCACAGATTTCCATGTAGAAATGGTGAAGTTGTCGATATTATACTCTTATTACATGATCAGAGTGGAGCATATTTTTGACGCGATTCTGATCGGATTGTACATGGGTAGATTAAAGATTCAATATTGACACTAAAATAATCGCGGGTAACTAGTTGCTATGCACCCCTGATAGTATCTGATAGTGGCGGGATTAGTATCTCGTTACCTAATGTCTTTTACCTTAGGAGGATGCATGTAGGTAGGTATTTCCCTTATTCTATATTCATCTCTACTAGAAGTCAAAATCATAAAGGTAGGAGTGACCTTGAGTAATTCTGCTGGACTTTCCTAATGCCGTATGATTACATCATAACCTTACCATAGCGGAGGAGGGGGGTTTGGGAGAATGGTTCTAAAACTGGAATGATTTCATGCGGCGGAACGTTTTTGGGTTTTAAGGGCTCTGATTGGTCAGAATCCGGATGTAGTGGGTCCAGTTACCCACTTTTAATATCTTATTTTAAAGAAAGCGTTCCATAACCGTAAAACCATTCCATCCCGTAAAATCGTTCCAATTTTTGGAACTATTTTACTAATAATATAAAATTTTAATAATAAAAAAATAAAATAAAATGAAAAATATTAAAAAAATAATATTAAAAAAATTTTCAAAAAAAAATATTATAAAAAATTTTTTTTTTAAAAAAAAGTAAAATGAAAAAAAAAAAAAAATTTTTAAAATAAAAATTTTTTCGAAAATTTTTTTTCTAAGTCAAAATTTTACTTTTTCTAATGTAAAGGTTATAAGGCCTAAAAACAGGAAAAATTCCACAATGAAATAATTCGATGAGATTGGCCACCTCGTCCCATTAGCTCAAACGTTTACACTTTAAACTTTAACCTTAATAAATAAAAGGTGGGGTTTATGGTTACACGAACGCAAGAGTGGTGGGTTCGAGGACCAGTCCTTCTAATTTTTTGACTTTTTTCCTTTTCGACCCCACTTTTTCACGTGAATATCACGTGAAAGTCACGTGAAAAGGCAAATCGTTCTATTTTACGGAATCATTCTAGTAATAGAATCATTCCAAGATGTTGGAATGCACCAAGCTGATTCCCATGTTACTATCAGGTAGAATGGTTTCATTTATACGGAATGATTCCCTATACCCCCGGACCTCCCCTATGGTATGTAAGGCAGCAGTACATGCATGGGCCAATAAAACATGTGAATCTTACATGTACTATGAAACCCGCGGGATTGTACAAGAGTATTATGTAAGACGTACCATTTCTAGTCTCCAAACCCGCGGCCCTCGACAACTTACACCTTATTGTCTCGTGTTACGACCAAACTGCCATTCCGGGGGTTTCATGCTCTAGTCTTGCTCAAGTCCGATATCCGTTAGCTCTTAGGAAGAATCCGAACCTAAGATCAAATGCCGCCCGGTCCAATAGCAGCTCTTCATCGGCGTCATGCAGTCCGGCGCCTTACGTCAGGCTTGGTTGCCTGCCTCCCGTGCCAAATGCAAGTGTTTCTATCGGTCTGATGGATCTTCTTGTGAGAGGTGCCATCGTCTTGGGAAGACTTGTGAACCAACCTTAACTGCTCGCAAACGAAAAGCTCGTACGCCATCTCCTTCACAATCACATGTGCAGCCTCCACCTCCAACTGGTAATACTCGACTTGAGGAGAAATTAGATGAGCTTGTAAGTCTATTACGCTCTCAAGCAGCTGAGAAACAAGCCCAGCAGCATACGCCAGAATCTTTACCTGGAGGGGCACTCGCTGGTTATACTGATTCCATGTCTCCAACACCTGTATCTATACCTGTACGTGAGCATCCGGATATCGCCATAGACACCACTGCTACTATCGTACATCTTTTACGTCCCTCTACTCCTGCATCACCATCCCCTATATTCGATGATGTGTCCGTCCATAAAATACCAGACACAACCGCAGAAGAACTATTAGACAGCTTTCGCAATGCCTTCATTCCCATGTGTCCTGTTGTTCATATCCCTATCTCAACGAGCTCCGCTGAGCTGCGCCGTGAGAGGCCTTTCCTATGGCTTGTCATCATGGCCTTGACCTCCAAGATGATCTCGCAGCAGTTTGCAATGGCGGATACAATATGGCGTATTATATCACATAGAGTAGTTTTGCAACATATTGTTGATCTAGTCTACTCCTCGGCATCGTCTGTTTCGCTACTTGGTCTGTGTCCCGCGGCCTCATTACAAATGATTGAACTAATAAAGTCAAACTAACTGACTTGAAAGGTCTCACCACCTCAAGGAGGATAAGCCATTTATGTGTATGCTTTCTCAGTTAGCCGTATCGCTTGCCCTCGAACTGAATATACATCATGATACGCCAACGCGGCCGCTGCGGCGTAATCGATTCCCAACTCAACGCCCTGTAGATCAGCGCCCTCGAACTATGGAAGAGCGTCGGACCATGGTAGCTGTTTACCATCTCACATCTTCGTAAGTGCCGTCCTTCTAGGCATGCCTAAGAATGAGGCTTTCTAGTTGCTATACTAACCTAAACATACTAGTACATGGTTAACATACAGGCAAACAGAGCCTATTCGTTGGACATCGTACTTAGATGACTGCCTCCGTATCCTCGAAGAGGAAAAGGAGGTATATACCGATATCCTTTTAACTACACAGGTCAGGTGTCAGATCATTTCGAACCAACTAACCTGTTCCCTCTCGGAAACCAGCCAGCGGGAGCAGAAAGCCCCAAAGCAGCATCGGCTGCTCTGGTTACAGCCTTACTAAGAGAACTTGGTAATATTCGACGAAACTTGCCAGCCGAGTTTGAAACAAATAGTTAGGATGCCCTACCCTATCTTTCAGTAGTTCATTAAAGTCTAACAAGTATCTTTAGAAGCAACGCAGTTCTACTTATGTTTTGCGGAAATCAAAATTCGAGAAACAGTGCTTTACAGACCTAGGATCATAGACCAAACAGGAACCTCACAGTTCCAACGACTACAAGACCTAGATATAGTTTTAAGCATCGCGGAGCGATGGGTATCGATTTTAAATTCCCTACCCTATTCCCAGTGGCACGGCTTCACCGCCGATCTCTTTACCCAGTTTACGCAGTATCTGGTAGTACTGTTCAGGCTCCAAACCCTTGACGAACCCGGCTGGGATCAGGATGAAGTGAGGCGGAGGGCCGACGTCTTCGGTATTATAGACCAGGCCTGCATAGATGTCGATCGCGTCCCCGTGTCGCTGGGCATGGTGGACGCCGAGGGTCCGCGGAGCGGATTCTTCTTCAAAATGTCCCGCCTGCTCCGGGAAGTAAGAGCGCTTTTCCTGGCAGAGATGCCGCATAATACGCAGCTAAATCCTGCTTTCCCCGCCGCAGATAACATGGCCACGGGGGATGGTATCAATACCGCCGCTGGGTATGGGGACGACATGTGTCTCGCGGATGAAATTTATTTGAATACGGTACAAGAGGATATTTTGGCGCATATATGGGATTTCAGGCCGGACAGTTCTTATATGCCTTTTGCTTCATAGATTGATACCAATATAGGGGCTATGTTTATATTGAAATATAGGTATTCATTGGCATAATTCACGTAACAGACTTTTGAAGGCCAACGCTAACACTCTTCTTGTCACCTTGGGTACTCCTTAGGTACGTAGCTATATCATATTATAGGTTCTAAGTCTCGTATCCCTATTTTCTAACTCTCCTAGTAAAATCCTTACCTCATAATGTTCCAATTACCCGATACTCGTTATATATATGACAGTACGGCATATTCGCATCAACACTTTCCTTGATACTAAGTCGACATTTACTACTACAATGCGATAATAAAACATTTATTCGAGTTATCTCAATTTGGGCATCGGCGAATTTCATTGTGTACAACGTGGTAACTACCTAGCTTATGTGCTTAGACTTTATCATAATAAACCTCGCGCCCTCAGCATACTTCCTCAGTACAAGGCTTGTTCTTAGACTTCTCAAGTCCTTTCATCCGATCGACAAAACACGTACAAATATCTCTCGGTTCCATAGTGTACTCAAGATCTCTAAACTTGGCCAGCCGAATCAAGAGGCGGACAGACCTAAAGGTTTGAGTCGCGGAAAACACAGCGCACAGAGTGTATATTTTCTGCCCAAAACCTCTTATACCCCACCTCAATCCAAAGCTTTCCAAATCAAATCTTTTTACGTTCCCCATTAGAATCTTCCTTAGGTTTTTTAGACGTGAAGTGAGAACCAAGTTTCCCATGAGAACTCTATTTCTTCTGAAATAGCTTGGTCAAAATTCTATCCGCACTATCGACCTGGACGTGACTCGAATCGCGACCTTCTGCTTTCATGTCGTGATACCAGTCTAGAGTCGATCTATACTGGTATCTCATTGTCTGACATGATGGGTCCTTCGCCCGAGCGCTATAGGCAGCCCCATAAAGATCGTTGACGCATGCTGACTTCTCTAATTTGGTCCCAGGACGCGGTGCATGCCATATAGACCTTGGAAGCTTATTCCTATCGCCCTCGTGTTTTGGTATTGGTTTCTGCTTTTCTTCTTTTGAGTGTATCACTCCTTCTTCCCACTCATACTTTGGAATACGTATCCAGCCCTTATCTGGTAAAAGAGATTCCATGGGAGGTAACCATTGCTTGCCGTCTGCCATCATTTTTTCAATCATTCGCTTCGTGATATCTAATGGCCCATCCTCTAGGTTATACTTTAAGTCGGTTTTACTGCTCATATAGACTTCGCCAAGGTAGTAATGCGGATCCTTCAGTGATATTTCCCTTCGAACAAGGTCGATTAGATGCCGCTGCATGTTAAGTAGAGAAGCTTTCCCGCGTCCGGATTCCCGGTCATGGGCGAATATATCCCAGATAAACAGTTCTACTTCAGCATATGTATCAATCCTGAAGTGAGGATTCTTAGGCCTAAGCACTGCAATCCAAGGGTGGTACCTATGTGAGCTTAAAGATAGTTCGGGGTTCCACTCGTCGTCTATGGTATAGAATAGACCGTACCAAGTGTTGATGTTTGTAAACTTGCGAGCAGCACCCAACCAGTTCTTGAAGGTATCATACTCGCACCTAAAATCCTGAAAGTAGTCAGCCATCGGTACATTCAGCCACCGAACGGGCTTGTAGTGTAGCTTGGCCCAGTTTCCTTTTCTCTGAAGGCGGGTGGGGAGACTGGTGATCCATTGGCTAAGCTCAGTAGCGCTGCCGCTGCCAAGGGACGAACGACGAAGGGATACATGTGGAGCAGATGCGCTGCTCGCGTTACCAGGGGCTACAGAGGCGTCATGAGCTAGATCTTTGGGCTTCTCACGCGCCGAAGCTATGTCGGGGTCATTAACCGTTTCTTCTGTATAAACAGGAATCTCGATATTCCTGTAAGCGGCTCTATTTTTGTTGTTATTTGAGCCAAGCACGGTGAATTTGCGATATCGATCACATTTCAAGCTAGACCACCAACAAAAATAATTTACCAAGCTCTGCTCGTCGTTTGGATCGATAAAATCCGTGACCCATTGCACTTTCCGGATCTCTTCACTCGTTTCTTCTGTCTCCAAAATCGGCTATGATCCCCTTCAGGACCTCCCACGCTCGGAATCTTGCTTCGAGCTCTTGCTTCCCTAAACCGGATTCTGCTAAGAGCTCCTCAAGATGAGGGTTGTTTCTATGTGCTAAACACATCCTCTTTCGTTCCGCTTCTTTCTCCAGCGTAACTGCTTTAAGGAAGTCCGGAAAATCTGCACAGGCCATAATCAGATAATGAGGGTTACAGCAGTAATTTTTAAACCATTCCAGAAACTTGTGAAACCGGACTGGATCTGATAGTACGAAACTGGGCGTGATCAAAAAGGCTCGGCCCTGGGGGAATAATCGTGTCAGCTGGAGTGTGCCAGGTTCAATAGACGCGTATATATCAGATGGGAATCTTGGTGGGCTGTATTGCCCCGTAGCAAGATCCCAAAATGTATAACAGCATTTATTTTCAATCATCTGGAAGATCCGGGGCAATTTTCGGATAGATGTACTAATATCTTCATGTAAGATGATAGTACCTGCTTTGCCTGCTTGCACGGTCTCGTGGAAGTGTGCCCAGCTGTCCTTGATTTCGTGGGTGAATATTTGGCAGGCTGGTTGACATGAACCTACAAATATTACAATTAGTATCTATACCTTCCATCATAATGAGAACAATGCGGTTTGGATATCACTCACGGAGCCAAAGCTTAATCATATTGCATACTTGTTTTTCTCTTTCGGGGAAAAGCAACATAAACGCCTGATTATCCTTCTCTCTAGGGGTTTGAGGCAAAAAAAGAGAAATCCAGCCCAAATAAGTCCTTGATAAGTACTCGGGAGTGCGATCCTTGTTCCACATGGCTCAGTCGGGTTGGAGCACGAGGAACGGACGCTGGGGGGTAGAGTTTCATATCGTCGCACGATTTATAGATTATATATCGTAAATGAGACTCTGGGTTGAGCTTGCTTGTATCGACGCCAAGTCCATTCCAGCCATCGCATTTTGCAGGATAGACAAGAATTGAAAATTGTTCCGTGATTAGGTGATTACCATATGAGCCTCGTCGAAGGTGTTCCGCCACATTACTCAAGGTTGACGATAGCTCCTTGGATTTGGCCTCTATCGTACCGTCAGAGAGAGTTTCCCCCATTATTAACTCCTTTTGTCGAGAGACGAAATTGTACGAAGAACAGATGGAATCAAAATGTAATATTTCTTGTGCCATAAAAGCCGACAGCCAGGGCTGAACTTGGCGAGTGATGCCACAGAATAGGACTTGGACCGTCTCAGATCCACTATTTCCGAATATGGCTGTCTTTAGAACGACCTGAGTCTGTGCTTCGCTCCTGGTAAGTGGCTAAGGACAATCTCCTCGATGGATTAACTTTAACTGAGTCCGGAGTTTCTGGGGGGTGATCGATATCCATTAGATTATCAACAACAAGACCGACTCCGTCATCTGTGGCTCCGCCCATAGGCGTATCCTCAGATGCGTCATTCTGCGCTCCAGTAAAGCGAACAGACTTCTTGGTCTTTAGTGCCGGCGTAGTTATGCTCACATCGCTCGGTGATATTGCCGTGGGACTTTGTACAATTGGAGCGTTTGCTATTGGTGTGACTGGGGAACCCGCATTTGTCTGGCCCGGGTTCGGCCGATTACGCTGGTCATTTGTTACGAAGAAACTAGCCGGGATAGACGAGATATCAAGGTGCGCCCCATCCATTTTTTCGATGCCCCTTTTTTTTGCGATATTCATGACACGCATTGAATTAAAGGCCTTAGGTGTCTTTGACGGGTCATCCATGACATCGGCAAGACTCGCCCGCTTCTTCCGCTCTTTACCTCCAACGAAGACGTTACTTTTTCGTGTAGGCAAGGTTGCTGGTTGAGGTTGAGGTTGAGTACGAGTTGCGGTATGCCGCTTCCCGGAAAATTTGTTTGCCAGGCTGGACGACATCTTCGGCGGGAGCGACGAAGGGGCCTTCGGCGTTGAATTTGGCGCCGTTTGGTGTGATGCTTTTTTCGTGTCTGTGCTGGGCTTTCTCGCGGTGCCTTGGTACCCGGTCATGGTAGTACCTATTCCCCCGTCACCCGAAGATGCTCGTTTTGGCTTTAGAGGCCGCTCAGCCGGCTTAGACGGTATTGGGTGCGTTGGTGTCCGCTTATTCTTGCTTTTGTTTTGAACCGAGTCCGTCTCTGTAGGGGTTGGGATTCCATTAAACATCTTCTGCTTGATGATTTTCTGGGATTTAATCTTAGGTGTTGGATGACCCTTATCAACGTTACTCGTCTCCTTAACTCCGCCATCGAGGTCCATTTCACTCCCGGGGGAAATCATTGTAGAAGAATCCTCAGTAGGAGATTCAAGAGGCAGAGGTACGGTGAGCGGCAGCCCCAATCTCTTCCTTTTTGCATTCCGTCTCTCGTGCCTTTCTGCCTTTTCTCTACATGCAGTGTTATATATTTCAACGTCAAAAGGCAGGCGCTGTCCGGTTGCAATTTCCTCCTGGATCTCTGCCCATTGCGCAAGGAGACCCGGTCCCAGGTTTTCCACCGGCTCCCAAGTACACTGATCCATCGGAAAACCCTCCCACTTGATCAGGTACTGTCTCTCACCCGGTCTTTCCGGGTGAGCCCGATCGGCGTAGAGGTCTGCAACAGTCCATTCTTTATCCTGATCTTCACTATTGACTCCATAATCAGTGGAGGCTAGGGAAATACCATCTATATCATCAGTATCACTGGGCCCAGCAGGAACTGATAGACGAGTTGGAGAAAGCGCCATCTTAAAACATTGAAAAAAAGGCGTGTTCGACACAAACAAGCAAAAGAGGGTAGAAATCGGATGGTGATTAGGGCATGAGGTACCCAGGTAAGAGGTACGCAAATAGCGTTCTCTTACGGGTAACTTCGTTATAATGAATTGATTCAGACAACGGCGATTACTTGAAATGATTTAGGTGAACGCTCTCGAGATGTATATGCCCATGTACTTGGAAATTGGGAGATTGAATGGAATTTGTGTTTGTAGGTACAGGTCTGTAGGTAGTTGTTATTTGTTAGTTGTTGAGTTTTGATACCAGTTACCTCGGTGCCCAGAAGATTTTGGGCATTTGGACTAGGTTAGAACGCACTGGCCAATTAGATAACTGAAGCCGGGAAATAGGAACTAGAAAGCGTACCTACCAGTTCTATTTGGCCGCTATGATGTAGATTGTGTAACGATTTAATGTAGCAAGCACAAGTACCTGCATATCTAATATAAGGTAGGTAAGCTTGTGCCTCCAGTCGAGATGTACATAATTAGGCTAGATAAGTAGATACGGTATCTTAGGTACCTGTTTTATGTAGAGTTTTTGTAGGTAGGTTGCATGTATTGGTGGAAGTTGGGAAGTTTACCCTCGCATTTTAAATCTTGTTCAAATTAACATAAAAATGTAAAGTACCTGTTATATAAATAGTTACCTATACAATATAGTTTAAAAATATTTCTATTATCGCTACCTCATCATCTATATGATATATAGGTAAAGACTAACTAATTAAAAAAAAAATACCGAATCATGAATACCGTTTGCTCGTACGCTAAGTATCATCTCGACATTTAAATTTGTGGAACTCCATCTTACATAACAAAGGAGAAGATCTACATTAGGCAGTATACATACCTAATGTATGTAGTTCAATCAAAAAAAGGGGAAGGGGATAGAAGTAGCGCCACACGCGCTTTGACGCGGATATATATCTTATCAGTAGCGATACTCGCCGTCCGCGCTTCTGCGTCCGTTCGACCTATTATCGATCCGTTCGTCGTTTAGCCAATCTTCGACATTTTTCCAGCTGCGGGCCTCTGGGTCGACCTCGCGCTCGAGGCCGCGGCTTCGAGAACGACCGTAGTCGCGTTCATCCCAATCCCTCCTCCAGCTAGAGCCGCTACTATCGCGTGGGCGAGCGATAACTTCACGCTTCTCAATGACGTCGCGATCCGGTCTGTATTTGCGCTCCCATTCCTCTTGCTCGAGTCTGTCCCTTTCACGCCGTACTTCAAGCCGCTTCTCGACAGCATTTGCGCCGAGCGCACCTACAGCTGCACCGACCATCGTGCCGATGAGTTGCTTGCGCTTCTGTTCAGGAGTTTCGTGATGGTGGTGGCCATTGTTCTTGTGCGTGGCATCGACTGCTTCCCTAGCCGCTAAGCCACCTACTAATGCGCCAAGTACACCAATTCCAAGACCCGCAGTGGAGTTGGAAAAGTTGTTATCGACAAAGTTCCGTGCCTTGTCGACCGGAGTCCGCGTCCGGCTGTCATCAGAGTATTCACTATCACTGTCTCTGTCGTGACTTCTTTCCTTTCTCCTTCCGCGGCTTGATCTCCGATATTCACCTGAGGGGAGAGATCTAGGTCGCGAGCGCGATTCGGGTATTTGTAAGCTCGATGACGACTGAGACGTGTACGGTTCATAGGTTAACTGTTTTGGAGGCGGCGACTCATCATACGTAGGGTTCGTCGTGTTTGCAAGTTGTCGGCTTTCTTCATAGGATATTGGGTAGTCTCCTCCCGAGTATGTGTAGCCGGGAGAACCGTCTCGATGGTGACTCGACCGCCCGCGAGAACGGCTATCATGGTAACGCGACATCTTTATGATTGGTAGGCAAATTTCACAAAACGTATACTAATTACCGCAGTAAGATACCAGATGTCTAACGATAATTAGAGTTGCGAAACAGAAGTCGGTGTAAAACAAAATGTGCTGGACGTAATAGTAAGATTTTATTCCGCAAGACAGATGAGTATTAAAACCCTCAAGCCGAATAAGATCCGAGACAGGCAGAGTTGTTCAGGTAGTAGTTGGTGGATAAGTAGATTTTCGTATTATTATCTCACCGAGATATATTCTGCCCAGGCTGAAAGGCACAGTAGGTAGATAAAATACATGCAATATATGTACAGAACAGATAGTAGAAAGAGTCTCAGGGCAAAACATTAGTATTAGTATTAGTCAATGTTTTTACGGCAATGCCTTCTGATCCCACGCCATTCTGTCGTGCATCTCATGCAAGACGTGATACGCTAGAGAGTTACAATGAGTAGAATGCTCGGGTGAATGCTTAGAGAACTGAAGGATGAGTTTCTCGGCTCTGTGGGCTTAGATCATGCCCAAGGGCCCAAGGTGCTTCCCGCTGCGGACTACGGCGGGATGGCGGATGACCATTGGTGGGGTCATAAGCAGATGATGTCACGCACTTGATTACCTGCATGTGTTCAAGTCACTCCAAGTAATTAGTTACTTAGGTACCTCATAAGTGCCAAGAACCATATTCGGTAATAAGCACTTTTCGAGTTTTGCAAAGGGAACATCAACTCTGCCTCCTATTCTTTTTGTAATGACGATGATTTATTTGTCCGGTCGAACAACGATAAGTATAGGTAACTAAACTTTTAGACGAGCATATCTACATTTTTATATTAGCTTCGCCATTAGGTAATGACAGGATCTCACCGAAAGTGAACAAATTATGCAAGGTACCCGAACGACGACACGAGACTCTCCCTATGATTAGCCAATCGAATAGCCAGCTTAACCAGCCTACCGAACTAGCGTATATAGTGTCGACTACCGTATATATATCCTCTCGCAGCCTGACCTAAATGATGGTAGAAAAAGGAGGTAGCATCTGCAACATCGTTAAGCATAGAGGGTGCTGCCTATGTTTACAGATATCGTGTAAATGCTTAGCCTCCGGTATAGCCACAATATTGTCCTTGATATGACCTTGTTAGTAAGCATATTAGTATCCTGATCGAGTTGTCCGGCCTTATTAGTCTGACTTGAAATCACACTTCCTCCCCAATACAATAGCAACAGGAAAGGGGTCTATATACGAAACACAATTTTGAAAACCAGACAGTTATTATTGCGTCGTGAGTTCTATCAACCTTACTAATGTACAATCTCCTATCAGTATATCGAAATATACTGTCGAATAGGCACAAGGCTGTCAGATCAAACTGCAAGAAAGCAAACCAAGAAACATATCGTTCGAGTATCATAATCCGTGGTCATCATCTTCCATGATTCATTATCCGTAATGCGGGGTGATTCCAACGCATTGACATGAAAGACGTGAGAATAGTTGGTTGTCCAGATTAGATGTGATCGTTACGCCGAACCATTTTTGTGTCGCAGTAATAAAAGAAAATAGTACACAACGACGTCCCCACCAGTGGGATGAGGCCGAGGTTGAAGTCCCTGTTGAAGTCGTAATCGAATTCGAGGGTTATGTCTTGACCGAAAGACATGGTCTATACGATCTTGACATAATGAGGCAAGTGAGGTCATTGCCTGTTGCAGTGTGTGCAAAGAAGAGAGTTGAATCTCCTGAAAAAGGTTCGTCATAAGACGAAGCAAAAAAGCAAGATAAAACGACAATCATCTATCTGGAGACGATTGTGGTATCATAACTGTGCGACATTATCTAACCGGTCTTTATCTCATAGACGCGATGCTAGAGAAAATTCGAGGTATTTGTTGAAAATTTCCTCTCAGAGTCAGAGCCGGGGAATGTCATCTCAAACAAAGAAATCGGGTATCAGAACATCGAAGAAACCCGGAAAGTTCATCCTGAACAAGTCGTAAAAGCGCCAAATACTGCAAATACCACACAGGAATTTCTCATATGGGAATACGATAAAGGGACGAACCGCCTACAAAGGCCACGTCCTACTACCGCCTATCTTACTTCGTCAATGCATGCGGCTGTTCCGAGGGGTTATACACCTTAGGCTCAAGAATCGGGCCGCTAAAGTCGCGCTGTCTGGGTGGGACATTGATCTGGTTTTTGATGCGGTACTCGCCGAGGTGTTTGCCCTTGGGAGGGGATAGATCATCGTGACTTCGATGTTTGAAGCCAGAGTTAGGTGCGTACTCCACGAATGACTTCGCCGCCTCCTCCTTCTCTTGTTTCTCTTGGCGGACCTCGATAATAGTCCGGAAGAACTGGCACACTTCCGCCAGCGAAGTCTGTAGCTCGGGAGGGCTGTTGAGTAGCTGCATGAGCGCCTGGGAGTCCAAAATGTGCTTCGCGATGACCGAGTCCGGCTGACAGTGTGTGCGGATCCGCATGTTGCGCGCGTTCATCTTCATACCGTACAGGAGGCCCTTGACAATATGGTCGTCTGCATAGTGCGGACCATGGAATCGGAAGTTGCCGATATGTGCGTATATCATGTCGATTTGGGTCTCAAGGTCGTAGCGGAACCCAATCACCTTTGGACGACCCATCTGTGCCCAAGAGTCGGCTATCTTAGCATGGATGTGCGGGTTCATGCGTCCGAGATGCAGTTGGCCGTTGATGTATCCGCTCAGGGTGTTGCTCAGAATGAACTCTAGCTCACAGTAAAGCAGACTCTGCTCACGGGGATCAAGTGTAATATTGAGCTCACGAGCAACACTCACTCTGGAGGCACCAACTCTAAAGTCCGCCATTCCAGCCTGCAATATGTCAGTTTAAGCAGTTAGAAAAGAGGAAATCGATAAAAGCATACAATCTTTCGAGCCGTCTTCTTCATGCCATCAAAGAAACGCGCATTCGTAGTCTTCGGGCGCTCAAGTTTCTTTTGCGCGGCGGTATCTTCGAGCCATCCTTTATCTCCGAACAGATTCTTCTTCACCTTCTTAACCTTGTCATTGGTAAGCCACGGCGTCAGCGGTGAAAAAGGCGGCGCGCCGTATTCCTTAGTAACGTCATTGACAGTGAGAGATTTAGGTAGACCTAGACTACCTTTCTCGGGCGAGTGGTCTCGAGAAACAGCTTGAGATACCGGGCCATCCGAAATAGGCGTGACCGGATGATTGCGCTCCTCCGTAGGTTGCTTCTCCATCCAGTTGGAGTAGCCCTTCAGAATGTTACCCTTTCCCAGTCCGGCTTTGTAGGGGTCCCCTGAGGGCTCTTCGTAAAAGTGAAATGGCGTACTAGCTCCGTATACTGAAGGGCTATCATCGTCGGAGCTCTGGCCTTTCTCTGATGAAGGAATGGGATTGTGGACGGCCTCGATGTTTGCATGTCTTCCGTTCGTCGCACCATACCTATGAGCCTCCGTGAGATCAAGCGGCTTAGGCCGACGTTTCTCTTTCTGTCGAGCAGGGGTAGACACCGCGGGCTTCGGTGGAAACTTGTGTCGGGACATGTCTCGAGATCTTCGAAGAGTTTCTTCATCGCGCATATTGATGAGATCGGATACTGTTGTGACATGGCTGGGGAAGTTACCCCCGGCACTCTCAAGCACAGGAGAGAGGATATCATCGGCATCACTTGACTGGAATTCGTATCTATTCTGAAGTGAGCGTCCACGTTCCGGAGAGGCGGTATTGCCTAGTTGCTGGTATATGCTAGATGAAGCACTGTTTCCTCTGCTGCGGGTGTAGTAAGGGGGAGCATCGCTGGACTCGTCACGGTAAGAGCGTGATCCCGATCGCGAATGAAAAGGTTCTCTACTAAGCACCCGAGCTCTAGCCACACCTAAGTCTAGCTCCGCAGCGCTACGGCCTCCTTGAGGAGTAGAATACCTAATATTGTTAGAAAGAGGTAATAATTGTCTAGGTAGGTAAATATAATTTGAGAAAGTTGCTCGTGCTTACATCTTAGAAGAGTTGTTGGAAAAGGCGCGTTCAACTTCAGACTGAGTAATAGGTAGCGGAGACAGCGGCTGATGAAGGGATTCTCCTTGGAGAATAGTAGGGTTGTCGCGTGAGTGACACGAGGCTGAAGAGTTGCTTTGCTTTGATGCTGATGCGTTTGTTGTGTGCTGGAGTGCAGCGGTATGAAGGGAACAACTATCCGTACGCGACGTCAAATCCGTAAAGGGACTGAGTAATTCCGGATCTTGGGTACTTCCAGATGTGCTGCTAAGCCAATATTTGACTTTTTCTAGTTCTTCTGTACCAAATAAAAATTTAGCATACTAGCAAAGAAGGAATCTCGTGATAGGGGCATAAGAATTGGGAAGGGGGTTGTGGGGATTGAATAATTCAAATTGGCAGAAAAAAAAAAAAAAAAACCTACCCTTATCAAAGGTCGTTTTTAGGGAAGTTGTTATTGATGCTGCTGATGTTGCTACATCCTTAGGAAATATCTGTTTCTTCTCCATCACTTTGTTGTCACCTAGGCAATAGGTTAGAATACAGCCCACCAGTCAAGCACTTCGATCCTCTCCATCAGCTGTTACCAGTTGACGATGACCAGTTGAAAAGACGTACCAGATTTGGTTCCCCATACCCAACGAGTGCTTCTAGCATCATCATTGAATATCGGTTTAGAGGAGTGGTATCTTTCAACAGCTAAGACTGCTACAGGGCTCGGCAACCCAGCTATGAATGTATGTTAACCGAATGCAATGAACATAGATGCAACATAGATATAGATATTATAATATACCTTGAAACAGTCCGTTAACTCGAATCGCCTGGGCGGAATCACTTGCTCCTTCTTCATCAGCCATGTTGTGTGATGAGAAGACGGTTAGACGAAGATCGTTAATTTTACGCGATGTTGAAGAAACTTTCGTTAAAGGATGCCGTTCGATATTCTAAGTTCAAATTAACTTACTACCTACCTAGCAACAGAACAACTGACCGCCTTTTTTCTTCCGGTTTTTTTTTTTGTGAACGTTTTGATACCTTCCGCGCCTCTCTTATAATATTAGGTTAGGTACCTAAGGCATATGAAAATCTTTCAATTGTCACCCCTTAAGCACATCACAAAGACGAGAGCTACTAAATTCTACATTGCACATAGCTGATTTATCAAGCACTGCGATAGCCTCTTGTGTCACATTTGTCCTTTAAGAACACCCTTCTTCCGTTGCCACACTTCTGTGGGCATCTTCCTCATTAAATTCAGGCGGACTAAGACTCGGTGATAGCTCAATTATGGTGGTCTTGCGATTTGATGTTGAGGTATTGGTACCGGAGGCTTCTGCTGGAATTGTAAATTCCACGTTTTTGAAAAGTAGAGTATCGCAACGTCGTAAGCCATGTTTATTTCTAGATAATTCGTTAGCTACAATTAACATGAACCGCCATATACAATACACACCTTTCTTGAATAGACGATTGCTGGACATGATCAGAATCCAAGATTTCTGAGAGGCCTTGATTACTTGGTGTGGAAGGTTCATCTGACTGTAATCGCTTCCATGTGGTCCTATCAAAGCCTCGCGGTATAGTTTCACCTAGGCTATCAAGCGCAGATCGGTTCGAAGTGATGTAGTTTGCTAGTAGCTGCGTGGTATCCCTATCACCATCTACTATTTCTTCCATATTAAAGACAATACCTTGTCTTTTTGTCGACATCCGTTGGTAATCTGCAGATTGTTCGGTTTCCTCTAAGTTACTTTCTTCGAATCGATCACCAGCTGTAAGGTGCTCCTACCCTCAATTGAATCATTTAAGTCGAATCTTCTGCAAATTATCGCGGGCTCCTCGGGGCTCCATTGGTAGTCTAGTCCCCCATCAAAGTTTAGTTGTGGTGTAAAGGGGCCTCGGAATGACCATTTTCGTGCTCTCTCTAACAATCCGGCTGAGGCAGCCTTCACGATGGTGTCTGTGGCTTTTGATTCGGCGGTAGGCATCTGTCTTAGAGGCAGGCACGGGGGCAGCGAATCACCAGTCCCAACGAGTAAGTATTTCCTAGCGAATATTGCATTTGGTATCTGGCAACCATTGGGTAGAGGCACAGTAGCAACATCCGGGGAAGTTCGTTTGGTTCGAAATGATGAGGATGAGGCTGGCTCGAACGTGAGCGCACCCGGGATCCAGCTGCACCGTCTTTGGTCTAGTTCGGGCTTATGTTTATGCATATGAATCTTATCTGATAATTTACTAAAGAGACTGGACCTAGATGAATAACCACGAAGTCCTTTGCAAGGTTTTGGGTTATCGAGAAGGAGGGTATCCGCTGTACCTGGGGGTGATGTCCCGCTTGGACGATCCAGGGAGGCAATCGGTACATCTCGCTCTTCGATGAATTTCCCTTGCGCGCCACACTCGTGGCTCCATTGCATCTCATGGAACTTCTTGGGGTTCGGGCTGTTAAGTGGGCGAGTACCGTCATTTCGTGAAGAGATGTATAGTGTGTGATCAATAAGCCATGCCTTTCGATTGCGTATGCAACTGGGATCAATAGATGCCCCCTCAGTTGAAGGAGATGAGTCGGACAATACGAATGGGTATCTATCTGGGTGTTCCGATCGCCATTGCGCGAGCTTCTTTGTTGGGATGATTGAGGAAGTAATAGTAGTCATATGTGGGACGTGAGGGAGTTCGAGGTCAGCCTAGGGGGTAGTGTCAGCTCTTGACTACTTAGGGAGAAAGGCTGTGAACTTCTAACATATCTGCGTAGGTGATCATGTTTCCACCTTTGAAATGCGGCCCCCGGATCATCAGTATGCTCACAGTCGACTTCAATCAGTTCGTAAAGCACACCACCCGCCAAGTCGAGATTCTCGTCACCAAGATGTTCTCGTAAAACTAAGAAGATCTAGGTGAAAAATGTCAGAAGACATACAGGTATTTAAAGATAGGGGATACAAACCTGTGGAATTCCGTCTTTGTATTGGTAGTTCCTTGGGATGTGTGCGCAGTATCTTACAAGCACGTTGCGACATTCTAGATAATTGTAAGTTACAAGGATAATAGATAATATAAAGGAATATTAACCGTGTACTCACTCTCTTCATGATAACCGATTCGATCTAGATTATGAGTTCCAGACCGCTTGAAGCTGTGATTTATATTGAGGTCAGGGTTATCTTCAGCCTCGATAATTTGTATAATATCCCCCGTGACACTGCTGTCTTCCTCTGCGGAAGTCTTAAGCCCTGTATGGCGACGCGACGTCCTCGATATCATAATGTAATTGATCAGAAAGGTTATATAATTATGCGTGACGGAGCAAGCCAGTGTTTGTGCTAGACACCAGAGCGTAATGCATTTAGGCTAAGGGGTTCGACGGGACTGGTGTTGTAAATTATTATTAAGGCCATAAATCTGTTAGCGACGCTGAAGTTAAATATTTCACGTAGGAGAAAGGAGAAAGGAAAAAAGAAGAAAAGAACGTCGTGATCGAGACTTCCTGACACGACGGCGAAAGCTTAGTTGTTCCCACACGTGCCCTCAATATTGATATGTTCTTGCCCTTTATGAGAGGTACCGATAACGACGCCAATTAGGTAGAATCAAAGTCTATTTGGGTACCTAATGCTTTCCCCAGCCTTTAAAGGATACATGCTCCTTCCATCTAATTGACATAATATGGGGACGTCTACATGTAGGTAACTAAGTTGCCTGAGCCATGCATTGACCCCGTGTAAATGATGCTCTGTAGTATTTCTGTAAATCAGAGTAGTATAAATTCATACCTATTTAGCAACCTTATGGGATATTGCTAATACCTACATACCTACATAAATACCTAATGTATGTCTAAAAATATATAACTCATAAAGAACCATATTTGTACTTGTAGGCTTATGTCGAAATGCTGAGACGTCTACTAAAAAGGTGGGATGATGTTTTATAGCTGGGCCATCTTCTCACCCAGTTTATTTGTGCAGAAAGCACCAAAATACTCGTTTAATGCGTCCACGGTCCCGGAGCCTTCAACCAAGCTCGTTACGATACCCACGTAACCATCGGGTCGAACAACAACCACCCCACCCCTTTCTTCATCGAATCCCATTTTGGCGTGGGCGGCAGCTTTTGCATCGGGTACGCGGCGGTCCCATCTGTCATCGGCATATATGTGATCACGGTAACGAGCAAGGAGACTCGGTACATCCTGTGTGATCTCGATATGACTCCGCTGGGCAGCAAAAACGGTACATATAGTAAAGAAGAGGCTGTGAGGGTTGTGCTTCTCGTGATGTGAGACCGAGTCAATGTCTGGACGAAGATAGGAACTGTAAAAGGACCCCTTGCTGCTGAGGCGAAGGGCAAAATCCTCCAGTGCCCTGGAGGTTACTGCAGGCTCCCCGGCGAAAATATAGATACGGAACGCACCGTTGAGAGGAACTTCTTGTTCTAAATGTACAACATTTGCGTCGACGACCCTCGTGACGTCAGCGTTGATCATAATTCGACCTGTTCGTAGTTTGCTTCCTCGAGGATTAATTAAAGAGGACTTGGCTATGTGAGCTGGAGACCAGTTTAGCGCATTGGGCTTGTAGGCTACACCATATCCACTAGTAAATTCGCAAGATTCCTTGAAGGTCTTGACAAAGGCATTATCTTCGGCCTGTTCACTTGTCTGCTCTGAGGCGGCCTGTACCTCTTTTGCAGCAGGCGGTCGTTGCGAGAATAGTTTAGCATATTTGTTGTCAATGATAGCAGGGTTTCTGCGACATCTTTGCGTTCATTTTCGTACGTTGCTAAGATGGCTCGATCAGCGAATCCAGCTTCGACAGCGTGGATTTTCCAGGCGAGATTCAGGGCATCGAGAAATGCAGTATTCATTCCCTGGCCAGCTTTTGGCTACCGAGAAGTTAGTAACGCTATCTTAGAATTATGTATGAGTCTTACACTATGAGTATGACAAGCATCGGCCGCCTAGGAACACACGGTGATCAATTGTGTATTTATCTGAAATGCCTTGTCCGATAGGATATACTGAGTACCATTCCACACGTTCCCATTCGATGAGGTATGGGTGGAGAATCTTCTTCGCGGAGGCCTGAACTTGTTCCGCAGTGGCTGTCCTACGCGGGCTCCAGTCTGCATCCGTAGATGATGCGATCTGTATATATAGCCGGACCATGTTGTCTTCGCGAGGAATGACCATTATCGAGCCATGTCCGGAGTGTATAGTACATTTCATCTAGAATCGTCAGTTTAAAGCCAGCCAAGGCTATATAATGAGACTTACCTTGATGTCTGGGAAATCAGTCTTAACAACGCCATCAATAACACCCCAAACATGCGTAATAGGATCCTTATGTGTGATCTTGATTCCCAACTGGTCTCTGACAAATGATCTAGCGCCTTCGCCGCTAAACAAGTATTTAGCTCGAACCGATTCTCGTTGATGTCCGTCGACATGTTCCAAATGTACTTCAACGGGATACTCCGGATCTACTTTGTCATCCGACTTAAACCCCTTAATAGTCCATGGCCGTTGGACCTGAACGCCGTTCTTTTCTAGATCTGAGATGAATACACGTTCTATTCGACCCTGATGTACCAGTGTGGTGAAAGGATATCTCGCATCAATAAAACTAGGACAGCTAGCCCAAGTACCTGTTCTAACGATGCCTTTGCCGTTTTTGGGTGGGTCCCAAAAGGCTACTTCAAAAACACGCGCGGGCTTATGAGCCATGATGGCAGATTTTAGGCCCATATTGCGAAGGAGGTCTAGGGACCGAGGCTGGATGCCATCTGCGCGCCCCGTAGGTGTAGGCTCGGCTCGATTGTCAATGTGTTTGATTTTATAACCCCATCTCGCGAGGCACGTCGAAAGCATGAGCCCTACAGGACCAGCCCCAATAATTACTGAATATACGTTAGTATTATACGGTGATCGATGTCAATTCGCTTACCAATATCATAATGTGGCGAAGTAGACTTCTCTGAAGACCGATTATCCATCGCTCCTGGTAATCGACTGGAGACCCAAATAGGAGGAAATGAAATTCGATGATGTATAGGTAGTGGAAACAACTGAAGCCGTGGGGAATAAAAGTCAACGACTAAAATTAGGGACTCAACTCGAGTATTTACGTATGTATCGATAGGTAAACTTTCTCGAACGTGGGCGATACGTGAGACTGGGATAAAGGAATGCTCTTGTCTAATTCTAAGTAGGTTGGGTATTAAGTATTAATTTAACTCGGCCTAGAATATACCTAACGTGATAATACTGAGGGAGAGATATAGCTGGAATAGTAAGACGCCGGGGTCGCGCTAGTAGCATCCAACGGCAGGAACATCGGGAAGTACAACTTTATTAGAGCTGTCATCATTGATATTTCCCTTAAAGGCGTAGAAGCTAGAGAGTGGGCAACTTCTTAGGCTTGTCATTGGCTTTGAAAGATCGGTGGGTGCCGATAGAAATAAGATTAAGTGACTAGAATAGCATGAGTACAGTACAGTGCAGGGTAGGCTACTTAGACAACACTGATAGTCTGATCCTTGGTTGTTTGGTATCATCAATACGATGAGGAGAGCCCCCCTCGGGTCCGCTTCCGTCGGCCATGATCAGCGAAATATGGCTGCTGGCTCAGAAGTAACCCGGGATCTCAACACGGCAATAAAGTGTGGGGCCGTAGTGGGGGGGTTAGTCGCGGCTGAAGAGAGCGGGAATGAAAATGAGACGACCGAGCCTACCGAGGTCCCTTTAGTGGAACAGGGGAGGTATGCATACCTTTTAGCTAATCTACCTATATAGGTACTGGGTATGGAAGCTTCACCTTCTTTAACTTCCTAACTTCCGTCGGCGTTAGCTATTATTAAGCTTTCGGAAATATTGCACCTTAAATATTAAGTTCCTAGCCCCACATAGTTACACTTAATAGTTGAGTTGACTTTTAAAAGATGTAACTGTTTCTTTAGAGACCTTCTTCTTTGAGCGGTTTTCTACGAGGGGCCTTATGCGGGCTTTTAGGACATAGAACTGCTTCAATACCAGGTAGGTAGATATGCATGGAACATGCAACGAGGCTAATAGGTCGGATATGAAAAATTCGGCCTGCTTGCACGACACTTAAACATATATGTTTATATGCTCAATTATTCCTCTTCCCTTGCATATAAATTAGAGCAAGATGCTATATAGGACGTTGAAATATGAGGTGTAAAAGGTCAACAGGTAATATTTAAAGTTCGTGGTTGGGTAGAAATTTTCCCTAAGTCATTGTTTAGGACGAGAATTTGTATGTCGGGTAAAGAAAAAGAAATAAAGCACCTTGCTCTATTTAAAAAGAAGAAGAAAAACCATCGGCTATCATATGTACCTAACCTAGGTAATAATTCAATAGCTACTTATGCATCTAATAATATAGATGCCGATTGGTGAATAATACCTACCTAACTACCTCCTACGCTGGAGGTTGGACATTGGAACATATCGGGATCTTGCAGGTGAGGCTGAATCAGGACCTGAGCCAGGGATTGTTCTGCCGGGTGCTCAGCTTGACTTTGGGTTGCTCCTGATGATTTAGGTACCTAGGTACCTAGTGTATTATTTTTAGCCCGATATCAGATCAACCCTAAGGTCAAATGCTGCACTTTGAATTAAGTAGCGTACATCCCACATCTGAGAAAGAGCCTTCTGATGATGAATTAGCAATACAAAAACCTAGGTACCTATGTACCTTAGGTAATCTTTTTTTTTTTCAACTAAAGCTAGGTACCTCGATATGTACTTGCCTAAGGTACCTATGTAGATACCGCATCCACTAAGAAACAATTGAATCTAGGGCACGGACCACGGGCTTCAACTACACTATGTTTACAATGACCTAAACTACATCCGGCTTTCGCTAAAGTACCCCACAGCAATGATATGCTCAAATCATTTCCAAATATGGTATAGTTGATTACTGTGGTCCGTGCCCTAGATTCAATTGTTTCTTAGTGGATGCGGTACGTATAATTGATCTGCGAAAACTGTAAAGCAGCTATATATATAAATGGAAAGAACTATCCTTCTAATATGCTGTGGTCAGTGCGTACATAATTGGTGTAATATGAGGTACCTACATGATGTCAAATGACCCCTATGCAGTTTAGTGGCTTGTAATTACAGGGGGTGTAGGTGATCGACAAGGCTGAATGCGGCGAAGATAGATAATAATGTGTGGTCTGTGCATTACTAACGCGCTTTCGTTCTTTCCCTATGGAACTGCGCAACTTCTACTTTTCTATCTAGATGCACCTTCCTTCCTACATCGAACCTGATCGCAGAACGTCGCTGCCCAAATCAGTTGCGAAATTCGATGCGCATGTACGTATAATAGCTTGTAAACATAAACCTTATTTTCGATCCCTGGTTTCCCGGACAGCAGATTTGGTTGCCTTAAAACTTCGCACTTCTCCATCCAACTTTCCTTTCTTCCCAACTCACACTCTCTACTTCGCAACGATCACAACAACACAACAGCAGCCTGTTGACAGTTCTTGCACACTTCATCTGATCACACATTGCCTAACTTTTCCCAACATCCAATCACTTTTTAAATTCAGTTTATCTGAACTTGACATATCGCACCTACAGCAAGGATATACCTCTGTAGTCTTAACTTCCTCATTTCCACATTTCCATCCACACTTCCACATACAACCTTCGCGGGTAGCAACCGTTATTGACCATGGATTCATCACAGCACTCACCGCAGCACGATTGGCGCATTCCCGTCCATTGCATTTTTTGCTCTCACTGCCGCGCAATTCGCGCAAACATCAACCGAGAAGCCCATGACCTGGCGCACTTGAATGCACAAGTCCACGCCCGGGAAGTCGGTACCTCGCCACGTCCCGCACCTCTATATCGAGCTCGAGTTATTAAGATTCCACGATCAAACCTATCCGTGACTATCCAACTTCCGAACCTACGACACCCTGTTGCGCCTGACGACAAGTCGACTCTTCCTAGATCGAGAAAGCGAGTCCGCCCTCGTTGGGGAGAGCCTAGTGAACTTGAAGCGACAGCAGCTCAGCCAGTCGCATCACAAGTAGTGAGTTTATACCTTTCTAATACACTTTCAGCCTAAGCAGGCTTGTACCTATGATTTGGCGCTAACATTAATTTAATCAAGAGCCCAAGATCTCGGCCTCGTTAGGAACCTGTCCGACATATTTCGCAAGGCTTAGCTACTGAACAACAATACCCTTCAACAAGGACCGAAACTCTCCCCTTCCACTCCCCCCAACAAATTCGACAACTAAGTCCCGAGACTCGAAGATACTTAGAACGACCTATATCCGCTGTGAATGCACGCGCAAGATTTCGCGTCGCTGCTCCCAAGAGTGTAATGCCTGGATCTTGGCCATCCGAGCTAGTCGAGGTAGACAGTGTGGAAGTGCCAGTATATCATAACATGACTTTACCTACAACACCTACTCCCGCCCCATTCGCGACCAATGTTCGCAATGCCATTACTTATCTGCGAGACTCATCTCGTAGTCTCTATACAAACTTGAGCAACAGAATCTTCCGTCCGCGTCAAACTCCCTCAATTCCGACACCAGCTCCTTCCGAAGATAGTAGGCGAACTCCAAAGCGCCGTCGACTTGACCGCGAAGAGAATGGCCCATTCACCCCTACTGAAATTGTGGATGACCTTATGGACATCGATGATCCTGTTGCTACTGTACCTACCGGCTCATCGACGAGCGAACTAGAAACATCACCATCTATATCTCCTGTAATTTCGCCGAACTCCGCAGCCGCCATAGCCTCTGCCAGAAGAGCTACGCGACTATTTCCTTATAGAAAGAGCCTCGGCCTACCGAGTGACTCACCGAATGGCTCACCGAATAGCTTACCCAGTGACCCGACTAATGTGGTAACTCCACCCCCTTCGCGCCGAGAGAAGAAGCCGGTCCAAGAGGAACATGTACCTGAACGGACTTGGGGACCTTTGCCTGCTCCAAAATATGCGAGCATCCAGGAGTTCTTCGCGCACGATGACGAGATATGCCTGCCTGGTTTAGAACGCTTGCGGCTTACGCCGAATGATATCAAGATATATGAATTAGATTCACAACGCGAAGATCGACTGCGCATTGAGGAGGAGAAGGCCGAGAAAGAACGTCAGGAAGAACTTCGTATCGAAGAAGAACGCTTAAATGAGGCACTGCGCCCACTCGGGTTACGGAGACCGAAGGCACCCCTCATTACTCCTCTCAGCGACGAGTGGGACCAGAAAGCTAGAAATGCGCCGAATGGTGGCAAAACAGAGCCGAACAAATGGAGAGGTGCGCGCCATCGAGACGGCGTAGACCTCACGGAACGAGACTTCGCGAAACTAGTACCCGTAGGATCATGGCTAAATGATAACGCCATCCAATCAACTTTAGTCCATCTTGCAACTTACGTTAATGATGCAGCTGGCATTGTTCCCAAGCAAATGACACCAAAATGTGTTGCGCTCTCGTCTCAGTACTGGTCCAATTTCTTACGCGATCCTAAAAATAATGTCTACACCCGAGGGTTGGACCGAAATTGGGGCATGAAACCAACCAACTTCCTCGACATTGATACGGTTCTCATCCCAGTTAATAAGGATAACCACTGGACCGTCCTTGTCGTCCGACCATCACGTCGAACAGTCTCTTATGTTGACTCATTCCAAATAGAGGGAACGGGGCACATACGTAACGTCCACACCTGGATGAGCTACTTTCTGGGCGACAAATATGTTGCCGATGAGTGGCGCAAAGAGTATTACAGGGTGCCTAGGCAGACGAATGGATACGACTGCGGTATGTTTGTAATTACAAATTCTATCTACCTATCCCTCGGTATAGACCCGAGCGGTTACTCGGAGAGCGAGATGCCTCTCCAGAGACGGAGAATCGCCGCGATGCTCCTGAACGGCGGTTTTACCGGGCCGTTCGACTTATCACACCTCTAATTAAATAATTCTACCTCCCTAACTTAACCTAACCTCCCTAACCTAACTTAACTTCTCTAACCTAACCTAACCTAATCTACCTAAATAACTCTACCTAACCGCCACTACCTAACCCTTAACTCTCCCTAACCTCAATTCCGCCTAACCTACTAATAATCACCTCGAAATAAACACTACATAAATACTCTACACTATTATACCATTACACCGCGATACCTCTACATTATTATAACTCCTCTATACCTTTATATCCTTACGCCACTACTTCATTACTCATTAATCTCGCCGAAACACATAACAACCTACGTCAACACGTCACTATTATATAATGTCCTGTATGGACTGGAATTGCATTGAGCCGGTGTTTATTGGAGTTGGTGGTAACAACTTTGTACGCAGTTGAAACTGCATAGCATATCATGTTTGGAAAGGAAGGGCAAGCAGGCGGCATGTCCTATGCGACTTGAATATTGTCGCGTTTGACTCTGGTTAGCATTTTAAGATATCCTCGAAGCATGACGGGAACGGAGTTGCGGGAAAAGTCTATTCAAAGACGCGAAAGCAAGGTACCGGTGGCTTCTTCAAGCGGAAGGGCCGCCGAGGGGAGCGGGGAGTTTAGGCGTTTATTTTTGTATTTTTGTATTTTTATTTTTGGAATGCTTGGAAAGGAAGCATCGTTGGATAGATAGATGCGATTTGGCGCTCTGGAGGGTAATTCCCAGAGCTGTGATGTAAGACCCTGTCATGGGCAAATACAGAGTGTCGATAGAATAGAAATCGGCGAGAACGATCAAAGTGCATAATCACTCATCATAAATTCTCTTGGGGCTTGTGAGGCGTAAAAATATTGTAGATTATCCTAATTAGGGGTATTCCTCCATCGCATAGTGCTGAGCTAGAAGTTTGGGCTGTATGTCACCTCGAAAGGCGTTGCCCATCTATATCGTGAAGTAAAACTTGTTATTCTTAAACTACACCTCCTAGATGGGGTTGACTAAAATATATTGAAATAACGTTTTCTTAGGAACTACTAGGGTCTCGGTGAAGTAAACAGGGGTCCGCTAAATAATAATATTATCTTAAGGGGTATATACTACCTCATAAGGCAGCTGGTCAATAATAAAGCAAGACGGTGAGCAATGCTAGAGTAAACTGGTATCCTCGCGGGTTTATATTACGGGAAGACCTAGCTGCAATAGACTAACTAACATACACATAGCCTGTCTGCAACTAGAAAGACGAAGCAAGCTTGCTTACTTGCTCGCTTGATATCTACTCAGGCACATAGGGGCAAGAATACCCCGAAATTGTTGATTGATTGATCTCCAACGCATACGACGTCCTACGCCTCGAAACAGCCCTACCCGCCCTTCTTATTGAACGCCTGCTAATGCAAGTTGGATATATCGCCTCCCTCCCTCCCTCCGCTCTCTTCGAGATCTATCCATCCATCTAAAACCCCCTATTCTTTTTTCGTCGGCCGCCTCCGCACCTTGATATTTTCCTCGCTCGAGTTTCGTTCGAGGGACTAACTCAACCTTGATACATTTGAGTCCTCCGAAATGTGACCATGATATTTCTTATGGCTTATCTATCCTCTTATTGCATAACCCTATTGTGAGCTTGCGGTGATATATTATGCCCCTACCTAGTTGGGAACTCCTATTATAGCTTTGATAAAACCCCTCGACTAGGGATAGTCTAGTTCAAGTGAAGGATTCTCTTCGTATTTTCGTAAACCATCCACGTAATGCTAAGCGCAGGAGCGACCTTGAGTAGATTCGGCATCAGGCCCTTGTACAGACCCCTGACTCCTTCGTTCCGAATCGTCTTTTGCGCTACATCCCATATGCCGGTATAACGGGCTGGGTGCATGCTAGTGCCCTGAGTCTGTAGCCTTGTGCGGAGCACATTTAAAGGGTAGACTACCGAAGCGCCAAAGGCACCTGATGATGCTCCCATAATTCCTGTCACAAAAGTGCTTGGGCGAGCGTCCTCCTCATGAATACCGTCAGCCTTGGCTTTGTATGATATGTAGGTCGTCTTAAGTAGCTCAAATGTACCCATATCGATGGCCGAATACGGAAACATGCCGATAAGGCCCATAGTCACACCCCTATAGGTAGCCCGCACGCCGCCTTCTGCCCACATCTTCTGCGCAGTTTGCAAGAGAAGGGCGTTGCCGCGTGGGCCGCCAGAAACGTATTCCGACTGTAAGCTAACCATTATATAAGTCAAAGCTATAAACAAATGCAATGTGAGGCTTACCGGAACTTGAGGGTATCTAGAGGATAGACACAAAACCTATATACTCATTAACCGCCGCCATATAAAAGGACGAGCAGGTCGACATACTGTGCAGTCATGCCTGCTACACCGCCTGCTACAAATTTAGAATACGGATTGATCTGATGCATATCATTATGCCCTTCGAGGCTTGCAAGGGTCTTCTTAGCAGCCTCGTATGCTCCAAACTGGTATGCGGTCAGCAAGGTTTTAATCAGATACTACAACGCCTTGAGATATGTACCCTAATTGCTGTCTCTGGCATGATCTTAACCACATTAAGTCCATTGCCTGGTTGATGAAAGGGTAAGCTTCGGGATGATTTGGAGTAATCTTGTCTAAAGGAGATAATTACCAGCAAAGAATCCACGAACACCTCCAGCCTTGTATATATCGGTGATAGCTGTGACTAAGGGCCCGCCAGCATGTTTTAAGGCACGGATGGCTTGGCCCTTCTTGGCGGCGTCGACGGCGGCATTGGCGCTTGCTGTTGTTTTCACGAGAAGGTAGACCTTCAATCGATCGAGCGGAGCAGTAGCAGTACGAGAGATGCCTCCCGCCACAGCACCAGCAATGAAATATCCTGGATCGGGGAGGTATTTAATCAGCATAGATCTTTTGCTTGTTTTACTCAATCCCGGTTCAATCTCAGTGCCTTCTGCTGCGGGAAGCTTCTCCTGCTTAGTGCCGAAGATATCATCGGTAGAAGTAGTAGTTTCGGAGGTATTATACGGCTGCGCTGCAGCTATAGTCATGTTGGTCGTATCGTCGGCTGTCGGAGAATTATGTGTCACTGTTGTTCTTTGTTCGCGTTCCTCCTCGTTCGAATTCGACGATGGAGGAATATACTCATCATCCGGTGGGCAGGCGATTCTGAAGATTGAACCAAAAAGGGTGGAGAGAATATTCGTACCTAAGCCATGAAGAGTTTCCTCGCTGACTACCGAGTCACCTTCGGAATTGAGAGTGAGGATATCTGTGTAGAAGGTGAAGACTGCCCGCAGTGTGGTGGTAGAATCAGTGTTAGGCATGAAAAGGAGAAAATTTCTAAGGTTGTAAGATGTCAGTACTGTTTTACACAATTGAACACGGTGACGCGTGTAGATGCGTTGTCCCACAAGCCTTTAGCTTCTTAACTCTCATCTCAACAATTACCATGTAAGTATAGATCTGTGCTAACATTACACATTTAATATAACCAAACGACTTTATCTCCACCAAAGATTTAATCCCTCAGAATCACGAGAAGCGGGGGGAGATGGGAGATGGGAGATACGGAAATGGAAGGTAAAACTAACCGCCATTCTTCATAAGTAATAAACCCATCACGATTGTGATCGATATTCTCGAAAAATTCATCCAACCGGCGTAAGGGGACCGCAAGACCAGCACGTTGCACAGCATGGTGAAGCTCTTCCTTATCAATCTTCCCATTTTGATCTCGATCGATAGATTTAAAAAGAACGTAGAGCTGACGCTCAGCAGCTTCGACAAAGACTCGAAATTCTATATTAATTCCAATCATGATTAGTTAAAGAGAAATGATAGCATTGGTGGAAACATTGGTGGAAATCTAGTGTAGGTAGGCTCTACAGACCCTCATACTGAATCTTGCCGTCGCCATTCGAATCCACAACCTTTATTATACTCTTCAACAAGTCATCGGCATTTTTCATTGCTGCCGTACCAAGTCAGCAATAAAATCTCTAAGGTCTAAGACGACTAAGGTAGGGGATTAGTTGCTAACGATGATCGATCCTCTTGAGGCCTTTTTGTAACCCCTTCCAATCAAGTTCGCCTGTGCCTTGGTAGTCCAGCCTTCTCCAAAGCTGCTCAACGCGTACGTCGCGCTGGTTTTGCGACTCCTCCATCTCCATCTCTAACTTGGTGATCACCTTGGGAATGTCCATACTTAGCGATCATGACAGGCGCAACGGAAACAACGAAGAGGCTATCGCAAAGCTGACCATTGAATTCTACGGATAGGGCATCATTAGATGCTATGTCGGGGGTCGTTGTCGCGACTTGTCTGAGATCATTACCCTCAAACAAGTCGATAAATTGAAGTCGGTTGTTTTTTTCGATAAGTTCCAAGACTTGAACGGGGCACGCGAAAATGACGACCGTCCCGCAAAAGGAACCTCGGGGAACAAGGAATCCATGTCGAAACCAATTTGACAGCCCGATAAGCCGATAAGAAATAATGCCTACTGGATGAACCTACCGGATGACGATGCTCCCGTGCGGACTAAGGGGAAGAGACTGTGTACTACCTATCAAATAAAGGGGGTGATCACAGTGCAAGTTTATGTCATACATACAGACATATGCTAGGTACCTAATCAATGCGCTAGCCGATGCAACCCCCACTTTGTCCGATATCTCCAGCTAGATCTTAATAACACGCAACTTGCTTGTTCTACTTGTCCATCCAATCTTCATCTTTCTCAGCCTTGGCTTGTCTAAGCCATCTCCTTTCAGCCTCACAGGGCTGGGGTTTCCAAAACCCCCATCATGTTCCCCAATTCCAATGTTGGGTTTATCTAAGCTTACTTATCTTATATTCTCTTCAACTACTTGGGTAAATACCCTAGGCATTGTCATCTTATAGACGTAATGGCAGCCAACTACTGGGAGTCAACCCAGAGGCGCTTCTGGCAATTCTCGAAAGATGAACTTGCTCAGATGCGCGACGAACTAGAGAAAAGCGACCAGGCCCTGGTACAAATGTTTCCCTTGCCACGGAGGACGCATCTAAATATATACTTTAATCAACGTAAGATAGTAGATCTTATCGCCTAATGCAAGACCGCATACTAATGCTAGTTGTTGGATAGAAATTGGTCGTTTAGGGAAGAGACTCAACATCAAACAACAAGCTGTTGCTACAGCCCAGCTATATATAAAGCGATTCTATTGCAAAGTAGAAATTCGTCGAACGAATCCATATCTCGTTCTCACCACGGCGCTATACCTAGCTTGCAAGATGGAGGAATGCCCGCAACATATTAGAATGTTTGTGACGGAGGCGCGATCTCTATGGCCAGGTGCGTTCAAACTATACTCTCCCGTTAAATTAGGCTTTTCAGCTGACTAGAGTATATTCCTAGACTTACTTCATGCTGATGTTTCGCGCGTCGGCGAATGCGAGTTCTTCCTCATATCCGAGATGAACTCTCAACTAATAGTCCACCAACCTTACCGAACGTTAACGAGCCTTCAATCCGACTTTTTCCTTACTCCAGATGAGATTAACCTAGCATTGTCGGTAATCAACGATCACTACATGACGGACTTACCGCTCTTATATGCGCCACACATCATTGCGCTTACGGCCATTCTCCTGTCCCTAATCCCTCGTCCGAATAATAATGCCAATATGGCCGCAGTAACGGCGGCGTTAACGCAAGCCCAACAAAGCCGATCTAGTACCAGTACCGGCCAAAATACACCTGGAGCCACCGAGAAAGACAAGCAACAAGATGTGCGAATGGGCAAGATACAGCGTTTCGCTGCTTTCCTTGCTGAGAGCACCGTGGATATTGAGGGTATGATAGACTGCACACAAGAACTAATTTCGTTCTACGAATGCCATGAGCAGTATAATGATAAGATAATGCGCGAGCAAGTTAACAGATTCGTCAAGGCCAGAGGGTTAGACAAGCACTAGATGTCGTCACCAACGGTAGGCGGTGTGTTTGTTATATGAATGAAGGAAGAGTTGGGAGGCGGCTCTTAGTGCTCATAGAAGGCACTGAGTTGTTTGAGAAGCGTCGCGAAATTACCATGTACCAAGATGACTACATGTTAACAGCGATGAATATTAATATATCTACGAAGTAGTGGGATATGAGGTTGACCTAGAATCCACATATCCAACTTTCAAATCACACCCACTCTGACTAAAAGATATTGTATTAGAACGGAGGTATTGGTGAGTTGCTACGGGGATAAATTCTGATTCCTCGTATGCATATAGTGAATATTATGTGATGATATCAATACCTATTTAGAGTGAATACACTAATTATGCACATGGTTAGACCTTCAACCCTTTAGAGGTTGGGGACTTCAAAGTCTTAGCCTAGTGTATGTAGAATGATCAGTTGGTGTCCCTTGCACCAGATCGAAGAGTGCTCGATATGAAATCGTACACTTATCTCATCTAGGCATTATCCAAGACCCACAAACTTTGACATGCAGAAGGAGTGGAAGGAAGGGTGGAAAGGGTGGAAAGGGTTGCGCTGATGATAAGAACGTACCATGTTAGGTAAGGTTCCCCGCAAGACGCCGCAAGACGGGATCGAATCCGATATAAATCACGTCAAATGTTACACGTTGGGTCGAACAGTTGGTCGGTGCCGCCATAAGCGAAGCAATTCTATGTAGGTATGTAACCTACCGCCAAGCTTTATGAAGTCAAATGCCATAATTACAGATCTCTATAAGATAATAGTTCGTCACATTATTCAGACCTTCGAAAATGTATACCTATGTCTCACATATAGAAAGTATACATATTGGTAAATGAATTTTAGACTTAACTATTGTATATAACATTTAATATTAAGTGAGACTGGTGTAAAACGGAGGGGTAGTAGAGCAACGGTCTCGTTTAAAAACGGTCAGTTACAAGAAACGGCTGTGCCGCTCAGCCTCTTCCCTAACTAAACTTAACATTTGTATATAGTCCGAGCTCGGTACTTATCCACCTAGGCGTGTGCATGTACCTATGCACGAATTCGTGGAGGACCTAAGCTTACAGCGAGTGCATTGGGTAACATTGGGTAACACGACTTGGAAAGACTTGCCTAGCCCTTAGTGAAACTTGCTCTCTATGAGGTACATATGTACATAGTAACTAATACCTACCTATGTATACAACTACCTAAAACATCCACATATTGTCAACTTCTAACGGGAGTATGTTCCAACATGAGATGTATGGATGAGTATACCCACCAAAAATCCCATACCATTTTTCATCATAAGATACTAATAGAAATACTAAAAAACCAAGCCTCTTTCTCGAACCCTCAAAAGAGAAGCAGCAAACAAGCTAACAAGCACCTGATACAACAAGCCACAAATTTGATCGGGACTAGGTCCGGAATTCTCCTACGTCGGTAGATCTACCACATTCGGAATTCATCGCCCAGTATTTCTCGATTGTTCTTCCAAAGCCGGGGCACTAAAATAGTAGCAATCGCTGCCCTGACTGACTGCTTGAATTCGGTCCAGGAATAGATGGATGTCACCCAAAGACCTTCGAGAACGAGATCATCGCTGGACTAAAACGAATTATGGGAAAAGATCCGCATACATACATAACCCAACTTGGCCATAGCAAGGTCAATGAACAGGTAAATGGTCATAAAGGAATGGGACGAATGCAACTAAAAGAAGAGATGGCATCTTCACTAATTACCCATTCGTATCTACACATCTATACGGGGTAGTATGTATAGGGTTCAATTTGCCGCTTTCGTCACAAGCGGCTGTAAGTAAGACTGTTGCAATCAAACAAAGCGGGTAGCAGAGCCACAATCGTCAACGTCCCAGTCGGTACGATTCAACTCTTCATCACTCGCAGGAAACCTTTCTATAACCGCGAGGGAACTCTTCGAATGCATATCGGACAAAATCGTGCAAGCCTCTCTCCTACCAGCGTACATACGTACATATGTAGGTCTACACCATTCAGGGCCTGCGAGTTCTAGGCTCTCCGGTTCCAGGGACCAGAGGCAAATTTCATTACACATGGCGGCAACTTGCGTCTTCTGTTGGGCGGTCACTAGCCACTCAATCGCGATTTTGCCTCCGACGATCCATGCTCTCATCTTACACAGGTGCAGAGATGCCAACCCATCGCAGGTCGTGATAGGTTGGTTAACTATTCCGTGTTTTGGTCTCACAACCGTACAGATTTGGATAGAATATAGATCAGCAGCGCATATTACGTTTAACTTCAGGTGAGCAAGCGCCTGAATCATAACTTTCTCACACATACTCCGGCAAGCATATCGAGTGGTCGAGTTCGAGAAATGAAACTGCAGGACAAAGGTAGGAATGTTGTCAGCTTTTAGGAGCGCGGGAAATTCAACCGTACCCTTACAAAGTACCTTTCTTACCTCGACGAGGCGACTGTGGGCGGTCAGAACTCTCTTGCCGTCCTCCCTACGGTACAAGTCGTCTGCTAAGCTGCCTAATAAAAGGGAATAGACCAGCATTACCCCCGTCGTCCCAAACCCCAAGCAGTCTCACGCTGCACGAGACCATGTTCGTACCCACTTGCACCGGTATGGTGGCTTGCAGGACTGGTATGTGCAATCCTAACGATTATACGTTTAGGGTAAAGCTCCAGTTCAACACCCATCATCCGCTCCACCGCGCAACAAGGGTTTCTAACGCCCGGACCCGGAATACTATATCACAGTATGTATGAGTGGTCACAGTGACAGAGCGACTGGCAAGGCTGCAATCCCACGCAAGCCAAAGGACCGAACTTGCCTCTAATTGGCCTAATTGGTACCGACGTAAGAAATTGCCTACATAGGCGAAGCCGCCGCTGCAAGGCAGGTGTTGTATTTACTACGTTGTTGTCAAAGGGATACTGGGTATTCCCTTAAGGACTAAACACCATGGTTACTCGTCAGGTTCGACAAAGTCGGGATGTGAACAATGAGATCAATCGGATATAGACCATCATCCCTTTAAACTTTTGGTAGATGTGTCACTATGTTCATTATGTTCATTACGCACGCCATGGGTAAAAGCGAATTTAGAAATTGGATTAGACAATTACCAATTAACCCCATTTTAAGTCTAGCGAGTTCCCTTTTAGGGATAAACCACTCTACATATGTATGCAGGAGTTGCCCCTGAACGCAAGGCAAAGCAGGTAGGGAAAGTTATTATTCAGGTTATCAATTTACTTAGGTTACGTTAACTACGTATGTAGGTAACAAGGCTGGATTATCGAAGGTTAGAGAAAACATCATACTACGTATGTATAGTCGCAGAATGGAGAAACGATCATCCACGCGAGGCTCGGGAATGCGTCGTTGGGGATGTTGAGGGGGGTTACGTACCTATTTAGTTGATCTGACGATAGTGGGTTCATCAACGTTGAGTGGCGACAAGAATTAGGAACAATAATGTCCGAGCATCGAGATGAAGCTATTCGCATTAAGACGATATCGAACGATTAACCGATTTTTTTGAGTAGATTGAAGCCATGTTCAACCCTCCCTCAAATCGACCCACCTAGTCAATACCTACATAACACCTTTATCAAGTCTCCTGATACTTGCTGACTAGTATACATACATAGTGTAGTTGCTAGTTGCTAGTTGCTAGTTGCTAGCTGCTACTACCTACATATGTATATTATATGTAATAAATGAGATAGGTTTGGTTGAATTGGATAGGGCTTTTAAAGGGAAATCAAATTGGTTTCCCCTCTCGACTGGTGCCGACTGGTAACTCTTGACCAGCCTCGTCCAGTAACCAGATGGCGCAGCTTGCAGGCTATTATTCCTTTGTCCCAGACCACAGCACGCGGACTCGCTACGGTAAATTAATCGGCAAGCTACCTGCTGGCGATCGCATTGCAGCGGACATCTGGTGACGGGTGACTGGTCAAGGGACGGCCAGCATTACAAGCATTTACAAGCATTTACAAGCATTGCAATGTATATGGTTTGTTAGGGGGGAACAGGCGGCCAAGGGGAAGCGTTCTGCAGAACAAGCCGACTGGCACTGTGGCATTCCTGCGAGCAATGGGGAAACAACTAATGTTAGGTACATAGGAACAACCATAAGGAATAACAGCGCCCATCGAGCCGGGCTTCAAAGCTAGTCCTCGTTTGTATTAGTGTTAGGATATTAGGATATGTTATCCAATGATCTCAGGTGGCGACTTTAGTTTCATTCGCCAGCTCAATTCCCCCCCACCCGCCATTAATGAACGAAACCCTTGAGGCTTGTGGGTCCTTAAGAACAGTGCGTTGAGCAGGCCTTGCAGGTTCTTGCAGATCTTACATGTCTTTGCAGCTTCCGCTATTTCAATGTTGTCCTCCCACTAGGCTTTGTATAGACTAGCTCCAGGTCTTGAGCCAGCAAGCGACCCAAGCATACTATGAGTTCCCCCCGGCCTTGACCCACCCTCCTTTGCCGCCTTCTGCTGTTCTGCTGCTTCTCCGAATCACAGCTTGCCCTTCTCCTCTCCCGCCTTCTTTTCTCTTACTCTTATCGATCCTACCACACTCACCCGTCCCTTAAACTTTTCCAAGCCTTACCCCAGAAACGCACATAACGAAAATCTATAACCAATTCTACCACCTCTTAACAACAAACTTTTGAAAAGCTTATTCTCTCTTACATCTTACATTGCCACATTGTGCAAATTGCCTAGACGAGTTCTCATTGTTGTCCTTCCTAGCCAAATTTTAATAACGCAACGGTCGGCAACTTTAAAACACCCCCAACCCAATTCAACAACGCACAGGACCGCACACACACACCGCCACCTAACATATCTCATCTGTCCAACCACTTTTTGTAATATACGACAGCTACTTTGAAGAAGAGAAAAAAAGCATACTTTTACGTATGACCCTAAGGGAAGAACAATCATAATGTCTTATTACAGCTATAACCATCATCAACCAACAGCACCCGCTCCTTCGGTTTCGCATAACCACCATGGCGGTCGAAACCGGAGAGCACCGAGGCTCTCTGTATCTCAAAACTCTCAGAAACAGTTTCGCGGTGTGAGGAGCATGAAGGAGCTGAGTGAATCTGTTTCCGTGAATGCTTTCCGATCACAGTTCGAAGCGAGCCGTTCTTTCGATCTCGAGGATGACATGGAGTTTTGTCCCAAGCTGTTGACGGAGATTGATGTAAGTCAGGTTAACACTTATGATGTTGTTATCTAATACGTCGTCTATTATACAACGTCGTATCGATAACTCGTTCGTGTACCAACAATAGTTACTAACATGTTCGTCTATAGCTGGTGTCGATTAGCAGTGCTTCTTCCGACCGATCTTCATTATCCAGCAACTCACCTAATGCTTCACCCACGCAGCACCCACAGCAAGTTGCTTCCAGCTTCTCTCTCAACTCTACCTCTCCAGCTTTTATTCCTCCTACTTTCCAAACTCAACAGTCGAGCCTAAAGTTGCATGCACCCGCCGCCACCCGGGCGCGCAACGCCATCCCTATCATCAACCCCGCCAATGGCCTGACGATGTCCAGCCCGCCGCAGTCCGTTTCGCCTGCCCGAATGCAGCACATCGGCAGACGGTGGTAGATGGCTTGTCGCCTCGCTTCCTTTTTGGATGTTGAGATGACTCACCATCTAATCACTCGTTTGCAGTTGTTCTGAACATCTTTTACTTTCCGTTTAGAAGACATTTGTTGCTCCAATAGCAGCTGTTCATCTTGGCGGGCACCGGCACGGATATCAGGCATCAACAACACATCTTCAGGTCATTTTAGGGCTCGACTGCGGACTCCACCTCTACTCCACTTTCTCCCTGTATAAAACATCCTTATTCGACATATAACTAGTGTTCATCGTAAAACTTTCTCCACGGATCTTCACGATGGGCGCGAATTGGCATTGAAGATAATCGATACCACCTGATTTCTGTTTGGTTTGAGAAAAGGGAAAATCCTAATAATCCCGGTGTTCTGACCTCGAAAGATGGGGGCTGTTTGGGTTCGCAAATGGGCGTTTTAAGTTACGGCGGTTTTGCATTTCGTAATTGCATCGGTGTTCACGACACAACGGAGTCATCGGGTTCAATCTGGGAGCGGCACGATAAAGCGTCATCACGGGTTATGACATTTGAGCAAAAAAAGAATACCACTACACATATAGAACAAGTGTTTGGCGACGAGGGGTTGGTCTCTATTTTGTTTAAGCAGGCAGGTGGTTCTTCCATCGGGGCGGAGTTGTGCTACTCGGCAAGGTCTTTTTTACATGGGAAATATCCGGGTCAAAGAGAATCTCAACACAAAGTAACGGGATTGGGTAGGCACTCGGGGTGTCTTGATTTTCATTTTTCTAAGCTCATGGCACGAGATGGGAGTTGGTTGCGCGGTGCTTTGGGGCTGCAAATACATGGCTCATATTTATGTCATCATCATCATCGTCTTTTGTTTCCCTTTTTTTTTTACCATTTTTACTGTCCTTGTATTACGGTCGAAGGATGAGAGGATACCAGTCCGTTTCTTTCGTATTATTCCCCCGGGCAAAGGTTCTACCAATTGGGTCAAGTGCATCACCAGGTTTCTTCTCTCGGGGCGATTTGGGGGAGGATGGAATCTTTGTGTATAGGAAATCATATTCGGGCGGACAAGCGCAGGCGGCGCGGAAATGGGTACACGCCAACTGGTTCCCTAACGGCTGTGTGGCGTTTACCTATTTTGGTGTTTGTGTGTGAAGATAAAAGAGAACGCCTTTTGTCAGGTGTCTTCTACCGTACATTCGATGTGTTCAATTGAAATGGGCGAAATATGTGCCTCTCACTTCTAAATCTCTATTGTGTTCCTGCATTTGTGATGGTTTGACTAGTGATCATAGTGGTGATATTAATAACTATCAGTATGAGGCGTATGGAAATCATAGGGAATGTTTATTTCCGATTAACTAGAATTAGTTTACGGTTCATAAGATCGAGGCTAGACATCTCAACTATTGCCGTCTCATTCATCTTCGGATCGATCTAGCAATAGTCCTGACAGTCCAAAGACGGGTCGCACAGGTCGGACCAGTGTATTTACTACGCCTATATGTAGTATGCATGTGTCTATGTTTGTACCTATGCATGTATATACTTATCTACCTATATAATATTGGGCTGTACATATATAATATGAATATGTATGCGCGCCGCCCCCTTCCCCGTCGTCTCCCCGTCGGGCTTGCTGCATGCAAGTTTGACGAGTTTTGGGAGAAGGGAGAAAGAAGGGGGAAAAGGCCTATCTTGCTCGTTTGAGATTAGTGGTCCGTCGGGTGCATAGGTAGGTATGTAGGTAGGTGTATGTATGCGGACGCCCCGCACTCCGTACCGGCTTTTGGTTTTATAGGTTGGGTTAGGTTAGGTTAGGTTGGGTTGGGTCAGGTACTGCGTAGGCAAATAGGTATGTAGGTACCTAAGGTAGGAAGGTAAGGGAGACAAGGGAAGAGATCTGCTGGCTGACTGTATGCTGTGTTCCCGAGGTTGTCCGTTCGTCGGCCCGGTCAGGTGATGAGTAGGAGATGCGGCGTTGTGTTGCGTGCGTGCTTGGTGGGTGAGGCGAGAGACTAACTAATGTAAGACTGTTGTTAGTATGAATAAGTTAGGTAGTTTTATAATAGTTAGAAGATATAAGTTTATATCGTATGTTAGGTAGATTACCTAGGTAGTTAATTGTATAATTCCTAAAATACATAAAAGTTGAGATATGATTCTAGGACGTCTTCATGCGCTTCTTGTCATTGGCGAATTGAGCCGGTTTCACAAACTCTGGCAGCGATCGATAACGGAGTCCTGTCGAATACCATAGGCCAATTAGATAACTCCGGTACGAGGTGACGGGGGGTGAGACGGAGGCCGCTGCGAGTAATACCATGTCATGTATGTGTTACTCGAGACTTCATGCGGGTAAATGTAGTACTGTCAGATATCAGATTGTTAAATGTGGCTGTTCATTCAATGGAACTCCATTGAGCGAGCATTGGGGAGCGTAATACGGACGGACGGAACTGCTCGAGGTTTTAATATCGGTGCTTGTTCCCAACAATATTATATTTCATTTCTGATTTATGATGTTGGGATTTAAAACGTCAGCTTCCTATTCTACGGATTTCTATGTATGAGGTCAGGACTAAGGGGGTTTGATATCTTCTAGATATAATAAGACTGTGGTGACAGCCTCGCATATAATATCTAATGGCTACAACTTAGAGATATGTATATGGCTGTTACTCCACGAATTTGCCATGGGTACAAATCATGGTTGCCACAGGCTAGGCCTAGTTCCTTATTACTTTATTTATACTATGAAGTTCCTGCTAGTACTGCTTATTTATAGTAGTTAGGCAAATATAAATTAAGTCTTGGGTAAGTTGATACAACAAGCAAACAGGAGCCATATTTGTCTGGAAATGAGTTGAAGTCTACATGATTCATAAAACTTGGACAGTAGACTTACCATTAGAGTTAAAATACTCTACGCCAACTACTAAAATAACACGGAGCCTTTCATGCTAATATACCTATTATTACTTCGAGGAGATATTGTACGGTTATAATATTTACCAAGGTACTCTAGCTTACGGCATCTGAATGTTACTTCGGCACATACATAGTGTCAGATAGCAGGGTTACTGGATCGACAATTTGAACCATAGAGACTTGCAACGTGATAAAGTAGATACTATATACATAGAGCCTCCTACATGCGTTTCCCTAGAAGCTACCTAAACCAACTCGAATAAAGAAGATCACTAGTTGTGACTTTGTACCGGATTAGGGGTTATTGCATGTATGAATACGTATTTATTTACCTTTGGTTTTTGCTTAGTAACTCTGACGTCCATCATTTGGATACACATCCTTAATTGGAATAGAAAACGGTGTTATGATATTAGGGAGTAAGTCACTACCTTAGCTTAGCGGATTTAAATATCTGGACAGTTCACGATACTTTCCGAGACGTCATTAAAGATGGCATGCTACTAATTTCCATAGTTAGATCTGAGATTTGGACTTGGACACAGTGTATTTATTTAGGCCGTGGTTAATTGAAATTAATCGTATTAGATATTCGGAAGAAAGAAGAATTAAGTTAATAATAAGGTGCAACGGTTAGGTGGAGAAGTGATGTCGTCTCTGATGTTATTCCTATGAGCCGAAGAAAGAAAGCGGACTAAGCCGAGGAATGAACCGTGCGCTAGCTATTATTGACCAATAATATCTCAGTATATTTGCATAACCCACTCAAGGTACCCTCTTACAAGCTGTTGACGTCATAATATTAAATAGATTCCTTGGTCTCCGGCCAGTGAGAGCAGCGCCATGTTCCATGACTACGAGACAATTACCTCAAAGCTCTTTGGGATAAGTTCAATTGGAATAAACTCGAGTACATTGTTCATACGCAATTTTCTGAGCTCCAAGCTACCGATTATCTATTACCTACTATCTACAACATACTCACTTATACAACTACAACTACGACTACTGCCGTTTACCTACAGAGAGACCTTATACCATCTCAAGAACTATATCAAATACACATAAACACAATGGCTTCCAGAATGCTATTCAGATCAGCTGCTACCATTGCTACAGGTAGACAAGCAGTAGCACAACGGACCTTCACCACCAGCTCTGTAAACCTATCTTACAAAGAGAGCAGCCGTAAGTAACACCACCTCCCCTAATAAAAGGAGCGTATGCATCCCACAGATAAAAAAAATTGGATAAGAACTACCTATTGGCTAACATAACGCCTCCCATGCAGACGGATCCGAAACACACGACCCAGAGAAGCACAAGCAAGATCTGCTAGCGAAGCACAAGGAAGGCAAGGGCCACTGGAAGCCCGAGCTAGCATCCGATAGCGAGGAAGCCGTCAAGGCTGATCGGCATGGCGGCGGCGGCAAGGAGGACATCGCGGCCCTGCAGGAGCGCACTAAGAGTGCTGCGGAAGAGACCAGCAAGGCTGGCACTAGCATGCGTGATGGGTTGTAAGGTCTGAGGACTTTGCAAGAAATTAAAGACATTGGGCTGACTGACTAGTTCAGACTCGACTTAATGGATAGGGATGGTGCGGGCCCGACAAAGTAAAATGGGCGAGTGAGATCAAGATGATGGTCATTATTTGGTCGTTATGGTAGGCGGTTTTATTACGGGTTTACTTATATGTATTGTACGAATAAGAAATGACAATGGACTCTGGATCTAATGACTAACAGAAATATCTACATCTACATCTACATGCTTAACTATCGTTCCTTACTATCGTGTAGTCTATAAATCTTTTACTGTAGCTGAGATATATCCACGGCTCAACTATTATAACTATGTATTACCCTTCTAAGTAAGTGAACCTGGACCGTGTATGGTCCGCAAGTTGATTTATATCAAATACCCAAAGAGAATATATGATGTGTAAGTCCGTGGTGCCTGTCCACGTATGAGTATAGTATAAACAATGATATGTATAATCAATGTAAATGTCCCTGTTAAACGCCTTGCCGACGCCATGCAAAATGCAACGAGGACTCGAGTATGCCAGTCCAATCCAGTCCTGTCTAGCGCAATTACCACATCCTGCCTCTTTTCTAATCCCCCCTTAGGTGTACCTAGCCAGCCCCCTCTCTCGTGCTCCTTTTCTTCTTCTTATCTTTCTCTTTATTTCAAAATCGCAATAAGCAACACCAACACAATAATCAGGATGATTATAGCAATCATCTGCTTACTATCCCCCGCCGCCCTCGTAATCTTGCCGACCTGGCGCTTCGCGCGATCTAGCCGCCCTTGATGCCTGTCCACCGCGCTATCGACATCATCAAGCATGGCCACATGCTCATCCAGCTCGTCGCCGATCTGCATGCTGAGCTCTCGCTGGCGCGCGATACTAGCTCCCAACGCGTCTAGCTGCTCGTCCTGCTGGTTTAAAATCCGCTGATGGTACGCGTGGATCTGCACGTTGTCCATTCCCGCCGCCTCGTCCCGGTACCCCAGGCTGTCGTCCCCCGGGTTGTCCCGGTACCGGCTTGCCCCGAACAGCTGCGCCTCTAGGTCTGGGTCTGTGGTCGCGGATGGACTCGCGGGGTTGTCGGTGAAGCGCACGGTTTTGGAGGCGGTGCGGGCGCCCTTGGGCCGGAGATTCGAGGACGAGGAGGCTTGGGAAGGGTTGGAGATGCTGTTGCGGGGCGACGTAGTGGCGTGCTCGAAGTCCGAGCTCAGGGCCGGGTCGTTCGGATGTGTGAGGGTGGATTCGGTGGATGGAGAGGAGAAGCCGTGGAATTGGGATGTCAAATCGTCGTATTGCTTCTGTAGGCTGGGAAGGGCATCGGAGATGGTGAGAGAGCCACTATAGATGTGTTAGTATAATAGGGGATATGTTAAAGATAATAGTTCTTGGGTATATAGATGGTATATCATAAACCCGATTGTCTAAGATGCTGTCGCATACTCTTCATCGCCGGCTTCCTCGAGCCTCTTCTGTTCTTTTTCTAGCGCTTCTAATCCATCTTTGAACTGATCTAAAGATCTAGATATATGTCCGTCCTTTGAATCGCCATCGAGATTGAGGCTCTGCGCCCGCTGCCGTTCCAGCAGGGAGAGCTTGATATGGTCGGCCAGGAGGTATAGCTGGTTTGGATTCGACATGGCGACTTATCGTTCGTCAGACTAGCGCCTGGGAATCTGGGATGGGGAAAGATATGTAGCGTGACGAATCGAACCAACCGGGGGATGCGGAATAGCAGATGTGTTGAATGTGTGTCCTAGTGTGTTTGAGGCCAAATTGTCAGTTGAGTGGTTCTTGATGGGCTGTAAGTTGTAACTCAGCAAGAGTAGGTACAGTAATCTGGACCAATCCTAGTAGCTAATAGATGCGACATGCGAATAAGACCTATCAGCTTTAACATTTATTACATACATTATGCATATGTGCATATATGCAGAATCGGGGACCATGCATAGGTTTTCTCCGCATCTCGATTCATTACTTTATGAGGTAGGTACCTTAGGTAACCTTATGTAATCCTGAGCATTTTCTTTCCTACCTTTCTCAATCTTTCTTTTATTTCTTTAACAACTTCCAACTATGATTCGTATGGCAAATACCATATTGTGCAGTCATCTTCCCTGGTCGGCCCGGGCATCAGTATAAACGAACTCACCAGTCAACTCAAGTTATATACCTAACTTAAGATGACCGGCTACGGAATGCTGGTAACGAATCAGACCACAGACTAGGTTAGGGGGCTGTTGGTCTAGTCTGGTTCTGTTCTATTCTGCTTTGCCGAGCTTATCCCCTCTTACTCATGTCTTCTATTTGAAGATTGAGGTATTTGAGCATCTAATGGGTCGAGCTCTTTGCTGACCTTATACTCCAGTTTGAACGAGCTCTTCAACTACCGAAGTGCTGACCTAAATCTTATTGCTTATGTGTTGGTTTATGTGCCTCACATCTGCAATTGAAGGAGCTCTGAGTCGTCCACCATCGTGGGGTCTAAGATGGGTTCCACGATGAGACAATCTTTGGGAACCTTCGAAACCAATGTTTGAGGTGTCTGGTGAGTAGCTGAGGTAGGATTTATGTCATTTCCTAGCTTAAGGTACGACGTCTCCCGAAGATGTACAACCCACCGGAGCCCTACTACCTTCTCCTATTTGGTTAGTTACGGACTTGTTACTGGGATGAGATAACTTTGCCCCGAACTGCCCGCACCTTTACGCCGCTTGGCAACATTCCGGCAAGTAAATCGTGTGGGGTTACCTATTGCTAGTCCCGCTACTATATCATTTCAAGGGTCCTATTATGACACCAGACGAAATAGTAATGGCTTTGCCCCTCACTGATACAAACTCGACCATCGACTTGGTTGTTTAAAGTTAGGTTGAAGTTTTTTCCGTCTGATATGTTATTTTTATTTTAGATCTCTAGTGAATCTTTTCTTATCTTCTACTTATTGTTACCTTTGTTACATCTGTCTTACGTAGTTTAGAGTACTAGGTTGGCGAAACTAGGTCTTCTCACTATACAACCATTTGTCTACCTCTCCCAGCTCAGCTTCTTATACCGATCTGTCATAACCGAATCCCACGTTGCACGACATCATGTCTCTCCCTAATGGCGTGTACCGCGCCGATCAGGTCGGCTCTTTTCTACGACCAAAAGCGCTTCTCGAGGCACGCGAACAGGCTGCTGAAGGCAAGCTGAAGGTCGAGCAGCTGAGAGAGCTAGAAGACAAATACGTCGCCAATGTCGTCGACAAACAGCTTACTGCTGGATTACGGGCCATTACAGATGGAGAGTTCAGGCGACAATGGTTTCACGTCGATTTCTTGAGAAATCTTAGCGGCATAGAGCTTCGTGGTGCTCTACAGTCTACCAATGTTAGCGTAGGAGGTACCATGCCTCCACGACTCGTTGTCGTTGACAAGATTGGCCACCCGAAGCCAATTCAAGTCGATGATTACAAGTATCTCGAGTCTCGGATCGCAGCAGCTGGCGCCAAGGCCACACCGAAGGTCTGCATCCCGTCGCCGACTATGATTCACTTCCGCAATACTCGCGAGACTATTGATGAGAAGGCTTACCCGACACTGGAGCCGTTCTTTGAGGACCTCGCGCGTGTATACCAGGAGGAGTTAGATGACCTCTACAAAGCCGGTGCTCGCTTTGTACAGCTCGACGACACTAACTTAGCCTATCTCTGCGATCCCAAGATGCGTGCTGAGGCTGAGGAGCGACATGGCGATGCTAACCTTCTTGCTCGTCAATACGCCGCACTTATTAATGCGGCTATCTCGAAGCGTCCCGCCGATTTGACTATTGGAATACATCTATGCCGCGGTAACCACCGCTCGCAATGGTTCGCGCAAGGTGGATACGAACCCGTAGCCGAAGTTCTATTCAAGGACCTGAACGTGGATGCTTACTTCCTCGAGTACGACGATGCGCGATCAGGAGATTTTTCGCCGCTCCGCCATCTACCCGAAAACAAGATTGTCGTCCTTGGTGTCATGACAAGTAAGAAGGCCGCCCTCGAAGACAAGGCTGAGATTATTAAGCGTCTCAATGAAGCTGCTTCGTTCTGCCCCAAGGGCCTGAAGCAACTCTGCCTCAGCCACCAGTGCGGCTTTAGCTCGACGTCTGAGGGTAATGATCTTACCGAGGAAGAACAATGGGCCAAGGTCAAGCTGGAGGTGGAGATTGCTAAGGAAGTTTGGGGAGATGATCTATCCATCTAAAAAGATACATAGAACAGGAATCTTGTTACCTTAGGTAACGCGATATGCTCCAGAGCATAGTCGAAAATTTCGCATCCGCCACGTGGGTAGGTATACGTTAGCCATATGGTAATGAAACTAGTGTGTGCATTTTCAGTGGCAACGGAGTTGAAAGCCAAGAAACGGGTGCGTTTGCGATGGCGTTGAGAGTGGTGGGTGTGATTCAACATAGCACGAAGTACGAAACCTGCATTAGTTGTACTCCAGTATAGAAAAGGCAGAAGATATAATACTACCAGCAGTAGTTGTCATACGCACTATAATTGTGTACCCGAAAGTCATTCATAGCACATCTTGTAGGACATAGCCGGTCTAATCTAAATAGGAGAACAACGATGCCAGTATATTAACATGGCATATCTAACGAAAAACCCTGCAAACTCCAGGAGATATCTTATTTGTACAGTATAGCAAACCCCCGCCTCCCCCTTTGCCACCCTCTTCCCTAATGCACACCGGGGAGTTTATGATTTTCTTGCGCCAGAGTTGCCAATCAAACAGTAATATACCACCCACCTATCACCATCCTGTTGTGTAGTATTGTAGTATTAGTTTAATCCTTTCCCCCGAGAGATGTTCTTGTAGCCCTTTAGTCCGCAGCCGCTATCCTTCCAAGCCTACCTGCCAAATCCTCTATAAACACAGGCGAGATACATTCTCCTTCTTGTTCGTTCGCAGCTCTCTGGGGAGATTTTCCGCCTCTGGGCCAAGGGGTACTGGGCGTATAATATAAAAGAAACATGAAGACATGAAGACATGAAAACATGAGAACAGAAGCATAAGCTCATTCGGAAATGCATAGAAATTGCGCCAACCAAGAAAAATCAAAGCTCAGCTCTTTGCATAGAGCCTGAGAATCTCGAGAATCTCGTAATTAGCCTCCTGAACAACGACGTTTGTTCCAAGAGACCAGAACATCGAAAAAGCCGAGGCTTTTTTTGACCCGAAACGCCGAATACATTTCTGTTGCCACCGAGCGACGGGGATTAAAAAGCCGGAGATGCCATTTTAAGAAAGAAAATCCGTATTAATCCGCCCGAATAGCTGGTCCGATCAAGATAAAAATCCCCGCAATAAGAGGGCGAGAAGAAAATCGACGTTTAAGCTCCTGGAGGAGGAGGGGCTTCACCCTGAGGCTGGCCGCCAGGTTGTTGCTGGGCATAAGCTTGGTACCAGAGCGCAAGGTATTGCTGGTATCCACCATCTTCACTCAAAATTAGTATGATTTATAAAACAGAAGGAGATATTATTTTGGACTTACACGCAGCATACGGGTCGCTAGCAGGGTTAGCACCTGCAGGCTCCGCTGCCTGGTTGCTCTGTTGCTGCTGGCCATAGTTGGGATTAGGGTTAGGATTAGGATTAGGATTATCCCAATCTCGGCGGTGTTGGTTGCGAGGAGGGCGACTTTGGTTGCCACCATTATTCTTCTGGCGCTGGGAAAATATAAGTAAACTGTATAAGTTGGCATCACGGAATGATAAGGACTTACTACTGCATCAACTTTGTCTTCGATAGCACGCTTGGCTCGGTTGATGGCGTCGTGAGATCCAATTAGGCCGATTTCACGCTCAGATTGACCAGGAACAGACGCAGTAACATTAATCTTACATCCGGTAGTGTTTTGCATCTCTCGGATGGTCTCACCACCCCTACCTATGATCATACCAACAGCATCACCAGGTACGAAGATAGAGTCATTGATCTTATCACCAGCACCTTGGCTGTTGTCACGAACTTGGTCAGTTCTTTGGGGGCGTCCTTTATTAGCATCGTTGGTGGTGTTGCTGGTGTTATTGTTGTTGACATTGCGGCTATCACTTGCAACAATCTCGAGAATCAGTTCCTTGGCTTGGCTAGCAGCATTAGGGGGGCCAATGAGGTTCACAGGGCGCAGACCGTCTACACTCTGGTCCTCGCCGACAATGTTAATGTGACAGCCACTTCGCTCTTGCAAATCCCTAATAGTTTCACCACCACGGCCGATAATAAGGCCAACCGTGCGGTCTGGGACCATAATCTGCATGCAGTCTTCACCGTCTCTCAATGTAGCTGGGCTAGGGGTAGTGTTATCGCGACGAGTATGTTGAGGCTTATCAAGGCCGGCTCGTGCAAGGGCACCCATGCCGCTATCTTCAATGATTCTATTGATTGATGCCTTGGCTTCCGCACGTTTAGCACGAGGACCGGTGATCTTACACTGGCGGTACGGGCCAGGTTCACCAGTGGGCGACAAAAATTGCACTCTGCACGATGTTTCCGACTCAACTCGACGAAGGTTCTCTCCTTGTCTTCCAATGATGAGGCCCACTAGGCTCGACTCGATGCTGATTACTTCTGAATCATCATCATCTCTGGGCGAGAACAGACCGCTAGAAACGCGACCACGACTAGGGCCGGGCGATAGAGAACGATCACGACCACGACCGTAATCACGAGTAGGAGCACCACCACGATCATTACGTCGTTCATCCCGGTATGGGTTGACGTTATCACGAAAATTTTCACGACGCGTGGGCGGAGAACGAGATCTCGATCTATAGTGTCTGGCATCCACAGCACGAGCATCATGCCCCTGATAAGCACCAACAGCCGGTCGTTCATACGGGGTCAAGCCCTGTTCAGTTGCATAATTTTTAGCTTTGGCAATCGCGTCACCAAGATTGACAGTACCCGACGTAATTGGTCTAATGGCACTTAAATCAAAGCCTCCAGGTGCTGAGGACTGTTGTACGGGAGGATACGCCCCAGTTGCATACGGTGAAGGCTGGGTGGTGGGTGGCAATGTCGCATACGCATTAGGAGGTGGTCCTTGTTGGTAACCCGGCATGGCATAGGGTGTTTGACCTTGAGTGGGAGTTCCAGTTTGCGCCGCTGTAGTACGAATGCATGGTCAGATTTGATTCATGAGGTTTATCAGAAAAGGCTGCGCGTAAGGAAAAAGGAAAAAGGAAAAGAAACATGGTCAAAACTCATACCTGCTAGAGCGGCGAGGATAGCCTGAACATTCGGCTGTGCTTCTGCCATTGCGCTGACAATGCAGTCTAGTCGGCGATTCCACTTGTAGTAAAAACGTCTTGGATGACAAGTTTTTATAGCAAGATCAAAGAACAGAAGTCTAAGTATCAAGGTCGACGATAAATCCTCGGTCCAAAAGATGAAGTGGCGAGTCCCGAGGCACGCAAATGCACTTTTGTGATGACAGACAAGTGTTCAATGTATACGTTCAGTCAATCAATCAATCAATGCGTCAGATGATCCCTCGACTAGAAGTTGACTAAAAGTTGACTAGAAGTTGGCTTGGTCAGATCAATTATGTCGATGGTAAGATGCAAAGTCCGATCAAAAAGTAAGTCGAATCAATAGTTGAATTTTTTGTTCTGTCAATCTGCGTCTGACCTAGGTGTGATACAGTAGGGGAAGTACTGTGGAGGTGTGCAGGTAAGGGGGTTGAGAGTATGGAGATGAAGAGGATGAAAATGTGATCCGGACTGATTCACTGTATGTAAATGTGTGTTGGAATGTTTCCCTATCTTAAATGGTGAGAGCGTGTCTTCCTTACCGATCCACTAGATGAATGAATGAAAGAGGAAAAGAGAAAGAGATCTTTTGGATAAAAGGTCTTGTGTGTTTGGAGGAGGAGGAATTTTTATAAGGAAGAGAGGACGGAACAAATGTTAAATGCTGATGGGAAGGTGGATGGATGTAAGAAATCAAAATATGTACTAACAAAATCCAAAAGGTACTTGCATGGTACGTACATGTAGCCTAATACAAACTGTTTTTTTTTTTCTTGGGAAAGCGCTAACCTTTTTCGGTGACTTCGAGACAGCTGTTTGTTCTCGGTTATTGTCCTTTAACTAGCTCGGGATGGTCCCATTAACCTTAGTCATTTAGACTTTGCCAATCATATGATCACATGTGCAGTACGTACCGCTTTAGTTACTTTAGTGGTCTAATACATACATGTATATAATTACCCAGTAACCTAGTGATTGCCAATATTTACATAGGTCATTACATTTATTGGCGACATCAAACATCCACATCAGCGGTTTTAAGTCAAATGAACTTGCCCTGAGTAGTTGCTTATGTAGAAATTCACATTTAGTATGGAGCTATCTTTAATTTGCTATGTACAGGCATATATTCATTTTGTAAAACGCATGAACAGCATCGCGATCGGAAACATGATGATGCCTATAGCCATGAATACCACCGTGTAGAAAAGCATTATCGAGGCGGTATCTTTACCCGTAATGACGATGATTTCTTTCTGATACTCCTTGCTGCTTTTCGCTTCTTTCGCCTTCTTGGCTTGCTTTCTCTTGCTCTCTCGGAGAAGTTGGTGTTGTTTAGTTGCGTTGTGGACCATCTCGTGCTTTCTCCGTTTCCCCTTTATCATCCAATCCTGAGTTAGTAGATTCTTTCGGAGCTCACTCACGTGAGCCTTTAATACAGCATTCTGGCTTGTGAGTTCCATGGTAGTCTTTTCAAGCAGCTTCATTTTAAGCCCTAAGGCCTCAACGCTAAGTTCCAAACACTGCGACTCGAGTTGCTCTTTCGTTAGCAAGGCAAGCGGGATCGATGGGATGCTTGAGCCAGATTGCATATTTGACATATACTTTTTGGATAACCCAGTATGATTTCCTGGCTTCTTCTCTTTTGGCTTTGGTTGCTGCTCTGCCATGTAACCCTTCACATTCTTGTCATTCCCAATTCTTTTATGTGCCGCGCTGTGGGAAAGACCTCGAACCTCATCTAATAGGGGAGCAACTCTAGACCCTTCGCGGTTTCTACGTGTGGGTGTCTCCAAGGCTGACTCTACTATGCCTCTTCTAGCTGCGTTCATCTTGGTAGGCTTCCATTTTTGCCTGGCGATTTCAGGGACCTGATGATGGGATCCCGGTAGTGCTTGTAACCGGGCTTTCGGTTTATCTTGAATCTTAGAACTAGAGACAACAGCGTCTTGCTTCATCATACCCAGTCCGGGGGCAATATCCGCGGTGTGTTCTGTTGAAAACCATGCGTCCATAGTTGCCTGCTGCAGTGCTAACATCTCGCTGGTTTCTGGAGTATAGCTCTCTACGCCGAGCGAGAGGAATGCACCCGGGTTGCCAGCAAGGTCTGCATACTGAATACCTGGTGATACGACTGGAAGAGGCACCCAAGTAGTCGAACCAGCATAACGGCGGCGCGGTGAAGTTTGCGGCAGAGATAGTCGAGATTCGCCCATCGACGGACTAGACTCAAGTCCAACAGACTAGTGTTATATTAGGAACATAGTATCCAAAGAGATATCGACTATTAAAATGAAGGTATTTTAGCTTAGAAAAGAAACACTTTTTATCATACCTGAATATTGCCGTGATAATCGTAGTGTTCTGGTTGTCCGATGTTAGGACGCCCTGGATGATTACCAGTGCCGACCCGAAGAACTGGCCGAGGTCGCTCAGCGCTTGCCACTTTCAGAGTCATCTTTAAGTTGGATAGAAGTTAAATTCGGGTTGTCTTTTAAGTAGGAATGGGACAGTTATGGAGATAATCAAAACGGTTTGGACACAAGGGGAGCGGAGGTGAACGTGGATGGGAATATATAGAATACCTAAGATAAGACATAGAGGTAGGTGCGTTCACATAAATACCTACTTCTTAGATAAAATCTAAAAATTTGAGACGGAAGGAACATATGTAGATAAAGGTAAATAAGGAAATAAGGAAATAACATTTCGTTGCTGCCTCTACCTGTTAGGAGTAAGGATAGGTACCTACGTACCCAGTATCTATTCAACGGGTCAACGACCTGTACCTTCCGTACGTTAGGGATAAGGTTACACCTCGTGCAGATACAGGATACAGGTGCAAAATAAAGGTGACTACCTATGTACCATTAGAAATTCTACCTAACAAGCCTTGTATTGATTTCTATGGTGATGCATCGTCATCTATGCTGCTGTCCCCACTGTTGTTTATGACAACATTTAGAGTCGACACTTAGTCACGCAGCATCTAGGGCAAACTAGCTGTAGCAGATTGATCTGCCTATTTAAAACATCTGTTTAACTTCTAATATTATCATCCTTAATTTTTACTATTAACAAGCACTGATAAATTCATGCCCACCAAACATTTGCCTAAACACCAAGATGGATGGTAAAGGATCCCAAAAACGCGATGGTCGTCGTGGTCGACACCAAGGCTCTGGTTCCTGGCGAAAAAACACGGATTCCTCGCAGCAAGGTCGTAAACAAGGCCGCCAACAAGACAATCAGCAAGCTAATCAGCAAGCTCCCCGGCAAGGTAACCAGCAAGGCAATCAACAAGGCAATCAACAAACACTCCAGCAAGACCGCCAGAAAGACCGCCAGAAAGATCACCATCAGAATTATCAGTCATTCCGCCAACCAACCCAGCAGCCGATCCAACAGTCAGCTCAGCAATCAGCTCAGCAACCAGCTCAACAGCCAGTTCAGCACCTAAACCACGAATCTAGCCACGAGTCTGGTTATGAACCCAGTTTTGGATCTAGCAGTCAGACTCTCACCGACGTAAGTTTCGAGCCATCTCAATAAATACGCACATTTTCCTGACCTAGTCATATAGGGTAATCATGCCGTTGTGAGAACTCTCGTCGAAGAGGTTGATGCTCTGAGACACGCTATTGAATTTGTCGGACAGCGGAATGTCGAGACACTTGCCCACTTCGAGGCATTGAAAAAAGAATTCTCCAGCTTGATGCAGAAATACACGCGCCTCGAGAATTCATTCAAAGAGAGCGTCGTCAGCATTCCAGGGGGTAATCAGATCCTACAGTCTATGAAAGCAACCGAAGAGCGCCGGCGACGCACAGCCCGCAACTCGGTAGCAATCCCTGTTACTGCCCCTGGTCAGTCTCAGAATGAGCTTATACCAGAAGAGAAGCTTCTCATTGATGAAACCATTGACTACTGCTTCGAACTCCTCCACCATCAAGTTCACGTAACTAATGAACTCCGCGAGAAGCTCGACCTGGCGACCCAAGAGAACGCCGAGCTTCGAGCTCGCCTCCAGTCTAACTCTTAGTCTAAATCTTGGATCGAGCCCTTGCTCCAGAAACAGGACTTCGTAGTAGAGATTATGCTAGGGTTAACCATACCATTATTTCCTCTTCCATTGCAGATATCGCGTTTGGGTTGTGGATCAGCTGGTAAGTTACATGAATATGTTGTTAGTTATGATAAGAGCCTAACAAGATTTAGGTTAATATAAACCCCTTCAATCCTACAGATATTACAGGCTGCTTTCATGTCGCCGCCATATAGTCCTTAGTAAAATATCTAGGGAGATTAAGGGTATATGAGGTTTGCTTGGAAAGGGGAGAAAGGCCTGTATAGACTACGTTCTTAACAAGGAAGTTGGCAAATATGCCCTCGTTCATAGCATAGTCCGGTATTCCAAATAGATACTCCAATTGAGTTTTTATCTCCCGATATGCCCTTTTAAAGCATTGATAACATTCTGTAACCCTCGTCCTTTCCCTCCTCCGTCCCCCTGTTTGTTGTTCATTCATCGTTTGAGTTCCGTATATACATCTTTGGGTAATAAATCAGGTACTAATTCAACTATAGGCTACAAGATCAGGATTCCCTGAGATCAAGTGACTGTTGAGTCTAACTTATAAATATTGTTACGATGTGGAGCAAGAAGCAAGGAAATAGCTTCATTGCTCTGCGAGGAACTCTAAGTAGGTAACTACGGGGATTTACGGCTACCTAATACATACTAAAAGTATCCTTTGTTCTAGATATCTCGTCTAGAATCCTAGTAAATATGATATATCTTATAAAGATAGGTAGGTACCTACGTAGGTGCCCAGTATTTATAATTGACCCTCGGATGAGGGGTATTTCGGGATGGTGCATGTTGGCTGCGCCCTGTTTCAAACGAGACATTTCTAGGTTTATATACCTAGAAAACCAACCTCAATGAGCTTGAATACCTAGGTAGGTAGGTAGGTATTTACCTAAAGTTAATATGGTTTATTGTTTTTCATTTATTTGAGGTTATTCCGATCTGATGATTCTAGTTACGTTCCAACCACTGTAGCCAGGGCAAGGCTGTACTAGCAAGTACCTAGGTATGTGTACTGATTTATTACAAGGTGGAGAACGAAGGAAACAGGTACCCCGTGCAAAGCGTGAAGTTCATGATGGTAATATGAAAGCCTCGTCACCGTAGTGACAGCCTGTCGTTCCTGAGGGAATTGCTAGCTCAGGAATACTGTTCTGACAGCCTCCTGGCAGTTGCTACGGGCGTGGCGGCCATAGTTATTGTAAGTGACATAAGGTCATTACCTGAGGTTTCCACTGCATCAGTACCTTAGGTACCTAACTATTAAGAAGGCTTCCTAACTACAAAAGTGTGACTGATCAGAAATAAAATTGTTAATAAATAATAGGGTACCCAGAGGTACCTATCCGCTGCTTCGACGAGGTTATTGTTTCAGCGTTTGTTGCAGACGTTCAGACAGAGCACTAAGAAAACAAAACGTCTTCACCAAAATAACCCTGATACCCATTAAATTTATCTCCCTACCCTTGGGTACCTTAATCTCATTCTATGAAGTCACGAAAACGTTGATAGCCGGAACCCATCAGTGTTGTCGACGATGGAGACCAAGAAGAGTACCCGAGATTCTGCAAAAGCTCGGGAGCAGGGCAACGTTTTGTACCGGAAAGGCCGGTATAGTGAAGGTGAGCATTATCTATGATAGGTAGTTGTCCAGATTATATACTCACAAGCATAATATAGCGTCAAGAGAATATCAGAAGGCTGCTACTCTGGCCCCTTCAGACCCCTCTCCATTATCAAACCTTTCAGCTGTCAGTTTTGAAACTGGCAAATACGCAGAATGTGCCGACTTCGCGGAAAAGGCCTTGAGCCTTCTCATAACCAATCCGGGACATGACCCTTTAAAGCAGAAATTGCTAGCCAGACAAGCCAAAGCTTATCTTCATCTCTCAACTCCGAGCAGGGCCGAAGCGATTTTAAGCCAACTGAAGCCAGGAGAGGAGGCTAATGATCTCCGTAAGTCGGTTATCGAGTTAAAAAAATTCGAGACGTTCCATCCGCAGCAAGGATTACTACGTGAGAGATTAGTACAACTACCACGACTGAAGCCAAACATGTGAGTTGCACAAAAGCACAAGAAATCAATTCTTAAGTTAACGTTTCGAAGTCAGGACCAGCCGGACTATTACGGTTTCGGTGACGATACAGCCGAATCGCAATATACGGCCGAGCTCGAGAAATCTGCCGGTAAGGAACCGGTCTTGTCTATCATGTTCTGTGGCGTTTCAGACGCTCGTCACGTCTTCCACACCGTTTTGCAGTACTCGTTAAAGAAGAAGAAGGGTCCTCAAAAGTTACACATAACAATGGTAGATCACAAGCCAGTTGTTATGGCTCGCGATTTGGTATTTGCCAGTATGCTGCGCGAAGCGGCTGTCAATCAAGAGTCAAAAGACGCGATGTTGCTAAGTCTGAGTTACGTGTACTGCGCTCAAGTCATCCCACCATTCGCGTGGGCTAACCTGCAAGATACCATAAGCAGACTACTGAATAGACTTGAAAAGAAGCAACAACCTGTCGAGTTTGTTTATCTTCGGACCCAACAGATGGGCAGCGTCGCGGTCATCTTGAAGAGTTGGAGGACGTGGCTTGCGGCGAAGTATAATACCTCTAAAATACGTCGCATTGTGGCTGAATGTCCTTCTAGGGTAATACCGGAGGAGATGTTTATGTTCTCTGAGTTCAAAGAAGACCGACAGACTTTCGATGAGTTCTCTGTCTTGTTCCCCCCCAAGACTATGCTGCCAATACTCGAGCCGGAATCGTCCACTCTCTACGCAGATTACCGAGCGGGAAAGCAGGGAGCTCAGAAGCGCGTTTCTGATTATCTAGATCAACATTGGAAAGTGAATGTCACACTTCTCGATCCGATAATGCATATAAGACAGCCAGAAGATGCTATATTTGTAATGGAGAGGCACCCATTCAGCATGATTGCATCGACGGTTACGCATTTGTCTCGACTGCGGGCACATGATAAATCGATATATTCCCTGAAGCATATGATGGATTTCTTCGAAAAGGTCAGCCAAGGTTTACTTCAGCTACAGGGTAGGCTGATAATGGAGGTGATTGTGGGGGACATGGCTGAAGTATTGGAGAGAATTCGTTACGGTATCTTGGATCGTCCCGAACAAGAGAAAGATGCAATAACTATCGACTGGCCTTTGACATACCATTTGATTCATATGAACAACATTCCGTAAGTCAATTTTATGCTTAACTAGGAAACACCACTCGGGAGCTGATAAATTATTAGAGACTATGTGGGAGGACCTCTGACGAGCTTTCTCTATGGACCCCCTATACTGAAGAAAGGGGTTGGCACAGGCTTAACCTCATGTTGCCTGCGACATACGCACTGGTGGGATGGTATCAATCATTTCAACTCGGAGCATTTATTAATGCATGACCGAAAATTGATTGAGGGGCATTTCCACGTCAAGCTTTCCAAAGAGCCTTTAAGATCGGAAGCACCCGTGCTACAATCCTATCATCGTTGGGAGAGATGCGAGAGCATGCGTCTCTCTTTGGAGCAACTGATGTCGCGAGTAAGCTTCTCGAAATGGTTATTTGCTCACTATCTCAAGATATGCATTCCATTCCCCCGCGATCCAGATGTACTTGGTTTCATTTGCCCTCTCAACATGACGGCATTTGTAAGACTCCTTATTCAGATGAGCGAGCTAGGCTATCCCGGTCATTGGCTATCAAATATTATCACATCTCTTAGTTCTGGTACAATCACCACTACAGCGCGGGCACCTCGAGACAAGATCCTTAATACTACTGATGTGGATAAGGTATATCCATCTCGCACTATTTGTGTGAAGCCTTGGTCAGCAGAATTCACTACGCTTGTAGCTCAATGGCGAGGACTCCTCCCTTTTACCATCGTGGTACCAAGCGGAACCCTACCCCCACCAGAGACCATCCTCGAATATTCGGTCAAGATCCCACATACCCCGGAAGCCGCGTCCGAGCGTCCTGAATTCATATTGATCTTCTGTCGAGAATACGACCTGTTAGAAGAAGAAGATCTACACAAGCTACTTCTTAACGACGAAAGAGGGGATACGACGGCTATAGCTCAGAAGATTAGGGCAGATTGGGTCAACATTGTGAGCACAATCAATTATGTCACAGCTACTAGCACGGCTACCTTCTGGCTGAGAAGCGACGTAGTGAGCTTGATGTGGAAAGAAGACTGGGACGTTTTCATCGGGAGGACTGATTCATGGGAACATCACACACCGGGCTATCCTGTGAGGGAAGTTCTCCAGAGAAAGAGGAATTGGAGGGACTGCGTGGTTGCGTGATTGCGTGATATCATGTGTGTAATTTGTTTACGTATGTATTTATGTATTGGCCCTCCTGGTTCGACGATAGGATCACAGTTCATTACATAGGAACAATCAAGTGAGCACGTTTTCGTACTTCTCGGCTAGTAGCCACACAAACCAACCCACGAAAGACATATGAGCGGACATTTAGGTAGTGGATTCGTATGAACTGTTGTCAGATGCTGGTAGGAGATCTCTAGAAAAGAAGACCCGCTGATGTGGGCTTGATTGAGGTCTATTTAAGATATGTTCTAGGTTACGACGTAGTTTTATTCGAGGTGTCTGGGGTGTTATTAGCGCCGACTGCTTTATTGGCTGATGGTGTCTGGCGCTTAATATCGGTCCACCGTATATACCGAAATCTTGTTTGTTATATACATACATACATACACTACGGGGATCAGCTACGAGGATCAGCTACGGGGTCAAGATTCAAAAGATATACGCGCATACCCATACCTGCTCGGTATTCCCAATCTGTAGACTGTAGTTAGATACCATTTTCCTTCCCGCCGCATACGAGTGGCATAGTCTTATTTGTCTGAGGCTCTAAACGTATGCAGTGTATGGCTTTCAGACCAGACAAGGGGTTTAACTAGCTTAGTCTGATGCAACCGCCCGCGACTTTTCCACCAATCGTCTTACACCGCTGCCGCTGATCTGAGATTGCGTTTTAGCCTATGGCGGGAGGCGGCAAGCTGGGTACTGCTAATTTCTATAACTCGAGGATGGAAGAAAGAGATCGATATTCGTAATAATATGACTTAATCATTATCTTGCATGTAGTTATTTATCCTAATACCATGATGATAGGTAACGTCTATTGACTTTCTTTTCTAGTAGATTGAAGGCGCAATAAAGTTTCCCCACCTAGAGACAATAATGTGGGACAGCCATACATTTGTACTTGATTGGTTGAAACATTTTACTCATCAAATCTGTACCTGATAATGTTGTCCAACCTTGGGGAGTTTTTTCCAATTCTTTTCTCTACAAAACAACTCCTTTAACTCAAAACATTCAGTCATTGTCCCCGAGTAAATCAAACAAGCTGTCTTAAACACGTATATAACTCTTGAATACACGTATTTCTTGAAGTCTACATCCTCTACTTAGATGACACATATTTGTTGTGTCGGCCATTTCGTGCGCCTCATGACGCAACTTGTCGGCAGGAACCCTTCCTGCATATGTACAAGAGGCATATCTCCTATGCGACTCTGCAGCGGGAGCTTAATTTGTTATATGCAGTCTGCTCTGTCTAATGTCACCTAACCTTAGCTATTTTACCTAGCAATTCAAACCTGACACTCAACATCAGATTACGTAGCTTATCGTACATCGTCACAGCAAGATTGGTGACGGTGAATAGGATACCACTCGGTCCAAATCTTCGCATCGCAATGATTAGAATATGGGAGAACAGATGGACCTTATACGTCTGCAAGAATTTGGTAGACCCTTGTCAGATAATCGAGTATGTCCGCATCAGTAAATATTCACCTGATACGAGTGTACATCTGGACCTCGGTGTAATGGAAATAGGCATAACTGGATGCGAGAATCACGGTATAAAACTCCGTCAATAAGTATCGAACCCAATTATTGATGACATCTGATTCGAATTTGACCTTGAAATGGGCATCCTAGTCAGGTAGATGAGCCAAGGAAATCGGCTAGTGAGGGCGCGCGGACAAGGAAATCGACTGGCTGAGAATGATCGCTGGCGCTTAACCACCTTTCTACACCGCGCGTAACCTTCACGAACAAACTGAACTGACAAAGAACATTCTAATTAAGCATGGCGGATAAGCGAAACAAAGACATCTATACATTTTATTCTGAAACAAGACCCGTCTTGATCATTCGGCCCTTGAATTGTCCTTGACTGGTCGTCAGTTTGTCAGGTCGTCGTCGTGGCCGGCAAAGTGGGTTGAGCTCGGTTTGACATTACACAACTTCTTTATCATTCAACTGTTTCCCCCTCCATTACATTCATTGTCCGACTACAATCACTTTTTACTTGTCAATTACAACCAATTTCTTTTTTCAATTCTCTGTCATCTTCTGACGTTAATGCAGTTACGGGTCACAATACATCGTTGAATGAATCACGATCTTTTCTTTTCCTTTCTGTTATCCTCCCGCCGCACTTCTTTTTATTTATAATTTCTTTGACGATACCCTTTTTGTTCCATCCTACCAATACTATATCGCACAAAAGTCTCCCGACAAGCACATCTGGTACGGCTTTTAGGAAGACGAGACAACTCATCAAGAAATTCGATCCTGCTTTTGTTTTTCCTAATTTTTTTTTCCTTCTTCGACATTTCAGTTATACCTATTTACGATAGTAAGAACATCCAAAGCACTTGGATAAACTCAAGAAACTCGAGCCCATGGCTATATTCCGCGAACAGGAGGGCTTCCCTCAAGTACCTCCTTCACTAAGACACGATGCATACGAAACCAAGGATGTAAGAAACATGAAGATTCGCGAGCTGCTATCTCAGAGCTCGGCCAAAGGTGCTACTCCCTACCTGGGACTCGGTTCGCGACTCTCGCAGATCTGGTTCAACCGATGGACTGTCTTATTACTCTTGGTCCTGGTCAACTTCCTTTTAACCATAGGTTCTCTGAATGGAAACCTCGATGATGCCAAGGTGAAGGCCCTATCGGCATGCACAAAAGTTGAGGATGTTGGCAGTGCTATGGCTTCGATGCCTCATTACTTATCCGTCGGAGTCAACCGCCTCACTGCATCTGGTATCACCGAATCTGTACACGCCTTGATGACCATCCTCGACATGATCCTTACCGGTATTGAGCAGCTGATCCTCTTCGTTATCGGTATGATGACAGACACCTACGTCTGCCTGATTACCATGGTGGTTCATGGAGGACTGAATGCATCGTCGCTTGCTATTACTAAGACCACTGAGGCCATGAATGATGCTATCGATGGAGTTGCCAAGGCAATCAACAGTACAGCTGACGACCTCCAAAAACCCGTGGATGCCATGTACTCGATCGTAAATGGTGCACTCAACGCAGGCGAACAAGCTACGAGCGCTGTTGGAGGAGCTATTAACACTGCAACAGCGGCGGTTGGAGGTGCCATCGAGACTGCTATTGGGGGTATCGGCGATATCTTCAACAAGCGTGCTGATATTCCACCTCCACCAGAGATCACTGGCGCTATCTTCAAACGTGTTGATCTTCCACCCAAGCCAGAGGTTGCAGGTGATATCAGAGCAGTTGCTGCCAAGCTCTCAAATGTCAATATCAATACCACCGGTTTCGTGTCGGATCTAGATGCCCTTAACCAAGAGCTCCCGGATTTTGATGATATCAAGAACCTCACTGCTATGGCCGTATCATTCCCATTCAACCTTATCCGAGAGCAGCTCACTAAAGCCTATGGCAACTGGGAGTTTAATGATAGCGTGTTCCCTGTAGCTAAGAAAGAGGCTCTTTCCTTCTGCTCTGACAATACGGCCATCAACGACTTCTTCGATGGATTGTACGAGATCGCCCATATTGCAAAGATTGTAGCAATTGTGGTGTTGATTCTCCTTGCGCTTGCAGCCTGTATCCCGATGGCCTACATGGAGATACGCCGATGGCGCCGTGCTCAGATCAGTGCTTCGGATGCTTACGACGACATGGATCTCGTATACATGTCCTCGCGCCCTACCACGGCTCGGGTTGGTTATTGGATTGCTTCGAAGTTCGGCGAGAAGCGAAGGGTTCTGGTACGATGGTGTATCGCTTACGCTACGTCCCTCCCGGCTCTCTTCGTCCTTTCCCTCGCTTTAGCCGGCTTTTTCTCCTGCTTCTGCCAGTGGATTCTTTTGAACACAATGCAGAAGGAGATTCCAGAGCTTGCAAACCAAGTCGGAGACTTCGCCAACCAGGTTGTGGGTACTCTAGACGGCGTCTCACAGAAGTGGGCGGACGATGCAAATGGTGTCATTACATCCTTTAGCACTGAGATTAACGACGACATCCTTGGAAAGGTGACGAACGGTACTGCTGCCATCAACGATACTCTTAACACCTTCATGTCGGAGATTGACAAGGGCCTAAACACAGTCTTCGGTCATACAATGTTCAAGGACCTTGCTGCGAACACGGTCCGATGCCTAATCGGGCTGAAGGTCGAATCAGTCCAAAAGGGTCTCACTTGGGTGCATGATCATGCTCATATCAACTTCCCCATGTTCCCTAATGACGTCTTCTCTGTTGGCGCAGCTAAGTCTATCTCTGGTGATTCGGACCTTACATCTTTCCTAGCCTCTCCTAGCAGCGTCACGACCGACGAGATAACTGGTTCAGTCACCCACGTCACAGATTGGCTGCGCAGCAACATCATTCAGGATGCGTTGGTTGCGACTGGTCTACTCTTAGTTTACGTGATCATCATTCTGATAGGTGTCGTTCGTACTCTCGTCGGCCATAGCGATGCCGAAGGAGATGCCCGCAGGAGGAGAATACAAAACTTCGATCCTTCCCAGCCGGCAGGAGGTAACCCACCTATGCAGATGCCGCAGTTCAGCGGCGCTGGAGACGCCAGTGCTCACCCTGATCATCAAACCTCGCCATTTGCCCGGGACGATGCCTTCAGTCGCGGAACCGTGCACGGCGGGCCCGTCACGACCGAGGAAGTTCCCCCTTACACCCGCCATAGCAGCTACGTCCAGTATGGCGACACGAAGCGCATGGAACACGATCCAATGCCGCCCAACTACAATGGTGGACGAGCTCTGACTGAGGATCCCTTTCGAGACCCGAAGCAAGGTTAATCAGCATTGTTAGATATATTTTATTATTTCTTGGGTAACTATGTGCTGTCAGCATAGGCCCTCTTCTTCGTTATTGTATTTTATTCATCAGCGATTATTATTATAGCGTACACTCACACATATACCCAAACACACACATACCCCCTTTCTCTCACTAATATCAACACATCCTACATCTCCTTGTGCAGACATTTCTAGGGTTACTTGGACGCGACATGGATAGATGAGGCATCATTCTTGCATCGGCATTGGTACGGTACGGCATAGCATAGCATGGTATTGCATCAGCGTCATTCATTCATTTGTCATACTCATCAGACGACCCAAGGAAAAAGGAGGGAAGAGAAAAGAGAGATCCGGCATCTCGGCTTACGCCACTAGCATAATTATTCTTTGTCCTTTTTTTTTAGTCTGAGTTGCGCGTCCCTGAGATGGACTCATGGTTTATTAAGGATTGGCCGTTGGACATTGCATCTACGGCGTTACGCGAGGTAATTCGACGGTCTGGAAAGGGAGGACTGTACGATAATACTGGATGGTTGATTGCATATTAGTTAAGCAATAGTGACCAAAAAATGAATATTCTTATATTAACTTTTACAATTGCTTCTCTCCTACTGAGATTAATTTGTATGCTTGCTAAAACCACGGAGAATAGTACCAGCAAGTGAGACATGGCCCTTTTTTTCACTAACAGGTAGCGTGATATTGAAATTAGGTAGCACCGAGAGTATAGATCGGCAATTCATTACTTAAGTATTTTCAATAGAATTCAGTCGCTCTGCTCCCTATTTCATGTTACGTATAGGTCAAGATGTAGAGAACCATTACTATGCAACCATACCCTAATGACATTCAACACCAATCTCCAAAGTAAATTCCCTATCATGACAATTGACTCCACATTCTCATTATAAATTAGGTTGCTGTCGCAATCCGCCAAGGCCATGACCACAACTTCGCAGAACTAGACGTGATAGTTCGTTCCTCTAGTACTGTGCACCTATAGCCCTAGCTTTAAACAAGGGCCGCTTGAGCGGCGTTCGAGGAACAGTATTCTACTATGATGTTTTACACTTAGAGGTACGGCAACTAGCGCCAACAATCCGGACGCATACTTTATCATCGCCAGCCTCTAGAGTTTTAATATCATGTGGCAGAGCCCGGCCGCGAGGATTTAACTTGGTCCCCTGCAGCTGGACCATGACGCAAATATAAGACGGCGACTCTCTTCTTTTATCGTGTCGTCGTAGTAGGGAAGCTTCTCGAGCTCAAGAACATGCCCTTGACGCTGCGAATCGCATCCTTGGTCTTCTTCACCTCGTCTGCGGGCTCCGTGCTCCGGCCGTAGCCCAACCCGCCGTGAATCGAGGAAAAGTCCAGCATGGGCGGAAGGCCTATCTTGTCGACTTCGTCGCGGACCTCCCGCAGGAGGGAGTTCAGATCCGCGGCGCTTTCGGCGTGGCGCACGTGCATATCGCTTATCTCGCGCAGGGAAGCGCGGAGGGCGGTGAGGCGGCGGGCTTGGGAGTCGATGGGCTTGTCGGCTAGGCTGTTCGTGCTGGACCCGAACTCCTGGTTCATCATCACGGGCGACGTCTGCGTGCCGATGTCTCGGTGGAAGAGCTCGGTGGGGTCGCTGAAGGTGCTCTCGTCGTCTGCGTAGGAGCCTTCATCCGGCCTCGACTTCAACAGCTTGCCGTTGTGATACGGGACTTCGCTGGCGGTGTCCTCGAGCTTCTCTACTAGCTGCCCTAGCTTCTCGCTTACGTGTGCGTAGTAGTCGGCCCGCGCATCGTTTAGGTTGCCGATCATGGGGTTGATGGCGAAACGTGCGGTGCCGTAGAGTAGTGCCCATATACTGCCGGAGACGGTGAGGATGTTGGCGAGACGGGAGGGTGTGATGAGAGGTTCTGGTTTAGGCGCGGTGGTTAGGAACTCTGGGTAGGTTATGATTGGTGTTAGGTTGCTTGTCGATGATGAAGTTGCTTGGATAATCTTCTCGACATCTCTACTTTCTTCTGCAGTCTGTTTCTCATTTGCCTCGGCGTTGGATTCATTAGTCGTAGGTAGGATCGGAGCCTGTGCATCTTGCTCGACTTCATCTAATAATTGTTGGATTTGAGTATCGTCAAGTCCCTTTCCCTTAAGGAATTCCCTTTTTTTCTCTATACTTGAGTTTTGAACCATCTCGTCCTTCAGAAACTTTCGGGCTTGGTCGAGGGTAACTTCTGTCGTCGTATCGACATCCTGAGAGTTGCTATTTCCCGGCGCATCTTTTTCCTGTGCATCCTTTTCCTTCTCGTATTGCGCATGTTGCCAGGCCGGTATCTTTGACAGCTTGGGATCGGCCATATTGGCAACGAGAGAATTCTGTAGGACTCTTCGACCTAGTCAAGTATATAAAATATAATTGAATTATCAAGCGGGAAACGATTGTGTTTGGTAGCAGTTTGATAGCAGTTTGGTAACTTAGTAATAAACACACGGCAACGCGAGGTCCACGGGTACCAATCTTATCTCTGGCGTAATCAGCCTCGGTACACTCTCCGGGCTCTAAATTGGAACCGAGCTTTACCTAAAGCTAGGGAGTACGCGGGTACATTTTGATGGGGAAAGATAGAACCACTAACGAACTTAGCAGGATTATCTAACAATTCATAACTTGAACAACGTAATAGCATTCTTTCATCACGTTTAAGCCTTCACCGACCTCACCTACGTGTACATATGACATATGTGCATATCTCATGTACATATCTTATGTACATGCGCGAGTTCTACACGTGACACAATCCTCAATCGCGCCCTTCAACTCGAATCATTTCATCGTCAATACGTTTCTTTCGGTTGGAGAAGGGATAGAAGATTTAGCGGCGAGGATTATCTCAGTCCTAAGCAAGACTTCGATTTCGCTTGTTTAAAATTACCTATCTTACTTCATAACATATCGCCACCTTTTTAATTATTCTTCGGGTCGTATATATTGAATACTCCGAGACGTGCCTTGATCTCAATATCACAGGTTGAAAACATTGGTACCCACCTGCATCACTACCGACGATCAAGAGAAAAGGCCATTCGATTCCCTATTCGATTTCAATTGAAGTGAGCGCTTCCTTTTGCTATCGAGCATCGCTCCCCCTTTGGTTGTCACACCTCAAGGCTCGGGTTACTTAGAAGATTAAACCCGGAAGACTTCCCGAACCACAAGCCAATTGTCCAAAAAGTTGCCAAGCTTTGACGAGGTGCTCAGCTGGAGATCGAAAGGTATCCAATTGAAGAGAGTCGCATATCATTAGCTTAGTCTGTCAGCCACAGCTGGAGATATACGAGGATCCTTGGGATTCTCAATTCATCATGTAAGTCTTAGGTGCAAATCCTAATAATGAGCCCTTCTTTCTCTCGTCAGCATATGTCAACTTCCCTGTCCCGAATTCATCTATGTCTCTACCAATATCCGTCAAGAATAAAAGGGGGGTAAGTATGAGGAGAAGCATATCACGAATTGTCCATGCGATGGAAAATGGCGTATGGTGATGATAGGAGAAGATGGATAAAAGGAGGGGAATGAGGATGATGAAAATGATGCAACTCGATGCCGATGCGATGCATAACGCAGGTCTAATGCTTGGTTTTCCTTGGGCGTGTACTTCGTACGAGGTATAAAAGAAAATCTTTGTTGTCGGGGGTTGGCTGCATTGATTTAAATGCTGCATCGACTAAATGGAAAGGAAAGGAAAGGGGAAAAGGGTTCTTGGTGTGTTGCCTCAAATATCTTGTTGATTAAATTCAACTGGTTGAAGCTTCGATCCAATGGCCAATGACCAATGACCAATCGCAATCACATATACTCCGATCTAAAGCATCCAAGCGGCAAGCGGCAACCTGCTTTTTCTACTCGTACCCGACGCAGGCTTGTTTGCGTACCGTAGGCACCAAAAGGCACCAAAAGGCACCAAAGGCACAGCACCAAAGGCACAGCACCAAAGGCAAGGCACCAAATACCACCATCAGACAGCAGCTGTATGTGTGTGTGTGTGTGTGTGTGTGTGTCCATGTGTCACGGCATCTGACGCCCCAAGCTTATTTCAACTTCGACAAAATAAAAATAAAAATAAAAAGAGAAACGACCCCTTGCGCCTTTGCGCGCCACCCCCAAAAAAATAAAAACCTATTTGACCTTACACATACCTCTTCTTTCATTTCAAACACCAATTTCGTCATTCGTCATTCAATCATAAAACTTCACCTATTCCCCATTCACCCATATCTAAAATATAACATCCCCTCTCCTCCCTTACCTATCCTTAAACGTATCCCAACCTATCAACCCCCCCCATCACTTACTCCAAAATGACATCCCGTCCACGTCGTGCAGCCGCTCAGAGGGCAAACACAGCTATAACTGACATGGTCGATAGCGACAACCATATCAATAGTCGTACGGGCAGAACAATGTCCTCCAGGACTTCTCGCCGATCTGAGGGTAAGAGTGCCGTAGCATCTGACTTGCGCGGTCCTCCCTCCGAACCCTCAGATTCTAACCAGCATATCCATTTTACAGTTAAGCTTCCAGCAAGCAAGCTTCGCCAGGCCACTTCTAGCCGCCAGCAACCTTCAACCCCTAGAGCCGGGGATGGAAAGCGGAATCGTTCTCAGAAGAAGAGCTACGTTGTCGATTCTAGCGATGAAGAAGACGAGGACGAGGCAGAAGACGAAGTTCAAGTTGAAGAGGATGACGATGACGACGACGACGATGACGACGAAGATGCCGAGGGAGAAGATGACGACATGGCGGATGAAGACGCCGAAGGCGAAATTATTGTCGACGACACTATGGACATCGATGCCGAAGGAGACGACGACGATCTAGGCGAAGAAGATGCCGAGGGCGAAGACGATGACATGGATGTAGACCCCATTCCCCCTCCAGCACCTGTAATTAAAGTCTCAAAGCCTCAAGCTAAGAGCACCCTTACCGGCAAGTCAAAGGCCCCTACTAAATCTAACTTGAAGGCTGCCACTTCTCAAGCGAGGGACAGCGACGACGATGAGGAACTTAGCGAGCTTGAAAGCGACGCCGACGAAATTCAGGATACTGTTAAAGTAGGAGGAGGTGACGAAGAAGATGCTGAAGGGGAAGATGAGGAAATCGAAGCAACCAATATCGCCGAGGATGACGAAGACGACGACGCTGATAGTGACGGCGGCGCCGAAACCCCTGATCTCACGCGAATGACCAAACGACAGCGTGCCCGCTTTGAGGAAAATGGAGATTCATTGATGAAGCTCTCTGACGGCAAGTAACCCACATTCGTCACTATGGTCTAGACTAACACAATTACAGAGGTACAAGCAAAGAAGCATTTCACAGCCGAGGAAATCTCTATGCGCCGTGCCGAGATGGCTCGTCGGCGACGTAACTTGAGTGAGAAGCGAAATGAGGAAGTCAAGGTAAGCTAGTGGTGTTTCTAAAAACAGGGAGTGTCTATTAAAGCCATGAGAGTACGTCAGCTAATAACCCGAATTACAGATGGAGACTATAAATAAGCTACTTAAAAAGCAGGCCCCCAAGACTAACCGCAAGTCTCAACTTGCTGGAGAGCTGACCCCTGATGCTGAATCTCGGAAACCCAATCCGGTGTTTGTCAGATGGGTTAGCAGCAAAGACGGTAGTCGAGTCGGTGTTCCTGATGAGATGCTTTCTGGATCATCCGGCAGAGTTTTCGTTCCAGGTGGCCTTGGGCGTGGGAAGATGGTAGAGGAAGTCTCGTAGGACGAAGAGGATCACGATCTTGATTCTTAATCCCCAACCGATATAACAATTATTCTCGGTTTTGCGGTTATTCCCTCCGGATTGACAAACATCGTAAACGTTTCGTCAATAATATCTTCTAAATTACATTCATGAGTGCGTGTATTATAGACTCATCATATTCAGTCCTGGGGAAATTAGGGCAGCATATTATTGTATTGGGATTGGAGCTTAAGCTTTAAAAAAAAATTAGCAAGGGTGGCAACTTAATAGAACGGTGCTTTGACGGCAATATTATGTCTCGAACTTTGGACAGATCACATTTTCCATATGATAATTACTACCAGATTGTCTCAGTTTGTTATACCCACCTACCCAGGTTAGGTATCTAACTTGATATCATTATTCTATAGATTAATATGTATTAGTTACAAATATTGGAGGATAGCTACAGGCTAAGGGATTAAAACGTCGAACTCCGTATCAAGTATTTGTTAGTGAACATGTTCTTTCAGGTAACATTAGGCCTCAGGCCAGAATATTTGAAATATATAGCATTGTCCTTTACTTAAACTCATATCTACATCCGTATCCGCACTCTTATACCTTGTGTGAGCACTTCGCTAGTTAAAGTTGATACGATAGTTTTTTTGATATGGTATTTTAAGTATGTGTAGGTATATATTCTACCTGGTCTCGAACTTAATACAGCCTCATTAGCATTGGTCTTTGTGGATAGCGCCTACTAACTACCATAAAGACCACTTCGAACAATGTGTTGTACATATCTTTGTACATTTGCTGCGCACATTACCATTATACTTTCCTCCTATACTAGATGGCTTGAGAGTATTTAAATGTGCCCTCAGAATTATTTCAGTTGCGTAGTAAGTTGCTAGAGATATTAAGAGATAGAAGTCATTACCTATTAGGACGTGTCCGTGTCCTCCAAAAAGTGCCCACTTGTCACTTGTCACTTGCCACCTGTCGCGTAGTGGCTTAGGGTCTGTTCCTTCTAAGAGTCTCAATTATTTTGTGGGAGTTTAGGTCATTTAAAACTTGACCCATCTCCCTTTCCAACAAATTCTACTGTTGGTGCTTCATGCTTGACTCACTACCTGCCAGTTGTACCCTATTCGCTGGAATTACAAACAGCATTTAATATCGTCACCTTACACATACATTAGGTACCCAGTCATACTACTAAGTTGGCCTACCTCAAACCACAACTCTTTCGTTGGTGAATAGATGTTTGTTGAATAGCTTAACTTTTGGACTGCTGGATTTGAACTTTGGACGTTTTCGTTCTCGATCCTACACCTTGTTATCTAATTCCGTTTCTCGACTTTTACCAGTCTGCTTCTCCAGGACCCTACACGAGATTCTCAAGTTAAGCCAGTTTTATCAATCATCTAAATACTTTCATCTACCTACCAAGGTACAGTCGGCCACTTTCCACTCATCATCACTTGGATTCTATCATTTTCCTCCTCTCTACACTACATTACAACAAACAAACAAACCATCACGATGACTAAAAAGCGAGCATTCGCTTCCGAAGAGGGAGACTGCGCTAGCAACAAACGTGCCCGCACTGAACCGAGCGCGAGCGCGAGCAACAACAGGAACATGGCTATCAACACAGCGCTGAGCAGAGCCAATATCGGGAAGAAATACTCCTGGATGAACCGGGTAAGCTTATTCTCGGTTCTTTGCGGAATCTCTATCAAGTCTAGCTGTAGCAATATGTTATCTTCAAGGTTGCGTAGTGCTGACAAGTCCCTGCAGGATACAGGTGCTCTTGAGAAGCCTCAGCCTCCCGCCCATAAGGCTGAGGGAAAGGAAGGAGAAGAAGGGCTTGCGGACTATCCAGGAAGCCCTGAGTCATACACCGCCTCTGCCCCTGTTACAGTTGTCAATGGTGACCCTATACAACCGAGCATTGAGAATACGTTTGGAGACGCATCCGAGGAATTCGACGAAGAACTAGCGGCAATGGAAAAGGCACTGGCTGAGGAAGAAGAACGGGCGAAAATGGAAAAGACACCAGCTGAGGACGAAGAGTTCGACGAGATAGTGGCTGCTATGGAGAAGGAATTGGCCGAGGATCAGATGGTCAAGTCTAAGTCTGGCAACGGCTCCTCGGAGTCCCCTATCCTTATCTCCTCCAGAGAGTCTAGCCCCGTCAACATCCCATCTAAAGAGGATACGCCTGCCAAGAACATCGCAGAATCGAAGAAGCCGGCCCTCCCAACTCCACCTAAGACGGACGATGAGAATAAGAAGGCTAGACAGCAGAAACAACAGAAACCGGCAAAGAAACCAGCGCAGAAGAAGCCGCTGCAAAAGAAGCAGACGCCTGTTGTTCAAGAACCTGAGGAAGACCCCGCCGTAGCGGAAGCTCAAGAACAAGAAGACCTATACGCCATGCTAAATTATATCTACCAATTTGCCTATTAGGGGGCATCTCTGGATTCCATTTTTGCGTCCATACCATTCACAGCATCGGAAAACAAGCGTAGGCCAATACGAAGAGATAAGGCCTTACATTCAGAGGGCATAAATTGCATTTCATTACATCAGCGAAGATACCCATTATTTGTTGTCGGAGACAACATCAGGTTGGCCGTTTAGTTTTTGGGACTTTTGAGTCTCGATGTTTCCTGTACATGAGACTCATGCTGGACTATCTATTGGAAGGTTATACTATACGCAGTAATTGCGTTGAGATTTAGTATAGGCTTTTACCAGCTGATCCGGGAGGGACAATGTCCGCCTCCTGCGTATTGATGCGCGTGAGTTGGTCATCAAGCTATATAGTCATCTATAAATACAAAAATATATCGTGAACTTGGTTACCAGTGAAAATTCGAGTTTAGTGATATGTTTTTGGTGTAGTTGGCTAGCAAATTCGTAGACACTGAAATGTTCGTAGTCTTCCCTCTTCACGAAAAGGTTATCGCTCCGTCAGAAAGAACCGTTGATTAATATCATATTGGACTATCAATGCCTGGCTCTTCTCCATCTTTTGAGGGCGCTGCACGCCTCTCATATACCTAATCCTAGCAGATTCAGGGGTAGATTATCTACCCCTAAGCCACGTATTCCCTGATATGCTCCTACCGATGCATAACCACCTCAAGTTTCCAGTGTATCCTAATTCTACCAAGCTAAGGCACTGGGCTGACCGTATTATCTATCTAAACTTCGATGCGTACGAAAGCATGACGATTTACTGGCTACCTATGACAAATAGTTAAGTCTATAATGTACGATAAGAGTCGCTTGGACTAGGTCTGTCGTGTTTCACATTATATACATGTACTATGGTTGGATACTATAACGAAATTTCGTAATTAAATTTGTTAAGAGCCAAAGCATATAGCTTGGGTTTTAGATTTTGAGTATAATTGCAATAATACTTTGGACAGTCTTTCTTTATTATGGTTCTGGTGGCCCCTGCTGGGAAGGCTGCTTCAAAATAGGGGCTATTGCGAGATACCCCGAGCCATCGTGTATTAGAGTTGGACAATATAGACGATTTTAGACCTTTATCTATATTTATATAGTACGGGTAAACACAACTAACCTAGGTTAATAAGATAATTGTGAAATTTTTAATTTGGGGGTTTGATCCCTCTACGTTATGTACTAAATTCAACTTAGAGAAATTTGGTCTTGTTTCGATTAGTTTCAAAGTGGCAAATCTTCCCAACAAATTCTTGAGGATATTGTTTTAAATATTATTTTTATAAACCCACCAACTTTTCTTTAACCGTTTATAACGTACGGTGGCTTGTTTGCTACGCTTTTATGGCTTCGTCTCACAGACACCCTAGACTCACTACATAGACTATTCACGAAGCAGTTAACGCATAGGGTGCTATTGAAAAGGCCGCGTATACTCTGGACTTTCTATCAGGAATACGCTAGAAAATATGATTATAATACAGGTAATTAGCTAACTTAAATAGCCAGCGCGTAGACCTTCCCTTAACTCCACATTTCCGCACGGTAATCCTCTTAGCTGCGTAACTCCTACTAGTTCCCTTGAGATCATGGGATTCCGGGCGATTGGGCATCGTCAACTCCGGAATCAAATCCGGGTATTTTGTTTTTCCTTGCTTTATCCAAGTTCTTTTTGATATAGCGGTCGCTAATAGCCATGCGCGGCTTAGCTATAGACCTCTCTCTGTCAAAGTCGTGGCTCATTAACTTGTCGCGAAGTTCCTTGCTGGGGAAGCCGTTATAAGAAACTAGGGGGCCTTTGAACCAAACTCCCCTCTCGTTCTCGATTTTATCATCGTCTTTCCTGGCGAAGCGCCACCCGTGGGTGCTCCCTCCGTGTTTGTGATACACAACCTTCGGGTGAGTTTCGTCTTCCCATCGGACATGCTCTGCTTTTCGCGTGTCGAAACCTCCATGACTCCCCGCCGCCACGTATTCTGCTTTTCCATCTTTCACAAAGACGATAACATGCTCCCACTCGTTGCGGTGGCCAGCGGCGTCAGCAACATAAGGGATTGCGACGTCCTTCTCGAAGTAGTAGTCGTAAATAAAAGCGCACTAGAGATAATATGATTAGCGGTCATCGTGGTGGTAATTAAATATCCCTGGAAGTCTATTACCCATCCATTATTGCAACGCTTACGCGAGTAGACGTTATTGTTATTGAGACGCGCGGAATCGCGGCAATGTTCTGTAAAAGCGAGTTAGTCTGAGAGTATCGTACGCATATATACGAACTTATCTACATACCTGAGGGTCCCGAATAGTCATGACTCTGCCCGGGGTTAACCTGTCCATCGGGACTGATAGCTGCCGTGTTATAACAACTGTCCGTATCAAAATCCGCAACAGGTTGCCATTTCTTGTCCTCTTCTGTCGCCCTTTCAGGGAGAGGCTTAACAATATCCCGAGGAGCTATTTGGCGTATCCCCGGAATAGGCGATGCCACTACATGATGAGCATATAGGGCTAAGAATAATATCGCTGCTGACTTCATGGTTTGTAGTTTTGCCATTTATCGCTCGATGTAATGATCAATTAATCTGGGGAGGCTATCATGCTACGTCAACGTAACTAAGGGGGGCATATGTCGTTTTATATAATAGGTACTGACTCACTAAAATATTAGGGTTAAATTATAGCATGTTATCTAAAGTTCGTTTCCGAATTTCATTCATTATAGCTCAACGGATATTATATTTAAAGCTCTGACAGTCTTTGTAGGAATCTTATTTTAAAAATCTGCTGTCATTGCTAACAAGGTTATACGCATTAAACAGCCAGAAAGGGCTGAGCAAAATTATTTATTAAGGTTAGCATTGCGAGCTAAGTACAACAGAGTTGGAAAACAGAAGTCATTGCTACATTAAATCCACACGACGATCAGCTTCGAAAGTCCCTATCCTACCCATGTAGGCAATACTTCGCAAAATTGCAAGCTTAACACACAAAGTAAAACCACGCAAGGTAATGTCAGAAAAGAAATTATCGCTAAGGTACCTAACAGGGTATAAGATTAAGACTCCGCGGTCTTTTATACCGCTACGACAATATCAACCCATTAGATTTACTTTAGTAATGAAGCCCGAACGCAGTTGATGCCTCGGGCCTAACTCCAGCTTTCACTCTGACCCGTGAGGGTAAGCATTCCATTAACCCGTAATTGCTGTATCGGGAATACGAAGTGTGGTGAATTTCCAAGTCTTTCCATTATCTGCACTCGACATTTCTCCGCCGGTTGCTTTGTACTGCCAGGCGCCACTATGTTTAAAGCTCGGATCTGCCTTGTTAAGTGTGATAGAAATATCCTCCCAGGCTACAGATATATTATTAGGCCCTCACTCTGTCTTCAGGAAAAGTTATCGGAACTTTAGGGGCTTACCGTGTGCTGGGGCAGGAGAACATGTGCCTGCTGCACATTCGATCGAGACGTAGAATATTACTCCATGCTGTCCCTTGCCTATCGAAAGAATATCAGCTCTACAATTCCAGAAGCAATAACTTTAGCCATCGTGACGTACTTGTCGAAATGCTAGACAACAGCTTATCATTTACATAGAGGTTCTGGTCCCATAGATTCGTATCAGGGTTCAATTTATCTATCAGGCACGTTAGCTGTCATTCATACAGGAGTTAAGATCCGAATTATACATACAATGCGTCTTAATTCGAGACCCGGGTGCAGCGCTCACTGGTGTACCGTTCTTGGCATCACGGGAGCCTTTGCATGATAACGTTAATATATGATATCTCAGGTGCTTAAGTTCGTGAACTTGATATTTTACATACCTACGAGGGTATACGCGAAGTTACACCATTTACTGCCGAGGTTAGGACAGTACGGACTACAGCAAGATCTTAGTTATATATCCTCGAGGTATCACTAGGCTGTTTGTTGAATCATGCCATACCTCTTAAGCGCGTTTTCGGTGACTCCCTGGAGGAAGTCTTTCTTATCCATCATGATGGCACTCCATAAGGCAACGTCGCCTGCCATTGGGTTAGGAACATCTCCCAGAACTAGTGTAGCGCTGGCCTCCTGAATCCAGGCATCGCCCTTAGCATTGAGGGTAATAATATCGAGATTCGCACGGCCTTGGCCAACGAGCGCTAGAAAGACGCCAATGGCCGCAGAGATACCCTTCATGGCAATAAAATTGTTTCGAATGATTATTTTAAATAATTTAAACTAGGTACGCTGAAGATGAAATTTAAATATATAAATAATAATCTTTCGTAGAAACTCGAAAGTTATAGGCGGTCTGAATTAGTGCCGGCTAAAGGGGTATGTTCCCTTTCTGTTCTAGCTGCCAAGGATGGAACATTACATTAGCCAAATTCGTATTCTGTTATCTCCCCATTATAGAAAGCTTGGGATTATTCTTTATAGATTAGACTCATTTCAGAACCGCAATATCTAAACCTGGTAAAGGTATATGGTGTGGTTGGCTCTGAGAATAGCGACTATAGAGAGTCTAATATGATGTACCTATGGAATAAGGGGTAATATGTTGCTACGCAAGAGATCTGATTTAACACGATCAAACCACTGGTATACATACACGTATTTTCTTTGCCTAAGTGTCTTGGAAGCCCTGGGGTATTATTGATAGGACTTTGATTTTGCTTCGAACCCAAAATATTTTCTATGTGTTTTAGAGGAGAGTTATTCAGTTGACTGATCATATCTTAAATGGTACCTAATTTAGTGACTCTTATACGATTATTACATAAATTTGCAGTTTATTTTCTTCTAGTTAACATATTACCAATACTAAAGAAAAAAAACTACATTTTCAACTTGGAACTTATAACTTGTAATGTGACCAGTAGCTAAACTCAGTGTTATAGACGATGTTATATCACGCGTATGACCAATGCTAATTACTGTCCATCGTGGGTAATATTAATAGTATTTGCAAATGCCATAGCTGCTTTAAGGCTTAGATATACAAAGTTATTCTTTTCGGTGACAATATACTAATCAACTGGCTTACACCTCATCCAAGTCAATTCATAATGTCAATTGTTTCCACGCTGCTCGCACTTCTGAATACCTACTCATATCGCTGTTTTACATTGGTAATTATGAAACTTACCTGCTAGAGGCCACGGCTACATATAGGCAACCCTCTTTGTCTACGTGTATCAGGATGGATCTTTCCAACCCTCATTGCCTTGGGACACGGCCCCTTATACTTGCCAATCTTTGATATTTAACGCTACATATTCTTCTATATTATGTTTCATTTGCTTTTCTTTCAACAGGCTTCACCAATAAATTTCATTATTATTAAAAACTACCTATCGCTACTATTACTACCTGTTTACTATCCCGCATAACTATTGCTAGCCTCTGATAATGGATCGATGCGATAACCAGCCCAAATCTCCCACTGCCTCTCAGCTAGCGGCAGGAGGTTCTCCAGACACTCCTGTACCGACATCTCCTACGCTGTCTACACTATCATCAATCTACCCTCCGAGGTTTACTGCGGCAGCTCCTAGGTCTCCTCCTGTACGTGGTCCGAGGAATTATCCGGAAACTAACGATTCTCATGTCCGCTTTCATCTTGGTATCGTTCCTCGCACTTGGTTGGCTCCACGTGATCCCGACTGCGAACTACCCTCAATATTTTCTAGCCTTGAAGTGTATAAAGGAGAAGACTCGGATAACAATGGCCTGGACGCTGCCCAGAGTGCTATAGGCCATGCAATCGAGGCATATAAGAAGAGTATCCTGGATGAACTGGAAGAAAATGGCACCGTGTTCGGACTTAGGGTTCAACTGCCACCCGACGGCGGAGATTATGGGGTAGTGAGAGAGACGGTTGAATACGAGGCTTTTGAACATTTTGACCGACTACAAGCAGCACTAGCGGCGCACGAATTCCGTGAACATGGCGTGCCTAGAGAGCGCCGTGAGGATTTCTTTGGACCACTTCCCCCTAGGGACATGCACGATACTAGACTCTATACAAATCGTGTTTACATTGCAACTAGGTACTCATTAGAGTCAAACGACCCGCGGGATATTATCAACTCGATGTGGCGATAACTAATCGGTGGCCTAGCTTGTATAGGGGATCCGATGAGCTAATGGCCTTGTCGGGTCATCAACTAAGTCTCATCCTACTTGTCCGACTTACTTCTCTGTCGGATATTCCTATCGCCACTATTTCTTACTTCGGGTATTACGAGAATGTGCCACTGCTCGTTATATAGGACATATGTAGGATCTAGATAGGTTTCAGGTTTTTTATTTTATTTTATTTTTATTTTTTTCTTTCTTTCGTACGTCGAAGAGACATAAATCAATAATTATCTAATATAAATCTCCTAAGTCTACCTGCCTAACTTAGGTACTTAGTCATTTACACTATTGAGATGAGACAATATTCAACATTGAACGAGTATCTCCACATAAATACAATACGAATAGTCACGTATGTATGTATCCGTCGTACCTGAATACCTTAAACCACAGATTAGCCCGAAGTGGCCACGCAAGCACAGGCCAATCTTGGCCATGATTCCCTGCACTCCAGACTCACGGGTGGATACTAAAGTTTACATGCCCTTTTCGTCTAAGTAAGCGAGCCAATGGATGCGGGGAACTAACAGGGTCAGGTGCCGCGGGCGGTGATCGACAGAGAGCCTTTTATTTTTAGGTTAGTGGACTGGTGGAGGAAGAAACGACAAGAAACCGCTGAAGATCTGTGCTACCTTTTAACTTAACTGATTATTTTGACTGGGCATTCTTAACGGTCTGACGGTGCTTGACAGCAAAACCACCTCATCCTGATGTTCCCCCCTCCTGAGGTCGTCTGTTGCCTCACGCGGCAAAATGTAACCTTTGGGATTTAATAACTTTCATTGATGACGCATATTATTATTTTATTATGGCTTTGCTTCCTAAGGTTTCGCGGTAATCGGCAAAGTGGCTGGTCAGCTTGTTAGGTCTTACATTATTTCGGCATATGTAAACGACCTTGCCTGTTTCCTTGATTTCCTCAGCGAATCTTCACCGTGGATCCCCCCGGTCGAACTGCGTCTTAGACCTGCAGCTAACCTTCGATAGCGCATTAGCTATAGGTAGCTATGGTAATACCTAGGTAGGTAATATATGGAATACATGGTACTTATTAATTAGTAGCCAGTTGACTAGAAAAAAAAAAAAACCTTACTACCTCTACTAACTCTCCCTACTTACTTCTTCAATACTACATATCGCCTACTACCGGCATACACGAGGTGCATTGTACATATTATCGCTGGCCTTCGGGACTGCGCGATGAACTCGATAAGTTTGGTGAAACCCTAAAAGAGTAAACAGAGGAACGATAGCGAGATTTGATCGTGACGGGACCCACTTCAGCAGGAAATTCGAAGTCTGCATATTCTGCATAACTAACTACAACATAACATCCATATTTGCAGATTTGCAGATTTGCAGATTTGGTCACACGACACGGGCAACACTACGATCCTCGGCTGACACAACAACAGCGAACCAGGACACGTTCACCAACTTGCATCCCTTTTTTCCATGCAAGTTTTATGTGTGCAGGTCAGGTCGTCTGATGGCATAAACCTAATGAATTAACATTAAGATTACGGGTTGGCCGCTTAGTCCCCGAACCTTAGGTACTATCTTCAAAGCCTCCGATCAGCTGTAATCAGACGAGGCTTTTTTTTTCCCTCTCTTCTTCTTCCATTCTTCCTTCAGGATGCAGGTCTCAGAAGAAAACCCGTCAGCACCGGCGAACTCCCCGTCAGTCGACGCCTATATCCTAACTGGGCCTAGTCTTGGCCCCGATCCTGGCCCTGACGGTCAGCCCTCGGGTTCTATCAATAATTCCAATAATGAATGCAAGTGTAAGTCAATTTGACTTTTCTATTTTCCTTTCTATATACTTTTACTCTCTCCTAATCCTGTTCATCTGTTCATCTGTTCATCATGATATTACGGAAGATTTGCCTTCCTTCGGACGACCGTCGGTAATTCTCGAGATGGTAATGATCGGACGTACCCTTCTATGTATTCACTTTCCTAGTCTTACCCTCGTGCGTGTCAAGTAACTTAGTCAAGTCACTTAAGAACGTAACTTAAGACATATTAAGCACCATCTACATATTATTTATCAATTTGCCATCGCACAATCCCGAGTTCACATGGTATTTTTGGCCAAGCTCTTAAGAAGCCAGTGCACACGGCGCCACGCGGTCTAAGGGGTTACTTAATGGGTATGGTTGACTGATGCGGTTCTTAGCGAATGTGCCAATCTTTCATGGCACCACCAGTCACCCTGATTCCCACCCTGATTCCCCGCACCCCACACAAGCGGAAACTCAGATTGACCAGGCTATATCATCAACCGGGGCTGGCCCAGTTAGAAGACTCTCTGCCTCCTCATCCAAGATGTTGTTCTCAGATTTGTATAAGTCAACCAAATCTCCTCTTTCGAGGTTACGGCATCACTCACATCCAGCCCCTGTGGCTCTGGATTATGATCCCGATCTCGTGAGTCGAGATAAAGCTAAGCAGAAAGAAGCTATTAAGCGCGTCCTCGCGGCTAAGATACGAAATGATTGGCACTTCGAATGGCCGCCTGCAGCTATCAATCCAGACCCGGGACATGCTGAAACAGAAACGGCACCTGGGAGGTATGATGACGATATTGTCGTAGAAGATATCGATTCAGGAGACGACATTGCTTCAGTGTATAGCACCGTGTCAGAGGATCTTACTCATTTTCGCCCCAGGTCTGAGTGGCTATCGGACATGCCCGATGACGACGACGACGATATTCCCGTATCACCATCGGCATATCGGTTTGATACTCCAGATGCGGTTGGCACCTCGGTGAAGGTAGCAGCCCTCGCTAAGAGCGCTAAACGGAGGAGGGCAGTGCGTTCTGAAATGGAATGGAATGATGGGCTTGCTTGCTTCAATGCTCGACGAGACGCCTGGACGGGTGCCAAAGCAGCTCGAATCCGTCCAAAGGCGACTTCCCCAGCGGTTACCTCTCCTGCCGCAAAGCGCCTTTCTTGGTGGCATATCTCGACTTCACCATCGCCCTCATCGCCTACGGAATCGATTGGTGCCAGTACAACGCTTAGTCCCAGTGCGACGCGTACATCTGGCGACACTACTGCGGTGTCTTCATCGGATGCGGAATTTAGAGAGACGAGGACCAGAGATGACTCGTCTACTTATCCAGTAGAGACCCTGGTTCCCATACCCCAACCTCTTTTGCCTTCTGCCACTCCTATGCGTGCCTCCATTACCGTGGCCGCGTATCCTACTATTTACGATAAGATCGTAGTTCAATCTGCAACGCCCTCGTGTCCTGTTAACCTAGGAGACGTGGTACGTTCCTGCGTGGCCGGTTGGAAACGAGATGGCGAGTGGCCCCCTCGAGGTACCGATCCTCCACCCGTCGTAGCAGTTCGTAGGAAGAAGGACAGCGGCGTGGGAGGCAGGAACAACGCACCGAAAAACAACGCGTCCAAGAGGATGAGCTTTAGTTTTCTAGGACGAAGACAGAGTGTAGGTGGGGACCAGAATAACCTAGCAGAAAGTACATCGCATCCAGAGAAAGAAGATGTTAGCCATACAACTGGTAAGGCTTTTAGGAAAGGATTACAGCGCGTGTTAGGTCTTGGGCACGAGAGAACATCGAGCAATGCTAGCAATCAAGCGAGTATTGCTATGTGACGGACGTGGATTAATGGGAATGAATAAATATTGAAGAAGTCGGTATTGCAGAAGGTTAAGGAAGGGACAAAGGAGTATTGGACAATCGCGATATATCCGCTGGGATTGTTAGGAGGAAGCGCGTTCTCGGCATCATGGCAATATACCCAGCATCGCTTTCGGCGTTTACTTATTTTACTTCAACACTCCGCCCTTTTGGCGTACACATAACACTGTTGATATGCTGATATGTTCTCGAATGAAAGTAGCAGGCATTCGCCGGTTTTTTTCTTACCACTACATACGTGAATCACGGTGTATATTGTTCTATGGAAATTGGCACTGTAGCTTGGATAGAGGCCATGAGAAGGTTACCATCTTGTCTTTGAACTGGGGAACGAAACACCATGTAATTAATGAGTGACGATGAACACAGGTAATAGAGAATTATAATTGTAGGTTAGGTAAATTATCAGTTACCTAACCTTAACTTGAAATTGAGTATCAAAGACGGTCTATTTAGCTTCGTACTCGGATGCGTAGGATAGATAAACTATAATGATCCTCTTACTGGATTGCTAAGTTATATAAGTTGGAATAGGCTTTCTTATAGCGACACTCAACTTACGAGGCGCCGATGTTCTGTAAGCATAAGTCAACCTTCGTTACCAAGACTCGAGCCTAACATAGGTTAGGTACACAGCACATCAACCACCGAAACTGTAACTGTAACTGTAATTGTAACCGTAACTGTAACCGTAACCAGAGGACTTAAACTTTCATCTCTCATTACTGGCGTAACCATGTGATGCCATCCGTGTAGGCTTTTCTAATCCTACACGCCACACCAAGACGAAAAAATAACTAAATAAAAATAAAAGATGTTCATCCCCCAAAAACGCCGGTTGATAGTTCCTTTTCCCAGCTCTTCCCCTTTCCATTCCCCGACCTAAATTATTTCTCAAAGACGATGACCCGCCTCATCGATATGACCCGGCCGAAAAGGGGCCACCCTATACCTAAGTAGTCCGCGCGCCCGCCTGTTAAAAAACTAGAAAAGCCGTCGAAGGAACCCTAGGGTAAATGTAGGTAGAAATAACACAAGTTGCCTGCGGCAAGAATTGAAAACTCCTAGCACAACTTTGCTCTGATCCAATATAATATGGCAAGAGCAGAATTAACCAAAGCTATCCTCGCAGCCCTACTGCAGGGCGGCCATAGAATCATCATTAACCCTTTCATCCTGCACGACACCGCTGCGTACCAACGAATCCCACACCTTATCGCCTTTCTTCTTTTTGAGCCCAGCAGCCGACGCATCGACCGGCAAGCCATCCAACATCTTAAGCCGACGACACCGATCTAGCACGACCATTTCGTACAGCCTTCGCCGCATCCGCGTGCCCATATCCGAGCGGCTAGCGAATTTCTCGTCTCTCGCTGCATCCGCGTCCGGCAGCGTGAACGGGTCGAAGCCTTTGGCTCCTTCCACAGGCACGAGGGTCTGGATCGGCCCGTAGAAGCCAAGTGTCGCGGGATTGTTTCGAAGGTCTAGACGCGCTAGATGCGGGAACCCAGCTAGCACGTCGGCGACTTGCGCGGGGTCTACGAGCCTGTTCCCCGCAACGAAGAGTTTCTTTAGCCGTGGGATGAAGCGCAGGGGCATGAGGTCTTCGATCGCGTTCATGTTGAGGTTGAGCACCCGTAAGTTCGGCATTAACTGTCCGAGGTCCGGCGGCAGGCGTTGGAGACCGCAGTTTGCTAGCTCGAGGTACTGCAGATTGAGGAAGTCTACGGATGGGTTGAACGACGTGAGAAAGTTGCCGGATAGAAAGAGCTTCCGGATTTCGTAGGCAGCGTTTAGAGATGATGCGTCCAAAGGCACGTCGCCTTGTTGCTCACGGAGAGAAAGGCTATCAAGACGACGGCATCGGGAGAAGCCCGTAATGGTGGTCAGTTGGTTTCGATCTGCGTGTAGGAGACGTAGCGAAGAGAATGGTGCCAGATCGAGGGCCGTAAGTTCGTTATTAGAGAGGGTTACGTATTTGAGATTGGGAACTGAGACATCCGTACTCGGGCCAAAAGATGATAGATTGTTGTGCTGTAAGTTGATAGAAGCGAGACTCGTGAGCTGTTCAATGCCCTGAATCGAGCTGATCTGGTTGTTCTCCAAGTCGAGCTCGGTTAAGCGCTGCAGCCTTGTACCATCCAAGTTTACCTCGCTGAGAAGATTGCCTCTAGCTCGGAGGATTTGCAAGCTATCATGCATCTTAATACCATCTAGATCAGTGATCAGGTTGTTGTCGGCGCGAAGGTTTCGCAAATGGACAAGATCCCTAAAAGCATGTAGACTACTGATCTGATTGTTCGACACATCCACATACTGCAAATTCATTAAGTGGCCCCATGCCGTCAACTCGGAAAGGTGATTATGGGTGATACGCAAGTTGCGAACGCTTGTAGGCATGCCGTCTAGGTGCTCGATAGCGTTATTCGATGCGTTAAGGGTGACAACGTTGGTGCAAAATTCGTCCAACATGTGAAGTGTTTTCAATTGCTTGTTATTGATATCCAACTCATGCATAGATTCCCAATCAGGCTCGAATGGTTCGACCTCGGTGATCTTCTCGACCAAATTTTGGATGGCTTTGGACATGATCTTCTTGGAGCCATCTCCAGTAGCAAGATAGCGATCCCCTACAACATAGCTGACTTCTAATCCGCAGGACTGATCCGCCTGATGCATAGTAAAATCGGACAGAGGACTCAGTGAGAAAGTGCCGACATACTGCCCGATGATTGGCGTCGCAGAAACCTGTGAAGTCTTTGCAGGAGCTGGCGTCACTACGACGCTCAAACTAGTGTTCCCCTGATGGTTGCTTTCTGGATAAGCAATACTATCGTCTTCGCGAATACTGATCTGACGCTCTTCGGATTCTGTTTGCTCTCCATTCGCATCTTCGTCCCGTTCATCAATTCGGGACACGGGTCGTGGGACAAATTCCTGTCCTTTAACCGACAAATTCCTTGCAGAACGACTTCGTGACCTCGACCCAGTAGTCGAACTACTGACGGGTTTAGGTGCCTTGGAACGACCTCCGCGCTTAAGTGAATTAACTGCCAAGTATTCAGGTAGATCGTCTAAGAGACCCAATTCTTGACCCGCGTTGTCATCATCAGAAAGATGAGCGACATCTTGTATGATGGAGGCAATTGGTGATGAAAACGAAATTGTGAGATTTCTTCGTCGCGACGAACTTGACCTTTGCATCCGATCTTCGTGTATTGTTATCTCGTGTTCAATCTCCTTATCGTCTTCGACTGCTGTCTCTGCTAACGGTTGTTTCATTCCCGTAAATACCTCGTTTGTATGGCTCAGAATACTTTCGTCATTAAAGGAGTCTGGCATTACGATAGACGATTTAGCAGGGGAAGGCATTATAGAAGACTCTTCTTGTAGGGATAGGTCATTGCCTTCTGGATTCTGGTTTGCAGTTGATTCGAGATGCTCTGTCTCCTTAATCGTATCGACTGAAAGATCCGGGATGCTAGCGAAAGGATCCTCGCTGTCTTCGGACGGAAGAATGTTTCTACCATCCATACTAGGACGTGGCTGTTTGACCTTATACCATACGTTCCTTTCCTTATCAAATACCATATTGCCCACCTGGTTACCGATGAGGGGTGTGACGACATCTGGCGCAATGAGTCTCTTTGAGTCCGATGCGTGGGAGGAGCTGGTATGGATGGAGCGCCCAGTGGAAGCACCAGAAGATCGTGTCCCATTCGTAGGGAACTCGATGGTGTTCTCACTAGGTTCAGGGAAATCCGGATTACGCGAAATCCTGATGTTGGGTAGGTCGCTAATTCCATCTTGATCATCAGGAGAACTATCCCATCCATTTTCAGAGAGAAAGCTTTGTCTAATAGACTCGCTGAGGCTGTTAGCTTCATTGATAGCTTCTCTAATTCGACCCATCGAATGCATTGAGTTCGTTATGATTTCTCCCAAATCACTAGCTTCCTCGTATTGCTTCAGCCGATCCGCAAGCGTCGGATCCTCTTGATGGGTTGGTACCCTGATTAGAGGGGGTCCCTCCCGGCTTGGGGGTCGCAAAAATGGCTCCTGCGTGGATTCCTGCACTGAACTCTCATCGCCAGCCGTAACAGTTACGTTGTGTTGTTCAGTAATTTCAGCCTCAGATTCCTCCACGCTACTAAGGTCGTTCTTCGGGCGAGCCTTATTTCGGATCATTGCCATGATCTCCTCTGCAGCATCGAAAAAATCTTGGGTTTTCATAGACGTCCTTGCGGATCCATCAACAGCAAAATCTTGGATCGACGTGTCTGGTGCATCATTTTGGTGATCTGGGTTGAAGGTAAGGCTGGCAAGTGGTTGCCGCTCATGCGATGTTGACGGCCGTTGGCCAGGAGTTGGTGACCTCGGTCGGAACATCTGGTACATTGATAAACGGGGTGGACTATCAGGTTGTTGTAATTCGCCTTGGCCAGAATGTTGTCTTTTCCCTTCCATAATCGATTGCATGGTTCTGTGTGAAGATTGTACAGATCCTACTCCCGTGTGTTGGTCTTCTAACCCATACGCAATGTCTGATCGGTGAAGTGTTCTCCTCCTTTTCGGAGTGGGATCTTTAGATGGTGAAGTCCGTGGCCTCTTTCCATCCGAACTATTCCTCTGCGGCGTTGCATGAATACCACCAAAGGGCCCAGGTGGATATGAAGAGCTCTGTGGCTTCAAATGGCTGGCAATCCTAGACATAGTGATGCTGCGTCGGGGAGAGAAGGAACTGCTAAGTGGTTTATGGCGCCGGCGCTGTATGGCAAGGGATCTTCCACCGAAAGATAAGTCCTGGGGAAATTGAAACTTCAAAAATTGACTTGGCGGGAATGAATCATCTGCAGGTGCCATATTCTCTTTATTTGTCAACTGTGAGTAATCAATCGAATTCTGGGTGATGTCTTCGGTGAATTCGTAACCATCCAGCTCCCCAGCTCCAAAAGTGCTAACGTCCAGATTTTCGGGATAGTCAAAGCTAACCTGTGGAGCCCTTCTCGGGCCAGACTCGGTCCTGAACCCCTTATTTCCGCTACTTTTTGAGGGCGATTCTTGTATCGATAGAGCATCAGTCTCGTTCGCCATTGTGCGTGATATAGGCTCTATCATTTGGTCCTCAAACTGGCTTATGCGTCGAAGAAGAGTCTGGTTGGTGAAGGTATCATATGGACCAAATAGCTTCAGGGGACTGCCGCTCTGGCCTGAAGACGGTTGAGATCGTTTCTCGGGACTTGGGTACGGCACAGGAGGTAAGATAGGACTAAGAGCAAACTTCAGTTCATCTTTTCGTTCATCCGACGCAACGCGATCTATTCTAACAGTTGGAAACTGCTTCGGTGTGCTGGCCTGGAGTGACGATTCTGGAAGCATATCAGAAGTATCAAGATTTAATGGCGGGCTGAGAGGGCGTTGACGAAAAGATCCGTCTTTCGAGCGCCCACCTCGCTGAACATTCAGAAAGCCTCCATTTTTAATAAAATCATCAGTTGTGTCAATCTTCTGAGTGTCGTCAGCAGCAGGGACCGGTCCTTGTTCTGAGTGGTCATCAAGCTCAAAGTCTAATAACATTTGGTTTCTCCTGAGTTTGTCGAGACGCTTACGAAGCTGTTCTGCCGGAAGTTCCACGGGAGCGAAGTTCACCTGTCCATCTCCAGAGTCGTGGCGTGATAATAGAATCGGGCTTAGATCCTCATTTCTAATAACACTTTGCCCGCTAACCTTACGTGATGCATCAAAGTCGTCGTTAAGACTGTAAGAGATGTTAGATTGCTCTCTATGTTCGCTTTTCCCCCCCTGGCCGCCATGGTGCTCGTCATCTGTTACATCATCTCCGCTCGGTTCGCCAATCATCTCTTCCGTCATTCTAAATTTTATCTGCTTGCGGTGTGGTCGAGGTTGCCGAACCAGAGATTCGTTAGCGAATTGTTCGAAGCTTTGCTCATCACAAGTCTGATGTCTCGAATAGGGTGGAGGACTCGAGGGTAGGGTTGATTCATTAGCGGTATCTTCTTCGTTTCCAGCGGATTCGTCCCCTGTGGATTCCTGGGCCACAGGTGGTCGAAAGATGTTTTCCAATCCTGTCCCGGCGGAACTAAAAAGATCCTTCGACTCTCCATAATTTAACTCTCCATAAACTAGTCGTCTTCTCCATTCGGGCATATTATCCCTAGATTTAGACGGGGAAGAACTCTGTGACTTGTTGTGCTGAACAGTATTATGAACGACAGATGCAGCACTAGAAGCGGATGTCGACCGACGAAGATAGCGTCCCCCTCGGGAGGTCCCGACTGTTTGCGGAGGCTTTGGAGGGGTATGTTGCGCTCCCCGGGTATTAATATCGTTTATGCTTCGTTCACTTAGTATGTTAAAAGCGCTACTATCGTGCGTCGATTGTTGCGACTTCCTTCCTCCAGCATTGAATCTCGGTATGCGACTAGCGGGTTCGTGTAAACTTCTGCGACTCGTATTGGCCCTAGAGCTCGAAAAACTAGGTAATTGTGCCTGCGAAGTATCGGACCTAGGTTGAGATACCCAGTCCTCGGAAAGTGAGTCGAGCCAGGCCTGGGCCATGGCGGGCAAATATGGTCAGGGTATTGACGCGACGAGTAGTGATCAGCAACACTGGCGTTTGTCCATGAAGTAATTTATATCAAGTTCCGGTAATGTTTTGAAGCTTTTTAATAATAGTCGTTTGGTGGACTATAGCCCAAATAGTCGCGTATCTACCTAACGTATGATTTGTGGCTGTATAAGTGGTGCATGTGTTGTGTTGACAATGATGCGTGTAAAAGTACCTAGTGTAATCCGTAGGCGCGTCTGAAAATACGATTGCAATAAGAAATATGTCGAGAGGAATTGAGTTTAATTATCGCCACATTTACCAGGGTAATTTCATCAGAAGAACAACTCCCAGGCCGTTATCGCATCTAAATTAGGTTCGTAAGGCGCGAAGGTTAGGTTCTGAGGTATGTAGATAGCAACATACGTAATAAATGGCGGGCGTGTTGTGCAGGCGGTGTACCGGTATACATACCGTTCATACCGTCACTCTTCTCATTCCTTACCCGATTTTACCGTTTGTTGGTCAAAGCACCCGACGGCAACTGGCCTTGGATTTACCGGTTTCTGTAGCAACGGTATCCCATTTATTCAGCCCCATCTAATTATCTAATCGTCTAACCATCTAACCGTCTCTAGCCACATCCACTAATTTCAATTAACGCGCTCAGTCGCGTCTTTCGCAATCCCTTAGGTCCTTACTAGGAAAGTACCTTAGGTTAGGTACCTCTTAATAAAGTTACCTAAAGCACATAGGTAGCAACCACCAAGGGAGAGGTTGTAACATTCTTATGTACATTTGACTAATACAATTTGAATTATCAAACTTTTTTAACCCATGTCTAAAATCAAGCCCCGCCTACTTTCTACCTATGACTTTCTATTCTTAAACCCTTATCCGAGTTTGAGTTGAAATTGCTCTACTAATTCTGCTTGGAATTCAGAATATGATGTCAGATTAACAATTCATTGTACTAGGTATTGAGACGATGGATAAGGGTAATATCGGTGTCAAGTCGTGGAGGCGAGCTCGCCTCGGAGACGAACCAATTTACTGCGCCGCACCGACTCCGTCGAACCCGGACGACATTATCTGCCTAGGCTCAGACGAAGAACTTGATGATGCCGAAAAGATTGCAAGGAGACTGAGATATGAGGCACAGGCACTGCGATATTTACAGGGTAAGCCGGTGCGAGTCCTATCCGCATCTCTACACGGACCCTTCGGCAAAGCCTCAGGCTGGAAGAATCCTTGGCTCCCGAAACAACCTACCACCAAGAAATCCGTTCTCAAATCATCATCCCGATATCCGACCAAACCCATCCCACCGTTTAAAAAATACATCCACAAAGTTTCCGAACGATCAGGGCAGCAATATAGCAGTACGCCTGACACCGACAGCTCTGTGCGTTGCCATTTACCCAGTCCTGATAGTAACCGAGGGCTACAATTATCCAGCAATACGTTAGAGACAGAGAAGGATAGTCGAATACAGGCTTGGGCAAAGGAGGTATCAAAGGGCGCCATCTTAGAGAGAGATGCTTTCTGGGCACCCGAGGAAGTCCTCCGTGAAGAAAATGATGAACCTAAAAAGAAGCGACCTGCCGGGAAAGAATGGTTAAAGAAAACATCAAAGCGAAAAAGACTGGGCAGTCCACAAAATATAGACATTAGGTCTACTCCTACGCCGCTACTGCCGACGCAACCACCAGTCCGAAGTACATCAGTGCCTATAAATACACGCTATCTTGAAAACCCGGGTTACCCAAAGCTCAAGGTCAACCAGAGCTTTGAATTCGCTACTCCGTCGTCTACCATTAGCCCGAGCCATCGGGAAGTTAAGTACGAAAGAGAGATCAAGGTTCCCATGCAGGGTAAGATAATGCCGTCACAAGACGAATTATCCAATGGCATTCAACTAGATGCCAAGGACACGATAGTGTGGCCTGCGAGCACAACAGTTAACCCTACAAGCAATCAGTCTCTTATAGAGGACAAGGAATGTAAACCAGTTTTGGGTCCCAAAAGAAGTAACCATTCAAATGAGTCCCCTGAACATCTAATCAATCAAAAGACTCAGGTGGGCCAAGAAGTAGAAGAGGATCCAACTTTCGAGAGTTATATTGACCAAAGCTTTCACTACCGAACGCGGCTCCCGATGCAGGCCTCTCCCGTAACTGGACCAAATGTCTCAGTTATGAGCATTCATTCTAAGCTGACTCAGACATTCCAGTCTGAGTCTCCGGGCGACGAATATGCAGTGGCCGTCGCCATTCCCGAGAATCAGTGCCCTCTGGAGCAAATTACAATGTTAGAACAGTATGCCGACATGGAATCAGTAGCTATAGCTCAAGCATCCGTGCATCTACTGGAATCAATGTGTAGCCGAGGAAACGATGACGATACTCAAAACTATAGGCGCCAGCCAGCACCGTCAGCACTAAATGAAGACCGGATAATCAACGGTGATGGCGAGGAACCATACAAGTGCAACGAGACCATTGGTTGTACAACCGTAATAGAACCTAGGCCTTCTAGTAATCAAAAAATGTCTAATGAGAACCTTTATCCAGCACAAGTCGATACAGCTGGCACTTCAATTTTGGCGGAGACTACCAACACTCTTCGCATAGAAAATAGGGCTACAGAGAACGACATTCCAGACGTGGTAACCAACAACTCGCATATATCGCATATAGTACTTAATGTTGAGGCAACAAGAAATACCAACACCCTAAAAGGCCCTACGGCGTCCGAAACACATCCAACCAAATTCGGACTATTAGTAGATGAGGGGTCTACCTTAATCGGTGATCCAATGGATTTTAATCGGGCCTCGCCAATTGAGGCCAATGGTTTGCTTACACTTAACCACGTATCTAACAACGCAGATATAAAGGCCGAAGCACACGATCCAATAAGACATTTAGTAAGAATAATACGAGAGATAGAATCGGATACCGAATCCGATCCAGTCATAGTACCATTGTCACAATTAGAACGGGGCATTGGCGAAGATAAACTGAAGATCGTGGTTGCCAACGATGAAGAGGCTCCTGAGAAGGACACCTCGACCAAGGCCACTCTGTTAGATCCTTCGGAATCTTTTACACGAGGAGGTCTATGGGTCTCTAATTCTTCTCCTCCAGGGGCGGATATAACAATCAAGGACGTTAAGTTGGAGCCTGTTGAAGATGATCCCTCACATTGTCCTTATCCGTCTCAGACCATGTTGCCAGGTTCTCAGACAAACGGTTATGAAGTACCCAGGATTGGGCCATTACAACAGAGCCCCTGGGCTAAGGAGATCTTGGAATTCGCAAAACCAGATAAACGAGACTGGTATTCTACCACGGTTGGAGAGACGACACCCACAAACGCATTACTTGCTATAACAACATCTAAGGAACGTCGGAGCCCCTCGCTTACAACAGATATAAATACGATGCCCCGTTCTGAATGCCCACCTATTTCGCCTACGCCGGCAATTTCTGATAAAGATTCGCTATTTCCACCCCCTCAGTCTCCCGTGGTAGCTCATGAATTAGTCAGTCAGTTCTCAGAGCATAGAGCTGGTCCTCCTACTACACCTCCTCGAATGTCTTTACTTCACATGCGTACCCCTGACCTCGAAAGATCGATCAAGCCATTCTCCTTATTCAATACTCCATCGCCGAAGCGCCAACGGCGAAACTCTAAGCAATATTCATCTACCAACCGTACCGTTGGGATTCTACTGAACGCCACACATTCAAATTCACGGAGTAGCCAGAAGGCGAAGCGGCGAGTGTCATTCGCTCTGTTGCCAGACGAAGATGATGTCGACACTCCACCAGTATTCAACACCACAAGAGTCACATCACCCCCACCACAGATGGTCGTCAATACTGAAGACGATGATATCGATAACCAATTCCAGGGACATTTTGAGGCCATGAAGTTACGCGCCAATAATAGGAATGTCCGACTCCGACTACAGCCACGGCTACTCCCGAGCCCCTCCCAGCAAAAGCCTACAAGCCCACATATTGGCGCGATGGCCGAAGCCTTTCGGGAGGCAGACGCATACTCAGCCTATGCACGTGAGAGTTTAGTAAAAAACAGGGAGGAGGATATAGCTGATGTAGAGCAATCACCATGGCGAAAAGAGAGTCAGGGTATAGATCACGTTGCAGACGTTATGGAGAACCTAGATGAATTTATCAATGCTTGGGACGTGAACGCCGAACTTCAGAAGGCGAGACAGGAGTCGGGCAGAGAAAGCCTGGACGGGGAAGGCTTCTGGTGAGGACAGATATGGCTGCATGATATGGATGTATAATGATAACATGGGGTTAAGTGCAAGGAATCGTGTTGACACCCTTAGTTGCACGTTGCTTTCTAGCATGGCCAGGAGTTTGGTCAGTCACGATCTGACAGATAGCATGGTTTTGGAGTACCTGAGGGCTGCATCTTATCGCGAGGCTTTGCTTACCTTAAAAGGGTAATTGAATGTCCATTTATAGCATAAGACTAAGTCTATGTCTAGTGTCCTCGAAGATTTTATTTAGCTATAAGCATTGCCAATATAAGAGACACTAATACTTATTACATTGTAAGCAGCTTGGTCACGTTTGAGCGCTATTCGATAAGATGATTTAAGATATAGCTACAGTAGTGCTTATTGTTGACATTTCGCCTTACTCTGGTAAGGACTTAGCCCCCTGTCTTTAAATGTAGATCCAAAATGCAGTTAGCTCAGGGTTATCAGCCCTATACATAGTATGTGTTTATGAAATGGTCAATTTCCAAGTCAGTGGCAATCCAGATCATGAGAGCTGTATATTGAAGCTTTTTTATCTGTCATAGTAAGATATAGTTGTATGACTTATACTCACTAGAAAGATACTTTTGAACTGTAATGTTTTCATGGAGAGCCATATAACGCAACTAGACTTCCACAATATAACGTATTACTATTAATATATTACAGATAAAATAAGCTAGGTTCAAGTTACTCTTTTGTTGTTTCACTATCATCAATCCTCGTCATAGTCATCAAAGCCGAGTACTATAGATATATATAGTAAACTTCATATAAATTGATTCTATGTGAAATGAACATACATATGTAAAATTTATACTTTCCAGGCTGGTCTCTCTCGTATGTCATATACTACAAGTCTTAACATCCTAATCAGCTCATGCGTTCGATATTATAAACCAGTCTTTACGAAGTATTAGACTGTTACGAACTTATATCGTAGAACTGAATGACTAATAACGAGGAAGATGAAAGGCTATTAAAACATTGAGTATGTAACATGAATTCATATAGTTATATTATGTATCTGGTCATTAGCTAAACCTATATATATATATCAAATATGAAAGATACTGGGAGAACATCTCCAGTATCAATAATTTTATGTAGAAGAGGGTTAACGTAAGAAATTTCCAATATATAAGAGTCTTAAAGGTAAGGGAAAAGAGCATGGTAGTCAGGGAGGGTATCACCCAGGTCCCTCAATTTTCACCGATCCACCGATGGTATATGCACGGAGACGGAGTTCAAGGTGAATCCCCTTGCATTAGATTCGGGGACTTGAGATCGAAAGTAAGTAGAAGTAAGAGGGGAGGACAGGAGCGGCGATAGGGGATAGGTAATAGTTGGGTAGACAGTCCAGCATTGGATGGAGTTTTGCTTTTTAAGAAAGTAGGTAGGTATGCAGTTGTTAATAAACTCGATATATGTTATATGGCTATTTGTAAATCCTCCGAAACAATCATAGACAACAATAGGTACTCATTGTAAAACAGGACTCACAGCTCTTGTCTCATAAACTTATGCGAAACTGTTCTCATGATCCGAATTCAATTCAAAAAAAGCAATTGTCAAGTTTTACCTCCTGCATGGAAGTCGTGTACTCTCATACGTAGAATAGGCATGGATCGCTGGGCTGGGTTGGGATATCGGCGAATAAGTTGCTCATAAATATCCGGTATCCTCACACCGTGTTTATGTCATTATATCCCATTTAACTATATACTAGTTCCAGCTTGCCACTGGCCTAGATTCTTTCCCGAGGCAAGCAAATAGCTTATTGGTGCGGTGTAGTTATCTTGGCCCGTAGGCTCTCGGCCGGGGCTTATGGGTAAATAGCAATTGGGTACCTCGTACAATCGTCTAGTACATATGACTCCGTCTCCTATATTATAGACGGTGGTGTATTTGGACACGACATTCGTCTTCGAAGTCCTAATAAAGTTAACTGACTACACGTGGCGCGGCTATTGCTAGGCTTGGGCCTAACAGAAAGAAAAGGGTGCGCGTCTTAATAGATGTTGCTAAATAGCTATATAAAAGCCCTACGGAAGATTGAAGGTCTGATCAGCGCGGTAGTGCTTCGTTGGACACATATACATAGCAAATCTAGGACGGAGAAAATCATCCACTAATCAATATGTACATAGTGATTTTTACGATGATCCTGTAGGATTGTATGTACACCGTACAACGGCGGTGAGAAATCAAAGTAAGCGGAACGGGATGATAACGCAATATGGGATACCGCATTACCCCCATGCCTAGAGCTTGGGATCGGCCGCCAGAGTTGGATTTGGAAAACTGGGATATCTAGGATATCAGCTAGGAAGTGCTGAAACAGGCAGGCAGGTTTCTAGTAGCCTCAACGCTATTCGTCCTGATACACTCTCCCCCTTTGTCCCCAGGTTCCAGACCCTCGAGGTGCAGGTCTAATTCTGATGCGGAGAGGTGGTGCAATGCTGATCTGCATTCCACGGCACTAGGGCACGTATACCATGTACGGATCTACCTTGGCTTGCCCGGATACATTGTATCGCGATATTTTAACTCCCGCCTGTGAAGTTTCATTGAATTAAAAAAGCTGTCGTCTAAGGAATTCGCTTCGGAAAAGTTTAACAAAAAACATAATTGTAGAAAATGACCCCACAATGTATAGTCATTCGAGCAGAAGACCTGGACCTCATGGGAACTCGGTAGGACGACATATGGCAAAGCACAATGACGTAGAAATGGTGTGATAAGGGAAGTTATAAAGAGTGCCAAGGGACGAAGCTTCGAGATAGACTAAAAACAACACCCTTTAGCGTTGCGACGCGACAGTTGAAGAAAGCAGACGTCGTGTGCCTGTCACCACTGAATGACAAGATCAGGAGACTTGTGGACTGAGTTGTCAAAATTAGACACATGTCATTATAACATTGCCGACTTTGACGCGAAGCGAAGAGTACCTGGAAAAAAGCGGCCCGGTCGAAAACACCTGTAGCCTGTAGCCTGTAGGTCGGTCCTGTAACCCAGCTAATGCGCCCTACATAGGTATGTTGGCAACTGGATGATCTTATGTCATTTTTAGCGTGGGCTATCGCAACCCTCCCACCTTATACGGTTTCTAGTGATTCTTGGTATGTGTGAACTTGTGAAAGTAGCTGTAGGATAGGTAGGTATTGTTATATTCTATATTCGGCATCGTACCGTCACCTAGACCCATGGGCTTGGGCAGACGATGATCTTTGAACACCGTAGATAGATGTTTAATACCGATCTGGTGAACTATGTAGGTAATAGGTACCCTACATACAGCTAGGTATGTATCGTACATAAAATCGCGTGGGCCCTGCCAGGGGCTAGCTCCATGAAGGGCTAGCACGGTATTATTAGAGCTGTTTGGTCCGAGGATGGGAATTTGTCAAGAAACTGGTTAATAAACTAAACATATTTCCTGATTTTGGCGAGATGCCCACGAAGTCGAAAGATATTCGTACTCGGAAAACGAAGGTACTGCATATATTCAGAAAATTAGAAACATTCACTTACATATAAATGTACATACCTACATACTACATACCTAATGTACTTACCTATGTAGGTACCTCTGAGGTATGCAGACGGGTATGTTGGTAGGTATATGGATATGTATGCCTTGACGGAAATGGATATGCCGAATCGCATGTTTGATTATCCGAGTAAGAGCTACTAGGATGAACCCTTGAGAGACTCGAAACCATTGAACACCAATCTCAGCCTCACTGCGTTTTGAAATGCGACGGTGGGTGCGGACGCATACGGCCTTTGGCCGGCTAATGGAATGGACTCAAGAAGCAGATTACGCACCGGGTGACCGGTCCAGAATTTTCGAGCAATTAAAAAGTCGACGAAGGACATTTACCAAATGCGATTTTCGCGGTGGTACGGAGTGAAGTGGGATGATCTTTGTCGATTCTGGATGAGGGGAAAAGGGTCCAGAACACAAGCAACAGCTTGTTCTGCAACTTGTCTACGAGAGGACTAGCGGCTGGCATGTCATCATTTCCAGAAAAAGGGGGTCGCACGTGGCCTGTGCTTATGCTTGTTCTACTACATTGTATCTAGGTACTAACTATGACGTCTTCATGATGCGCCACCTCGGGTCCGCGTCAATGTGCATATGGTATACATGTAGGTATGTACACTTATATGTACTTTATTAGTACCGCGCAAGTCCCGTATCACCTTAAGGTCTATTTTTATGTACCTAATTGTACGAAGCCATTTCGGATGTATGTATTCTTATAGGTACTTACCAAATCTGCCTTAAGCATGGTTGAACCAAATAACCTTGCAAACATCAGATGCGAGATGAGAGTCTGATAATCATTACAAACTGTAAACTTAAGTGACTTCGGATGGTCTGTATGTATTGCGAATGAAAGTGGTAGGGATGTAGAAGGGAAGGAAAGAGCTTTCTTATCTATCTAACTAACTAACTATATAAGTTAGGTACTTTTATGACACTTGCCTCATCTTATGTCATGATATTGTGTCAAAAGAAAGATTTAAAGAAAGAAAGAAAAAAGAGCAAGGTTTCACCGAGTCATCAATTTCAAGGGTCCCCCTTTCAATATTTGCCATTTCGTCATTGAGGCGGGAACCCTTTTTTTTTCTTTTTTTTTTTTCCACTATGTAGGTACCTATTCTTTTCATTTTATTCACTTTTTCTCCAATCTTACATTACGTGTCAATCGAATCTGTATTTTGAATTAGATTGCTGCTTCCTTACACTTTATTGTCATTTGACTAGAAAGCATTCATGCGTAACAAATCCTTTACTATTAACATGCCTCAATCTAAATGGGGACTCATTTTCCTGCTCTCATCCAAGCTACTTGTCTAGCATTGAATAAGTGGGAACGGGCATTCCAGTAGTCCCTGAAAAAAAAAAGAATAGAAGAATAGGAACAGGCGGCTTATGGATTGCCTACCTAATGTAGTGTAGGTATAATTGTCCGTCTCCACGCTTTCGAGGCGCCGTGTCTCTTACCCCTTCGACCCTTGCCGCCGTCGCAAAGTAGCGCCATTGAATCGCAGATCATTACCTCAGGCGACATATTCTCTTGCCCTAATAGGATCCAGAAACTCCCGTAGTGTCGACCCTCTATGACACCCAAGTCTATGTATGTACCAGTCTTACCAGTCTGTACCTTGGTTCTTCTTAAGTACCTGCACGAGACACCAACTAAATAACCTAGGTCAGTCGCCTTGCTCCAGTCAGGCAATCCGAGACCGCCCCCATCTACGTACATCTATCAAGTCAGGGCAGACCTACTCTCGTTCTATTTCCCGTGCGACCAAGTTGTGTCTACTAAGTACATCCAAGTAGAGATCGCCGTGGTCCAGGCCTCATTGTCCATTCCACACACACACGCACACCACCACCACCGTATCGACTGGGCCACACATTAAAAAAGCAAAAGAGTTCCTAAAGCCTGAAAGAGCGGGCAAGAAAGGACTATTTTCCTAACCGTTTCCTCCCCCCACCCACCATATTTCGGTGTTTCTATTACTATCGTCACATTCAACAGAGCTGGACTCTATCCTGTCCGGCGCCTCCTCGTATTATTTGTGTGTGCTACGCTTGCGGTTGAGGCTGTTACCATTGCCTTCGAACATCTTCTTTGCTTGTCTCACTCTTAACCCGGCTTCCCTTTCCCACGCTTCAGCCACGACGTAAGGAGAAAGAGAGAGTTATACGTGCCACTAGAACTACACCATTGTTCTATAAACTCTAGTATCACTAGACAAAGGGAAAAAAGAAAACGTATATGCATCTCTGAACAAGCCGTCGCTCGTCATGTCCAAATTATAAGACAGCCAAATACTGAAATGGGAAGAAGAAGAGGCTGGACCGCTCAGAGACACGACGTCATACGTAAGATGAGAACGAAGATGGCCCCAGACTCGACGAAAAGCAACGACCGTTTATCAGCCAACATTACCACCGCAACCACTCACCATTACACCATGAAGACCTCAACGAGACCGGCTCTTGCCTCGTCTCACTCACACCACTCACACCACTCCCGCCATCCGCAAACCAATTTACAGTCCTTCCGTGCTAATAAGTCTACGACTCCCCTGGCGTCGCCTCGCATGCCTCATTCCGTCGGTCAGCCCTACCCGCCCAGTAGCAAATTACCCCCTATTGTTACAGATGTCCGGCCGCCTAGTCCTAATTATTTCGGTCTCAACGTTGACCATTCGGCTGCTGACGTTGGTAATTCGGATGCTGCTCCTCCCGATCACTGGAGTCCTCCGAGCTCGTCCGTCAAGTCCTTTGGTGCCGCGATACCGAAACAAGTTCCTCTTGATGCCAACCCGGAGTTTGAGGCCTTCAGACGCCAAGTCGATGCGAATCGTTCCAAGGGCTTCAATCTAGGAAGCGCTTACTTTGCGCCATCTCCATCGCCTGTGTTCGCAAGACCTAGGCCTCCACGTTTGTCAACCAATCACAGCGATACCGCCTCGGATATGTCTAGTACCCGATCTTTAAACAGCAAGGTCGTCGATGGTGTTGGCGGCCGAATGGATGTTGATACGGACAGTCTACACGACTCTGCGTATGTATCATCAGATTCGAAGAGGAATTCGGAGGTGTCGCTGAATCCTCCCTCATTTAGCAACATGCCTCGGTTTGAGTCGCCCGCTCGTGCTGACTCTCCTTTCGAGCCTATACGTAGGATGGCATTGCCTAAACCTGAAGATCGGCATCCGCGACTATCGTTGTCTCATGAGAAATTAGAACAGACCATGGAATCCATGAAACCTCGTGCCGAAACGCTACCGACGACGCTTGAAAATGGACCTGGGCTCATTCTGCCAAGGCAACTTAAGGAAATGCTCTCAAATATGCCTGAAAATGATTATCTTCTGTTGGATGTCCGCGTATCTACACACTACGCTCAGTCGCGCATTCGCGGTGCTCTGAATCTCTGCATACCAACGACTCTTTTGAAGCGCGCTACGTTCAATTTGCAAAAGCTACAGCAAACCCTCCAGATCGAAGAAGACCAGCAGAAGTTTGCACAATGGTCAAATGCTAAGTATCTCGTTGTATACGATGCCTCTTCAACAGAAAAACGGGATGCAACCTCAGCTATGAATATGTTCAAGAAGTTTTCGAATGAGGGCTTTTCCGGGAATTCGTATCTTTTGAGAGGGGGTTTTCATGCCTTTTCTACTGAATATCCTGCGCTCATTGATCATCAATCAGCCTCAGAACGGGCGGGCACCGCAGTTACCTTACCGGAGGGTGGACGACCGAGCTTCGCGCCTGTTATCGGCGGTGTGATGCTCCCATCAAATGCTAATAATCCTAATCCATTCTTTGGCAACATCCGGCAAAATATGGATCTGGCAGATGGTGTCGGACAGATGGATATCTCTATACCATCCAATTTGGATTCGAATGCACTCCCTCCTTGGCTTCAAGATATAACTCGGTCATCAGATCATGGCAAGAAAGCGTCTGAGAGATTCTTAAATATCGAGCGTAGTGAGCAATCTCGTATGAAGGAAGCCTATGCATCTTTCAATGCGTCCGCTCCTCCAAGTCAAAATTCTGGACGAATCTGCCTTTCGGGAGTAGAGCAGGGTGTTAAAAACCGTTACAAGGACATCCTTCCTTTCGAGCACGCTCGTGTCCGTTTGGCCGATCGAGCCCAAGGTGCTTGCGATTATATTAATGCTAGCCATGTTCAAGCCTCGCGTAGTCATAAGCGTTATATTGCTTCTCAGGGCCCTCTGCCAGCCACCTTTGATGTAAGTCTACCCATCGTGATATTCCACTTGGTAATATTTGAAGCTCACAATTATTTCTAGGATTTTTGGTCTGTGATATGGGACCAAGATGTTCGTGTTATCGTCATGTTGACTGCAGAATCAGAAGGGGGTCAGCTTAAATGTCATCCGTATTGGCATGATAAGGAATTCGGACCTATCAAGCTCAAGTCGATATCCGAGAAGAAAGTATCGCTTGATATGGATAAGCATCGGTCAAATGTTGGGACTACGTCCACAAGCAGCACATCAGATTATGGACGACGCCGTGCTGCCACTACAACAGTGTTTGAATCCGCCCAGAATACGCAGCCCGCTCAGGCACAACCCGAGACTCCTTACGTTATTGTTCGAAAATTCGCGCTGTCGCACGCTGCTCATCCGTTTTCTCCCATACGCGAAATTACCCAACTTCAATATCTCCTGTGGCCTGACTTTGGTGCCCCAGCACAACCGTCCCATCTACTGGCTCTTGTTGAATTGGCCAACATGATGCAGCGTGCAGCGTTGCCCGTGGACGCAAGTTCAATTGCTGCGTCGGTCCCTACCGAGACTCCGGTAGCTATGGCCCGGTTCGATGAACCGGAATCCAATGTGAATGTCAGGCCGATGCTTGTGCACTGTTCTGCCGGCTGTGGTCGCACTGGAACCTTCTGTACTGTTGATACCGTCATCGACATGTTAAAGCGGCAACGTCAAGCCACAGCCAACCGCGTAGACGGAGATGGGGACGTGAACATGAATGAAAGCTCACCTATCCATCGCCGGACTTCAACCAGCAATGGCCTTAAGCCTAGACCAACGGCGAATGGTAATAAGGAGTTGGAAACCAGTTGGCTTGAAGATACAAGCCTTGATCTTGTTGAAGCTACAGTGGAGGATTTCCGCAGGCAAAGACTGAGCATGGTCCAAAGCTTACGGCAGTTTGTCCTCTGCTACGAGACTGTAGTAGAATGGGTCTCGAGAGTTCATGAGAAGAACAATATGGCTAGCGGCAGGGGTCGGCCACGGAGTGAGACTATGAATGCTAGAAGATAAAGAGAAAAGGCAAATTGGTGCATATCTCGACAAGAGTTATAAGATTGACAGGGAATGGGAGTAGGCCCAAGATATATTGCATAAGTTCGCATTTGCATCAATACGGCATTCTGATACGGTCGGAAGGTACATACCATCGGCTAGATGGTATAGCCAGGCAAGGGGTACACGGAGTTCAGGGAAGGGTTTAGTGCTTCTATAGGCGTTTCCAGGTCTACGGCATGGCATATTAAACTTGTTTTTTTATACATTTACTAGCGAGATGAAAGCATTGCACATGCGGGACCTACAGTAGGGACCAGGAAAGAAAACAAGCAGTCAAGGAGGAAAGAAACAGGCAGAAGGACTTACAGGAGTACCTATCACCAGCAGCCACATCGACGATGGGATTTGTACAATAAGAATGGGGATATACGGAGATGGTGGCGGTGGTGGTAGTGATGATGGCCCTGGTTCTAGACGATACCGCAACTTATAATAGCGAGTATATAGCCGCGTACACATACTTGCTAATATGGAGCAGAATAGATAGAAATACATCGATACTCTGCAGTCGAAATTGTTCCTATACTTCTTCACGTGATAATTGATCTTTTTTCTTAATTAGCCCTGCGGCATCGTGCCTCTGATTACCCGGCATAAGATTGCGCTTTGAGGATTCCTGAAGCTCTTGGTACTTATTATTAGGCCGAGTGGACAACAGGACTTTCAGTACTATGTTTTTACATACCTAATTATAACATTAGGATCTACGGGGTCGAGAGTAAACTAGAATCACTAAGCACGGAGAGCAGTTGCAACTGTGTAACGCCTGCATATCATCTTGAAATAGCGAGACCCCAATGGATGAATCTCGCCTATCTTGCTTTGTCTCTAGGATTATTGTACACTTTACAAAAGTAGTATCTTTAACTCCACCCAAGTCATCGTCGATTTCGTCCCCAGTACCATACCAAGGTTCGTAGCAAGTTCGCATAAGGACATCATGCAGTTGACATGCCGAGCTTATTTCCAGAATTTCTGGAGCGAGACTTCCTTGTCGTCGTGCTTGTTGAGAATCTTGGCTGTCGCCAGTTCGAAATCCTCCTGTGTGACATGAACTCTTCGTTCACGTAGAGCGTACATGCCGGCTTCCGTACAGACACCCTTCAATTCGGCGCCAGAGCAGCCGTTCATCTTTTCAGCGATCTTGGTAAGGTTGATGCCTCTCGTGAGGTTCATCTTGCGGCTGTGGATGCGCAGAATATCGGCTCGGGCCTCGACTGATGGCGGTGGGAACTCGATCTTGCGGTCAATACGGCCGGGACGAAGTAGAGCAGGGTCTAGAATATCCAGTCGGTTTGTCGCCATGATGACTTTGATATTTTTGGTCGGCTCAAAACCGTCCAGCTGGTTGAGAAGTTCCAACATAGTTCGTTGCACTTCCGAGTCACCGCCCGATGAACCCTCCACTCGCGACGAACCGATAGAGTCGATTTCGTCCATGAATATAATTGAGGGTGCGTGCTCTCGGGCCATTACGAACAATTCACGAACCATACGAGAACCTTCACCAATATACTTTTGCACGAGTTCCGAACCGGAGACTCGAATGAATTTGCAGTCTGTATGATGCGCAACAGCTCGAGCTAATAGCGTCTTTCCCGTGCCGGGAGGTCCGTATAGAAGGACACCCTTCGGTTGTGCGATGCCAAGGGACTCGAACAGTTCGGGATGCTTTAAACCTAGCTCGATGACTTCCTTGATTTCTTTGATTTGTTGGTCTAGACCACCAATCATATCATATGTGCTGTCGGGCACCTTCTCCACCATCATGAGAGAGACGAGAGGGTCAACGGAGGACGGGAGGATCTTCTCGAGCTTGTAAGAATCGGATAACAGCGTTACTCGCTTGCCCACTGTGAGCTTCGTAATATCTACAGAATCGGCAACGTCGACGACTATAAATTGTTAGCTGAGATACATAGCTCAAATAAGCTTGTCTTCCATACCATATTTGCCTTCTGGGTGCACCTTCACTAATACTTTCTTCGTTCCCATCACCTTGACCACTTCGCCAACATACGATCCGGGCTGTTGTAGAAGACCTAGTTCTTCTCTTAGTAATCGCACTCTCGAGTTATAATCGTTTCGCTGGGCTTCGAGACGTCGGAGAACAGCTTGGCCCTTAAGGATCTCAAGCTTCATCGCCTCGATCTTGTTATGGTAGTAATTGTCGAGCGCCATGGTTGCTAGGACTCCTTTAAGGAGAACTAAAGTCTTTTATGTCGTAGGTCAAGTTCTAAGGAGATGATAGAACCTTGGTACAATGAGTTGCGCTACCTAAGGAAGATTACTGTGTGGTGAGGATGTTGATGATGAGGATGATGAAGTCGAATGTAGCGATAGAGTTGGGATAGTGAGGCTAAGGCTACGCCAATGATGGATTGGACCAGGGTCAGTCAGTAAAGCTTAGATCCGAAGCAGGCAGTTGCAGCAACGCGTTCCGGAACTACGGTAAATCTAAAATCCCGACGTTGCAACAACCTCCATACCTCGATTTTCCAAATTACCTAAGCAACTTTATGTCATATATGTACATAGTACATATACCTTCTACTTATCTAATTACATAACGTAAATTCGGATGCGGCACAGAGCTGCATACCTGTGTAATGTAGTAGGTGTAAAGCATATGCATTGATTTTCGAAGGCTGGCAGGCTCACATGCATTGATTACGTAGGTATACTTCGAAGATCTTCCAGAACCTTTTCACGGCAGGTATTTACGGAAGACTTATTGGATCACAGTCATTTTAGAGTATAAAGTATTAAGCTTAAGCGATTTTGATATAACAATTATTATTCTCCTTATTAAGCTTTGAACTATTTTCTATATATTTGAGAATTCAAGACTTATTATTTTTCTTAATGGCATTTAGTAGACTGTTGATAAAGTAGTGGTAAATTGTAATGTGTCCCGCAGGCGCGGCTGCCGGGATCTGTTATCGAGAAGGTAGTACCTATGTACCATACAAAGCAAGGATCAAGTAAACTTTGTACTATATATGTCGTCTGTAAGTAATCAACACCTTCCAGGCGGGACGACCTCGACAAGGATGCGCTAAACATTGTCCACTCACACTGTAAATAATCACGAGGCACAATCACGACTTGCGACTGGATTGGACTTCGCTCCATCCTATTGTCTATCCACTGCATTTCAGCCATGTGCTATGTTCGCGATAGCCAGATATATATATGTAGCTATGCTTTATGTGTCGCACAAGGTCTGACTAACAATTGTGAGCACTGAGTAGTCGTAAGCTTGGCTTTCAATTTCATTTTATTTCATCTTACCTACCTCTTTTATTCTTTTGTCTCTTTAACCTAACCTACCTCATGTAGGATCCTAGAATTATCCTAAAGCCGCTTCAAGCGTTTCATCTAATCCAACTTGTTTATCACTTGAACATCTCCGCATCTTGGATTCGTCCGCAAGACATGCTGCAGCAACATACAGCACGCTAGACCTGCAAGCCAAAGTCATACAATACATTCCCATCGGGTTTCACAGACATCATTCGGGTCCTACCGTTCCTCATCATTAGCCTCTTGTCAAATTAAAACTAATAAATCGCATACTATCTTCTCTCTAACCTCAACTATATTTGTCTTGAAGCTTTGAGAATTACCCTATATGCTCATTAGCTAGGTAGTTTAATAGAGAGCCCTCTTCGTTGGCGGCGAAGATCTCGAATACTCGCTATCCGCGATGGATCCCCATTCGCAGGACGACAGTAGCTCTGCTGCTCCGCCCTCGCCTACAGATTCGCGACAGCAATCCGTTCGACGCGATACCAGAGAGACTACGCTCCCCGAAAGTTACCAGTCCGAAACCGTGCGAAGGAGAATAGACCAGTCTTATGGTATGCCGTAGCCTACCTCTTTAAGCTTAATTCTGACTCTAGCGGCGTGTTCCTCGCCTGTCACGTCAATTCTCCATCAGAAATAAACTAAGCTAACCTGACTTCCTGATCTAGGTACGGTTCAAACACCACCACCGCCTACGAGCGGTGGTACGCAATTCTTGGGAGAATCCACTGCCCACGAACGAGCGCACTCGAGAGCCGCAACTCAACAGCCTCGTTCTCCCTTACTTGGCTCAGACCGTGGCCGGCAGCGTCCTAGAAAGCCTCCTATGCCTCGCAGAGCCTCTTCCAACACGTTAGCTCCCCATCGCGGTGAGGTCTTCTCTACGGATGATGACGTCAACGAGGTGGAGAACGACGCTGTTGGGCGACAGCAGACATTCTCCCCTCTTCCGGCTTATAATAATGAACAGGCAAGACCGTCATCTACGCTGCGGCGAAGAAGCATGGCGCCACCGACCTTGTCCCGAGTACACTCGAGTCGCAGCGCCGGTCCTGAAGAGGAAGGAATTGATGAACTGCTAGAAGAAGAGGACGAGGAGGAGCACTTGCCTTCGCAACCACACGAGGAGAGTGTATTACAAGATGCGCCTCCGGATTCGGGTGTTCTTAATGACGACGACAACGACAACGACGACGACGACGACGATGATATTAGCGATGCTGAGAGCTTCACATTGAAGGACCGCCAGCAGGCTATCAACGAGACACATCCCTTCGGTATCAGGATTTGGAAACCTGCATTATACAAGAAAGATCGATCAGTTCAAAAGACTGCCGAGGGTGATATCCATTCTTCTCCCGGCGGTCGGGTCAGTACTTGGTTACTGTTCTTCAACCTCATCTGGACCTTGGCCTTCGGCTGGTGGATGGCCCTGTTTGCTGCGCTGGGCGCCACGGCTTGCTTTATTTTTGCGGCAGCTCCTAGTGGCAGGGAATATGGCCGCGTGCTATGGGGTCTGGCCGGTTATCTCTTCTATCCCTTTGGGAAATTCGTGCGACTCGAGCAGGACGAAGCATATCTAGATGAAGACGAAGGTGAGGGTCGAAGTATCAGCGAGTATGAGCAATGGCAAAGTGGCGATCTAGAATATGGACGATTGTTCTTTGGTCCTGAACGAAACCGCTCCATCATCGGCCGGTCAAGAAGAAGCATCGACTCTGAACCTAGTGAGACAGATAGCCTCCTTCCACGCTCGGGGCGCCACGATCATTCAAGTGACCCAGGACGGCGACTGAAGAGGCGGCTATTTGGCCGCGGACAATGGAATATTGGCCGTGTCATCTTCTTCATTTTCTTTTGGGGTCTCATCACGCCTTCTCTGCTTATTGTCTCCGCCATCTGCTGGTTTCTGGTCTTCTGGATTCCGATGGGTAAAGTTACAAACCTTCTCTTTGACCACCTTAGAAGGCATCCGTTGGCTCTATCTTTCGAGTCCGATATCAGCACCGCCAGGACGTCTGATGGCCCACACTCCTCCATCCTGCTTTGCACGTATCGAGTTGTAGGTTCGAAGTATTGGAAATACACCGTCGATGGCACCAACATATTTCTTATCAACCTCATGGCGGTTGTCATTTTCGTCATCTTCGACTGGCTCGTATTAGATACAATCCTTCATGTTGATAATTTCCTGACATCTCCGGGCTTTTTATTCGTAGCCGGCTTGTTCTCCATCATTCCTCTAGCGTACTTCATAGGCCAGGCTGTTGCGTCCATCTCAGCTCAATCTTCTATGGGCCTTGGTGCTGCAATCAATGCCTTCTTCTCAACGATTGTAGAAGTCTTCCTCTACTGTGTCGCGCTTAAGGATGGCAAAGGCCAGTTAGTCGAGGGTAGCATCATTGGGAGTATATTTGCTGGCATTCTCTTTTTGCCCGGGTTATCAATGTGCTTCGGTGCCATCAAACGCAAGACTCAACGGTTTAATGCCAGGTCTGCCGGTGTCACATCTACCATGCTAATTTTTGCCACCGTTGCCGCATTTGGACCAACCCTTTTTTACCAAATCTACGGCACGCACGAACTCCGATGCCAGAGCTGCACTGATTTTATAGGATCCAAAGAACGCGATTGCCGGCGGTGCTACTACTCACAAGTACCAGCACTTGACGACCGTTTTTATATCGAAGCTGTGCGTCCCTTTTGCTACTTAGCCGCCATCTGTCTTTTCTTGTCATACGTCATTGGTCTCTGGTTCACTCTTAGGACCCATGCGGCCGTCATTTGGAATAGCGAAATCGACGAGAAGAAGCATGAAGAACTTCAGCAACACGCAGCTCGTCTATCTGAAGCACGTAATCTCGGCGATTCAACTGGCGCAGATATCCGAGACAGCAACCTATATAAGCGTATCCTAGGCCAGTCGTTGAAACAAGTCGGTTTGTCAAGCGGAGAAGAGGGCCGCCATTTACGTCACACATCAGAGGGATTCCCGTTCAATGGGGGTGTCCAGACACCGCATATGGTTCCGCCAAGAGGCAGTAATGATGCCATGGATAGCATTCGCTCGAATGTTCATATTCCCGGCTTTTCAGATGCAGAGAACAGCGATCTGGTCCGCAGTGTTACAGAAGTAGCGGCAACAGCAGCTGCTATCGCAGCCCGCGACGCTCGAGGACCACGTCGTCTTTCTGCCCAACCATCAAATGCAGGAGCTAGTACCCCGGCAACACGTCCTACACCCATTCGCTCTGCTACCTTTCCTGAGCCCGACGAGGCTGGCGAGAATGCCCAGGCTTCCCATGGAGGTCACGATGCTCCGAACTGGAGCCGGACGAAAAGTGCAGTTATCCTCATGGGTGCTACTGTTCTCTATGCAATCGTTGCCGAGATTCTGGTCGACACGGTAGACGTGGTATTAGACAACTACGCAATCGACCCAAAATTTCTAGGTATCACTCTATTCGCTCTGGTACCCAATACCACCGAATTTTTGGTAAGTACTGCCCCTTCGGGTCCGCTACATCTTTTAAGCTAACCAATACTGTTTCGTTTAGAATGCCATTTCCTTCGCCATGAATGGAAACATTGCCTTATCCATGGAGATCGGCTCTGCGTACGCCCTACAGGTCTGCCTTCTTCAAATCCCCGCGCTGGTTTTCTTCTCTGCGGTTTACCCTCTCCAACCGGCCGGCAACCAAGATCCTACGCACTGGACATTTAGTCTTCTATTCCCACAGTGGGATATGGTGACGGTCATTCTATGCGTGTTCCTTCTAAGTTACATGTACGGCGAAGGCAAGAGCAACTACTTCAAGGGCAGCATCTTGATCCTGACGTATTTGGTGGTTGTGATCGGATTCTACTTCTCCGGGTTTACGGATAGTCAGATGGGCCATATGGGCGCGAGCCGATTTGACACTCTTGGCTCGGATGGCGTTTGGCAGAGCTATAAGACGATTGGACGGGGGACTGGCGGACGGGCATATGAGGCGGGAGTTGATTTTTGAGAATTTGTTATACACGCGTCACGCTTGGGCTGATGAAGTATTCTTTGTTATGTTCAAGTGTCGAATGGCGCCTGCGGCTCCTAATTAATTATGATATCCCTACTACTTTCTTTCTTTCCCTCTGTACGATTGGCGATGGTGCATGGTCAGGTCATTGTTGGGAGTATGGCTATTATTGCTAGCCTTTAGGCTTGGTCAGATCTTGTAAGCTCTCCATTGGGGAAAGTACGTTCCAATTGTTTTCTGGGCACTGAGGCATGACGATGCGGATTACACAGGCATCCTTAATAGAACCTATATCAAGACTTGATTGGATTCCTTAGATGTTTGCGTTTGCGTGGATGAGTGTCTTTGTGTTTGTAATATGGATGCGAATTAGAGCGTGAAAGTATGAAGACGAGTACCTTCTAAATTATATTCACGTTGATTAAAGGGGGGGTTAATGCATTCAACTCATCCTAAGGGAAATTTTGAGACGTCAGTGTCAGTAGCGATATCAGCGTGTCTTTACTTCAATAGCGTTACTCTATGTAATAACAGAACATGACATATCCTTCATATTTACGGGTAAAGAAAGTCTACTAACCTAAGTCGTTAGGAATACTACCTATGTAAAAGACGTTGGAGTGTCAAAATAGAAATTCCTTTTAGATAATTTTAAACGAATCTAACGCTTCGATCTCAACAGAGCCTTCTCCAAGAAGTGTTGACGGGCTCGCTTTGCTTATGACGATGACTACAGTAGAAACACTGACTACCTACGCATATGGTCACCGTAGTCCCTCCGTTGCCGGAGATAATGTAGATTATATCGACAAGGGATAGCCGACTGAGATGACGAGACCAATACAAAATACCAAGCGGCCCTGTTGGAGATGAATTAATGCTCTACCTCATTAGGTTAGTTACACAGCCGACCTATTTCAAGTCGTGACTGAAAAGCACGAGATCTGTTTTGTCAAATGGCTAGTATCTAGTATACGTACAAAGATTTGAGGATCAAAGACACTTAATCCGGCACTCCCCTCGACAATTCCACGAACACCACGGCAACAATTACTCAAAAGCGACAATAGCCATTCATATTATGAGACAACAGTTCATCGCAATCAAAAATATTCCTTCAAGACTGGGAATAAAATCTTTAATACAAGTAGCTCTTAGAATTAAAAATAAACCGCGACACTACGCCGAAATGTTCCGCCCCGATCAAACGAACACTACGGAATTCGCCTCTTGCCAGAATACTTTTAATCACATGGCACTATAATCTAGTTCAGATTTGCAAAGTCTACAAAATGTGCGAACATCTATTCTTCTCCACTACATGCGACAAGCGCATGAAAGTAATGAAAAATAAGCCTGTCAGACGTCCACCATCGCCCACCCCGGCCACGCGCCCGAAGGCAAGACCATGACAAATCGGGGTTGAGATCATTACCACTCTCTATACAGCACCTCTTGCGAAGGCCGCCACCCTTGCGGGCAGATCGAGAGTAAGGAGCAAGAAGACGCAAGGTCTTGGTGCTCCCGTAAAAAGATTTTCACTCTAGGGCAACGGGGATATCATTCATCAACCAGGGTGGGATCTGTGGCTCCTGTAGGGAACACAGAGAAGGACGAATACTATAGAAATGATTCTCTGAAGTACTATATTGGGAAACAGGTTAGTTCAAATGCTCAGGTTGCTATTATGGGGGGAGGGGTGAGACTGACTTGTCGACATGAAGAAGAAAGGAAAAAAAATTCGAAGGGAGGGGAGGATGGCCAGATATTTATACGCATTGGGCAAAAGTTCACCGGTCGGCACAATCAGTCATTGCCTGCAGAATTTTTTCTTCCGGTGGGGCAGATCTAACGCACTTGCCGATACGTACCCACAGATGTAAAAAGCTACTGTCGTATTAACCAATCATAAACCCCACAGCAACTGCTATGACTACCTATGTACCTGAACCAACCACCAGAAAAAAAGTTTTCTATGCTAGAATCAACATTTGCAATATTATTGGCCAATAGAGAAACTTAGCCTGGTAGAATTTTATTAGTGCGGTATATAGTGAGTCACCAAAATGGAATACCTAGTAACTTGTAACTGCCTATAATTGATGCTACCTAAAGCAATTTTAGGTATATACAATGGTACTTCGTGTAATTTACATGCACATTAATAATTGTGATTATAAAAAAAAAAAAAAAAAAACCTTTTGCATTATCTACCTATGTATATCCAATAGAAAAATTGTTCGGGGTCATTACTATTGTCTTAAATTCCTGAATCAAATTGATATAGCACAGTACGCAACCTTTTCAGCAAGGTTTAAAGACGGTGATTGCTATGCCAAGATGAAGTGGAGTTGCTTCGTTTGCCAAATCTAATATAGCCAATTAAAATTTGCTGTAGCGTCGCATTGTGCCACCCTTTTGGGAATAGTGGGGTTTTCTGCCAGGTGTGATTGCTGATTGTGCCGAGTCTCACCGCCCTTCCAAGAAATATAAATAACTGGCTCCTCTCCCTCGGTTCTGGACTTCTTTTTCCTTTCTTCTTTAGCTCTCTTTGCCTTTTGGCTTAGATCAAGTGTAGTATCTGTTCTTTTCAGTTTAATCTCTGAAAGAGTCCTACTTGGACTCAATCGTGATTATTCTAATTTTTGCTCCGAGGGAGCGTATCCTCTGGGCTTGCCCATGATCGCTCTCACTGTGTCCCTGGTATTACACTGCCTCCAGGTGACGCGAACATCTGTTTTTCATTGCAATTCCTAGCTTGACTAGGAGTGTGAGGAAGAATTAATTTGAATTATGCGCCTCATTTGTGAATATCGTGCTTAACTGGCCTCAATGTTTAGGAAAATTATGCTGCATACATGGTATTTAGACTGAACACCGATTCCTCTGTACCTAACCTTACGGTGATGACTGGTCGGTCGCATTTGGAAGCAGCCATTTCCACCAGATATCAGCTGAATCCAAGAAGTGCGGTTGGATTATGCGACTTATGAACAATATCTTGATACCTGCTATCGAGGCCATACGGACGATCACTGTCTACTTGAGGTTTGATAGACGCCGCATCTCCGACTATTTACAACTTGATGTTACCATAGGTTAGGGCGTTTACAATGTATTTCTAGCAAATCTTGGTTCTTGAATTCGTAAAGCGAATGGCCTAATCTTACTCGTTTAAGAACATATTCCATAAGTAGCGTAATTATGTAGATACGTTCAAGATTGTTAGGGTAACTTTAATTAGTTTATATAACACGAAGGTAAAGCCGTAGGTATTTCTCTCATTCATATTTGGGTGAATTTCTTCCCCAAGATTCCCAGAGTCGAAGACTACAAGCAAGAGAATTCACCAAGGTCGCCCGCCACTTGAATATGACCAACGTCCATGCATAATATGTTCATTTACATTATAACATCTAGCCACTCTATCCAGACTCTTAGCCAATATAAAAATGATGAACTTTACTAATTGTTAGCTATGGTAGCAGAATATGAGTGCATCGAAGTGAAGGTGTTTAGCTGAGATAACTGATATCTAAGCCACATTAGCTCGATTAAAAGCCGAATACAAGTGGGTGATTAAGTACCCCAAAAACGTGTATAGAAACTTACATGGACCTCTCCAGGTCTTTCTCGAAGGTAATCGTCATATAAATCTCTATGCAAGGTATAGATGAAGTCTAGAGGAAACCAATAGCTCGCATCCTATTCGAGGATAACATCATCTATTCTACGTGAAAGCCCCAACACAGGTATTCAGGTATTTAATCTGAACACTTTTTACAGAATAGAGCATTATACATAGTATATTGCCAAAACTTATACCCGTGTAAAGGCTACAACAGTATTGATTGTTAATAGATCTACAGCTACGGATTCGCATAATACAAGTTTACTCATACACCCCAACCACTCTCACAATTTCGACCCTTATGCTAATTAACCTCTGAACTCGACTAACCCGTCATCCTCCTCCAATAACGTTATAAAAGAAAACGGAGTGAACATGTGACCCGCGAACTCGGCGTATTTCGATTGCGCCTCAACCCATTGCAGACGGAGAGAGTGCAACTGAAGGATGAAGTTAGTTGACATTTGATCTGTACTATGTAAAAATAGCCGAGGGGGAAACTTACCATAGCGCTACAGCCTTCCATACAAATGAGAATGGCACAAGAAAGGAAAAACCACAAATAGAAAGCAACAACGATCATGAAAACACCGAGGACGCCCGGCTTGGCGAGTGATGGGCCAAGAGTCATGTCCCAAAGCACGACACTTAGCTGCTGGTGAGCGAGTGACAACGCCCAGAGACGCAGGTAAGAAGCAGTGTGGGAGACACAGTTCAGGCAAAATTCTATACGTATAAGTTAGTAAGTGCTTGCGACATCGATTATAGTAATTATAACTTACCAATTGTGTGGATGACCTGATGAATCATGATCTCACTGAATTCAAACTCTTCATGGCCTTCCTCGTCGTCACCGTGCGCGATCATAGCGACGCCCTCACCATCATCGGTATCTACGCTGGGGCGGCCGTTGCCATTGCCATTGCCATTGCTTTGGAAGTGCCCATCGCTTTCGTCCTCATCAAGGGCCGAGACTCTAGAGGGTTCGCCTATGCCACGATAGCCCTGGGCACGAGCACGGTTGTGCTCCCATCGCAAGTATAATGGTTTCAGGAGTAACAGGATAGGGACCTGGACAAAGGCAAGGAGTAACAATGTAACTTGTACACCCTTTTGTCCTGGATACAATTGAATATCTAATGTACCGGGCTGTAGGAACATGTAAATCAACATGTTCAGAAGTCCGGGGGGCTGTTCTCCGATCGCGAGCCAGTCCACAGACCACTTGTAAACAATGCAAATGACGAGATAACCGAAGATAGCTTGGAAGAAGATCATCCCTGGTAAGAAGTTACCCCAGATGTCAATTGGTCTCTTAAAGTGTCTCGCATTGAAGTAGGATAGGCAGAGGGAGTATGTCATGTGCGCCCACCCAAGAATGATAGACATCTTCATCTTGTAGCTGTTGCTAAACAACAAGTCATTCTCGGTACCATGCCAAAACCAGTCAAGGCCAAACGGATATCGGTAGTCGCCCTTGAGCTTAGCTACAAGAGGCTGGCCTTCTTGCCATCCCTCAGGAACGTCCCATTCCCAGGCACTGTCGAAGAAAGTGAAAGTCTTGGAAAACACATCGTTATAGATAAGGCCCGTGAATAAGGAGAACACAGCCATGACCAAGGCAATGTATCGACCATAGTAAATCATAGCGAAGAGTTCGAATGTGACTTTCTTTAGGGGCTTCTCCCAATATATCATAGCCAAAGAAGCAGAGAACATGATGGTGGCGTGGCCGAAATCTCCAAACATGACGGCAAACAGGAAAGGGAAGGTAACGATAGCAGGTAGAGCAGGGTTAACCTCTTGGTAGGTCGCCGTACCGTATGCATTAATGATAGTCTGGAATGCTTCTGTGAATTTATTGGTTTTCAAGTAAGTCGGAGGAGTCTTGTTTGTCTTGATCTCATTGATAATGGACGGAACAGACAGGCCTGCTCGGTTGGTCACATCTTGAAGCGTGGTGCGAATGAGAGGTAAATCATTCGTAGGACACCAACCTTCCGCAATGAGAGTCCGTCTCTGTCGGTCGAATGAGAAGAGATTGAGCGTTTGGTAGGTAGCCTTCTCCTTTGTAATCAAAATCATCCAAGCTGCAAGAGACTGAGCAATTTGGGTGAGCTCGGCTTCGAGAGTCTGCTGCGTATTGTGCAAGACGTTTCGAACATCGTTGAGACGGGCATTAACCTCATGCATCTGGTCGCGACGAAGGTCTGCGTTTTCGTCGACGCTATAGATATCAGCGCCCATAGATTCCGAAATTTTGCGGATCTTGGCCAGGATTTCCTTGCCATGAGCAAATATAACGAAGACATTCTTGTTAATAGACTCGTTATTACTCGGATCAACAAGGGGTTCGGGAATCTCGGATTGGTTCATATACAAGTTGCCGCGAAGCGTTCTCCAGAGAATGCGCTCGAAAGCAGCTACCCGGTCGCGGTTTATAACACCAGCGACGAAGCCAATATTCATGCCAGAGAAGGAACGTTCAACGTCGCCACCCTGATTGTGCTGCTCCACGTCTTGGAGTAAAGGAGCATCGTCATCCTCGGTCGAAGCTCGAATCTCCTCAACGTTTCCGTGAGCTCGGTCAAAAAAGCCACCGGCCTCGCGAAGAACCCACCGCCATTCGGTCAGTTCGACCTCGCGCTTCTTCAGTGTCTCGTAGCTGTCATTCAGTTGGAAGATTCGCTGCTCGAGGCTTTGAGTCCGCTCGGAGAGTTCATCGATCTCGGAAGTAGTGGGAGGCGCGAGCGTTTCGACATCAAGGTCTAACCTTCGTAGAGGAATGCTCGCTTTTTCCATTTGGGAATGGAAGTAACCTGGGAGCATGTTAGACAGGATAACGCGACTCGCGACGACGGCGGCTTTTCAAGGCTTACGAAGCTGGCGCTCAACATTGTCAAGTCTTCTAATCTCTTGGGTAAAAGTTCGCTGGAATGCACTGATATCACTGTTGAGCTAGATGGCTATTAGCATTGCTCGATGCGCACAAATTGACATCGGGATTGGCAGGGGATAGCAGCATACATCTCGAAATTGGACCAGTCCAAGTTCTCCTAACGCGTTAACACATTCTCGGCTGATTTCATTGGATATGTATAACTGCACCATACTCATGTCCGCAGAGCGGAACATGGACTGCTTTGAAGGAGCCATGGTGATGGACTGCGCTCCAAAGTCAGGCTGATGGTTCTTTGATGGTGACGACGGAATGCGAACTGCAAGAAGGTAAGCTTGAATTAAACGTCGTAGCCTTTGCAGGGGGACCGCGCTTCTAATTTAGGAGGCCGGTTGGTTTGTGGCTTGAAGTCATGAGGCGTACTTGTGGCGTACGCATTCTTTTACTAGAACTTTTGGAACCTGGGCATATGACGTACAGCGTACCTTATTTAACAATATCCTCAACTCCAGCTGTTAAGAATACCTAGGTAGGTAGGTAGGTACCTAATTCCTAAAGTAATTATATACAGGTAATTAAACTAGAATAGAAAAGAAACATCTTAAGATTTTTAATATTATTTCAAATCATTATATATTCATTTTCGAGCATCCATATATTCAACAGCACACAACGTCTTATTATTCTATGTCATTTACCTCTTTACTGCGAAGTACCTATAATGATAAGATTAGAGTGTGGGATTAAGTACCTAAGTACCTAACCTACCCACCTTATGTACATTTTACTCTAACTAATGGCTTAACTATTGCATATTATGTAGTTTTTGGACTCCATTCACAACATCGAACCACCCCAGTATCAAATCAATTGTCGAGTTTTTTCTTAACGCGGGCAGTACCAGCCGTACCGCTACTGTCGCCAACTGAGCTCGCATGAACACAGCCGATATGCCTTAGGTATGCATTGGCTGTTATCGAGGGCTGTCCAGGCGCAGTCTTCGTGTCGGTGTCGACTCTGCCTTCACTCCGGGCGTTCAATTGTACGGAATTCCACGAACGTAGCCTCCAGGCGGAAAATAACGGCTGCTGATATCTTCACTGCCTGTTATACGACTATACTTGGCACTGCGACTGTTATAGATACCCGGAGGAAGGAAGTAAGGAAGAAGGAACTCGACGAGAAACTAGAAAAGGCCAGAGCCGCATTGGGCAGCTTGGGTGTCCAAGACTTATCCAGCCAACAAAGCAGAGGGATCGACAGTCCCGATTCCGGCACTGCGATTAATTTGCGCAGCTCAGGCGATAGGTCTAGAAGAAAGGAACAGGCTACTACCAACAGCCTACTGCAAGAGTTAGGAGTTCTATACGAAATTACTCGTCGTCCAGTATCGCGTCCATCGTGGATACAGACACAGTTAGAATGGGCACACGTTGAAGCCGCCATCGTCGCGGAAGAGCAAGACTCCGGATATATACTCAGAGAACCAAAATCTGCTCAGCAACTCCGGAGGACAACGATGACAGTCGTAGAGCTAGTAAATCAACTCATACATCGAAGTCGAACATATAAGAGCACCCGGAGCCAAGATGTAGATGGCAAGGAGCAGGGAAATAGCGTAGACGATGCCGTTTATAAGGAACTGAAGGATATATTACAGACTTTCCATTATCCAAGTTATAACCAACCTACCGAGGACCCTGACGATGCCGCAAGGACTCGATTTCTCCTTGGGGAATCCATACGGCGTATCTTTAATCATGCTGCAAATACCAAGGAGATTACAACCAAGATATGTTATAATCTCTTGACAGCCGGTGTGCCTCCGAGTATCCACACTTATAATACGTTAATTGCAGGCTTCAACCGGATTCAACGTCCTGATCTCGCGCAGACAGTTGTCGATTCCTACATCCTCAGAACAACCTGGCCTGCCACTGAGCAGACCGCCGTATGTCTGCTCAATCACTACCGAGGGGTAAATAAGGAAGAAGGCATACGAGATATCATCCAACGAATGAGGGGTGTCAGAGGTGATGGTCTACATTTTCGAATTATCGACAAGAAAGCTATTTATACGCGAGACTGGTTAGCATGGGCTATAGAAAACTGCGCCTCGCGCAAGTATACCTATGTGGAACGAATGCGGCGAACGGATGTTGTATTCACTAGTATTATAAAAGGCTGGTTGTACTGTGGAGAACTCGGCAATGCTGGAGCGGCCTTTGTGACATGCGTGCGTTATGGAGGTTCGATCACCATTCAAACGCTCCAGGAACTCTTCACAGCATGTCTATCAACAGTTGATTACACCGCAGCACGGCGATTGGTGGCGGGGTTGGCTAAGAACATGCGCAGCTTTGCGACTTGGATCGATTGTACTATTCGTCAAGAATCAGTAAACACGTCGCGTCAACTTATCATGAGCCTCTTAAATCTAGTTGACATCTGCCTGCTTCCGTTTAATTTCACGCCTGTCTCCGAATCCTACAACCAGACATTGCAGGAATTAAGATCTCTAATCAGCCTTACCCGATTCGAGCTCGAGATAGAAGAGACGGCGAATCTATGCGTGGCCACGATCGAGGAATTGACTTCGAGTGGGTCACTGGTAACCCGGCTTGATAAGGCTCTTGCCATGCTCGACTCAGCTCAGCTCAGCAAGCAAAAGGCTGCAAGGTCACTCGCTCATTTCGGCAGGCTGGCAGAACTCCTTTCTATTGAAAGGAGGTGCCGCGACCTAGAAACAAGAATCAAGACCACAACAGCTTTAACGACGGCTACCATCCTCAAAATTAAGACGGGATATGAACTTGACCCATCTGCAATTCTTACTTCAAAACAAGAATCCCCGATTTGGTATCAGCGAGAGTATTTCTTATGGTACCAGCGGCATCGCCACAACGCCCTCATCAATGCTCTTCAAAATATTCAAATCAACTGGGGTCCGATGACAAAAGAGGATATAAGGATGCAACTTCTTCGACGCCTACCTGACCCTGTTCTGTCGAGAAGGCTAGGGAATTCTGGGCACCCAGAGAACCTAGGTATAAGAGCATTGACGAGCTTTTATTTATCAGGCGTGACACACACCAATGGGCACCAAGATGTCTCTCATGGTAGGCCTATACACCAGCTCAAGCAAGAACTTGATGACATTGAAAACACGATCAGAGCTATACTATTCGCTCACCTCAGCGGCGATACTCAGAGAAAGCTTAGATTCCAGTATCCGAACTTCTACAAAATGCCTTTCAAGAAACTTTACAAGTACCAATTGCGGAGAAGCATCTTCAAGACGGTCTCTGGCATAGATGAGCATCAGTCCGGCATTATCAAACCACACGACCAAATAAAACCGGCAACCAGAGGCAGCGAGGGAGCATTGGGGATACCGAGAGATATACATCTAGGTATTGAAGAGGGGTTACATTTGGACCACCCAAGCACCAAGCTTCGCTCAGCGAGTTCATCTGAGTTGCGCGATGCTGGCGCCGCTTTCCCCCTGTCCGCGTTAGGATGAGGGGTGAGGGTTTAATTGGATCCTGGGGAAGCTTGGCACATAATCAAGGGAATCTTGAGCCAAACCTCTATCCCATCCCCTTGTATATAAAACAACTGTACTTACCTAGATCTGTATAGTTTAGTCATGGACTGATTTTATGCTCGCTCAGTTGCGGCATATTGTACCTATAAACGGCAACGGTCCCGGCCCCCGGTCCCGGTCCCGATACCGGATGATAAATAAGAACAACCAACCATTCGAGGTCTGTTTTTGTTTCGATTTCGGTACATACGTGTCTTCCTATCGTGCGGTATATGTATCTGCTATCCATCAGAACCGATTAGGATAGGTGATGTGCTTAAGTGCGTAAATAAGGTGTGTAGGTCTGAGGGATTATCCTCTAGAAGATACCTAGGTAGGTAGGTAGGTACTAACACCGAAACATGGAATGCGTGCATAAACATCTCATCGAATACCCGTAAGTGTGTAAATGGTTGTCCTACACGATAAGTTGAAAAGTGGTACGGTAGCATTGCATTGTCTACACCCTATGGATTATTATTCATATGTTTATTTTTCTTGGGTAGATAGGTAGTAGTTGTATGTAGGTACCTACATGTAGGTAGGATTGATTATGTACCTAGTTTATCTATAGAAGATGCCTGCGTCATGATGGAAAGAAAAAAAAAAGTATGGAGTTGAATCAATTCAGTATAGATGCATATATGTACCTATATGTATACTTATCTTAGATAGGTGTATGTCCACTATTTCTTTCCTAGGTACCTAAGGTATGGCGGAGCCTCTGTACTACATACATACCTCACTATATACATGGTACCTAATTCTCCCGTGAAGGCGCCGTTAGCAAGTACTTACAAGTATAAGCGGGGGCTGTAAGTGCGAATATATACTTTATAGGTACGGTACCTGAAAAGCACTAGTATATCGATGAATAGACTGGTGGGTGTCCTCGTAAGTCTTTCCGGTTAACCAATTAAATATCTCTATCTACATCACGTCTCTCCACGGCAAGGGTCTACTGGCCCCCCTTGAGATCCCACAACTCTACATACCTAGGTACATACGAACCAACAAGAAACTTAAATCATTCAACCTCACTGCCTCACCGCCCGGAAATGTAAAAAAGCGGAGCTTTTTAATGGTTTAATGGGTTGATCTAAAGCTTACTGCGTCACTAGAGACAGGACGAATGTACAACGAAGCTATTTAGTTGGTGGATTGGAGATGACAGGTTCAAAGAGTTTAAGGGTCCGGCTGTATTCTCTTCTTTCCCCTACCTCCAAGCTTCTCCCCAGACTCTACCATAAATAGGTACAGATACTGCAGATACTGCATAACACATCAACGTCGAGACGCTTTGCGGTGTAAAAGTTTACTAAGTAACACTAATCCTTACCTTACCCTACCTTACCTTCACTTCCCTACATAAGGTCCGGTGCTTGTCTTAAATCTTTGTTTTTATTGTTTCTATGTTCGCCACTCCTCCCTACATGAGAGAAATTGTCACTCTCGATTGTCAAATATTGAAGCTTGGTAAATGTCAATGGCTCTGAATATCTGCCTTCGACAGCAAGAGATTCAGTCGACAGGCTATTCATAATAACTACCGAGTCACGCAACATAATTCGTCTCATTTCGAACAACCCGAGCAACCGTTGCTATCTGAATAACCTGAAATCTTGTATATCAGCTGCTATTCTTCTTGAGCTGTTATTAATAAGTTGTCTAACTCAGAATCCTGAGTTGATGTAAGTCAGGCACTTTGGAGCATTGGCCATAATAGGATAATCACCAGCTAATTGACTAGATATCTTGTTTAACATCAGTCGCTCCACCGAGTGAATCACAGTCTTTTTCGCTACTTGGCCAGAGTCCACTTCCATTTAACTCGCTTTCCCATCTTTATTATACTGGGTTAAATTATATTCTTCATTATACATCATCTACCGATCAAAAAAAGACAGGCGCAAGATGAAGTTCGGAAGAAAGTAAGGATCACCAGCATATCTGAGAACATATTATAATTATTCGTCCAAGAGCTAACGCTTTTTTCTTTTTATAGTTTACCTCGTAACCAAGTCCCCGAGTGGGCATCCTCATACATCGATTACAAAGGCCTAAAGAAGTTGATCAAGGCAGCTACGAATGCTGTGAATGCGGGAGAGGACGTTGATCTAGCAGGTGGGCTAATTTCTCGACGCTACGTCGAAACCCGTTGCACCCCCTAACCTGATACCCACAGAGTTTTTCTTCGCTCTGGACCGTAACCTCGAAGATGTCGATTCCTTCTACAATAAGAAGTTTGCCGAGGCCCATCGCCGTATCAAGTTACTCGAGGATAGATATGGTAGGAGCCCGGAGGTCGTCGCAGAATTGGATGACCAGGAGAGCGAAGAGCTTATGGGAGCTCTGCTTGAGCTTCGAAATCAGTTACGCAACCTACAATGGTTTGGCGAAATCAATCGCAGAGGTTTCGTAAAGATCACAAAGAAGCTAGATAAGAAAGTACCGAACACGACTACTCAGCAACGATACATTACGACCAAGGTTGACCCTAAGCCTTTCGCTAAGGATACCACTGTTGTACGGCTGATTAACGAGATTAACAAGTGGCTCTCCGCGCTTGGAGATGCGCAGAATTTCGACGATGCCAAGTCGGATAAGTCTGGGCGCTCGGTGCGTTCGCTTGGAAGAGTAACTGCGAAGGTCATGTTAAACGTCTCGCAACCCGTTCTAGACCAGCTCGATGCCGCTATTCGTAAAGATGACATCGCAACACTACAGAGTAGCTTAGCAAGCGAGAAGTTGGTGACACCCGAACAGGCCTCGCAGGAGATGCTGCTTAACCTCTTGCAGCGTTCTATTTCCGCTCGGTCAAGGGCCTGCATCACACATCTCTTAGGGCAAATCAAGACATTGGACGAACCGGGAGACATAAATGAGCGCAATTGCGTTCACCGTCTAGTCATCCATATTGGACGGAGTAAATCATCACAAGTTGGCGATCTAGAACCCAACGCGGTCTCTCTTCCAATAAAGTCTCACTTTAATAGTCACTATGTAGCGCCACCCCAAACTAATGGCTCGACGGCGACACGATCGGTAAACGGAAATGGCCCTGGGACGCAGCTATTAAGCAAGGAAGACGAAACAGTACAGCTCCTGTGCTATCTTCTCGATTCCCTCCAAGGAGAGCAGCGCCGCGCGTTGCTAGCTAGGGACACACTGGGCCGTATGCCTCTTCATTATGCGGCGCAATTCGGCATTGTCGTTCTCTGCCAAGTCGTCATGGCGAAAATGCAGGAATGGGGTCAATTTAATGTCGAAGATGGAATTGATGCTCCTCAGTGGCAGGATAAAGAAGGCAATGCGCCACTTCATCTTGCAGTCATCGGTGGTCATCCATTGACTACGAAATGTCTCTTACAAGGAGAGAACTGGCAGGGACCGACTCATAAAGAAGGTGTTGCTAGGAAATCTGTGTCTAAATCCAGCGCCGTATTGGCATTGGCTACGAAATCCAATTTCGTATACATTGTGCGGATGCTTGTGGAGGCCGGTATAGATATAAACTGGCAAGACGAGACAGGAGAGACTGCGTTGCATATTGCTGCTAGGTTTGGACACGTCGAGTGTGTTAAGATCCTACTTGAGGGCTCACCCGAGCAAAAAGTAAACTTGGAATTGCCGGAGAAATCGTTTGCATGGACTCCTCTGCACATATCGGCCGTGGATGGACATCTTCCTGTGGCGCAACTACTAGTAGAAGCGGGAGCAGATGTTGGGAAAATGGATTCTTTCGGGTGGACTGCTAAAGAACACGCAGCTTTACGAGGACATCTGAACATAGCGAAGCTACTCGCGGAGCATGAAGTTAGCTCACTATCTGCGAATGGCGCGGATGATACTCAAGCACCGCCTTCGGTTTCGTCCTCGCCTCCAGAAACGTTATCTCTCGAAGACCGAAGGTCAGATGGGAGCACCCGGATCACGGAGCCAATTAAATCTTTTGGTCATCGTTATCTAAAAGATAACAGCCTTGTGATGGTGAGCTTAGGTTCCATGGACATGCGGAAGAATATCGAAGCTGTCAAACTCGACCGTGTTCCTTTAACGGCAGCGCATACCAATCAGCTTGACACGGCCCTATCCGTTGTGGTTTCAGCCCAGGGGGCGCAGGGAGAGCCAACTATCATTGATCTGCCAGTACACGAAAACATATCCACTGAGCCAATCTTGTTTACTACCTCGGATGCCTCAAATGTTAGGTTACTCTTCGACATCGTACCTACCTACTCTGGTAATGAGAAGAACAAGGTCGGCCGCGCGGTAGCGTTGTTATCATCTGTCCGTCCGTCACTTGGGACGAAGCGAATGAACCTTCAGGGCGATGTATGTGTACCAATCCTGGGCGCAAACCTGGAAGTTATCGGTGCTGTTAACTTTAACTTCCTCATCATCACGCCATTCTCGCATCCAAATATGGAAATCAATTCTCACCAAACGTATTGGAAGAAGTTGTCCTCTACTATGGTCTTCGGTCATCGTGGTCTTGGCAAGAATTTCCTCGAGAACAAATCGCTCCAGTTGGGCGAGAACACGGTTTCGTCATTCATCGCTGCGGCTAACTTGGGAGCTCATTATGTTGAATTCGATGTCCAGCTCACCAAAGACCACGTACCTGTCATATATCACGATTTCTTAGTGAGCGAGACAGGTATAGATGCGCCGGTTCATACATTGACTTTAGAGCAATTTCTCCATATCAACAATGAGTCTCATCCAGGACCTGGAAATGAAACCCCTGACAAAAAAAGGGATGATATTAATGGTAACGGTGTAAAAGAGCCGGGACCGAGGCAAAGATCTCTTTCTGTGGACTTGGCTAAAGGTGTGAAGAGCAATCTTGACGAGCGTATGAAATATACGCTCAACTTTAAAAAGAAGGGTTATAAGGCAAACACCAGAGGAAATTTTGTTCAAGCGCCGTTTGCCACCCTTGAGGAGCTCTTCAAGAAAGTACCAGAAAATGTCGGGTTCAATATTGAGATGAAGTACCCCATGCTACTCGAGAGCGAGAAAGAGGATATGGATACGTATGCGATTGAGCTCAATTCATTCTGCGACACCGTCTTGAATAAGGTGTACGACTTGACTAAGAATCGTCATATCATCTTCAGCAGTTTCAACCCCGACATCTGCCTGTGCCTCAGCTTTAAGCAACCGAGTATTCCGATTTTATTTTTGACAGATGCGGGGAGCGAAGAGGTCAGCGACATTAGAGCTAGCAGTCTTCAGGAGGCTATCCGATTCGCGAGCCGCTGGAATCTGCTGGGGATTGTGAGTAACGCGGAGTCGTTCGTGAACAGTCCCCGGCTGGTCAAGGTGGTGAAGCAGACTGGGTTGATCTGCGTCAGCTACGGAGTTCAGAACAATGATCCTACGTTAGTTCAGGTAAGTTATTCTACATAAAATTAAAACGAGTTAAGAGGCTAACAATCGTTTCACTATATAGCGCCAAGTTAAGGAAGGTATTGATGCGGTGATCGTAGATAACGTCCTTGCGATCCGTCGGGGGTTAACGAAGGATGACTGAGTATTACATACCTCTAGAACATACCTATAGAGAGAGAGAGAGAGAGAGAGAGAGAGAGAGAGCTAGACTCATTAGACCTAACAAGAATGAGTACCTAATATAAGAGATAAATTAGGATCATTTAGCCTTCAGTTAGGGACTCATTAATCTATCTTAGGCAGCTTAGCGATGACTCTGCTAGATATCAATAGATCCGCGGTGTGTTGAGTACCTTAAATACTCATGATATAATTCACTGGTAATGTGCTAGGTTGGTCTTTATATGGGCCGTTATTCATAAGTGAATGGTATAATGAATGGTGTATCCACTATCGTCGAAGCTAATTGCTAGAGGCATGGAGCGAAGTTGATTTTGACGTATCCACGTGGGTGATCCAACTGTGACGACATCTAGTGATAGCGATAAGCGATAGCCTTCTACCCACAGCTGAGCAAAATTGTTGAACCAAAATATGCACTTAAGCGCGTCCGGTTCTAAACTTTCGCCGAAGACCGGCCGATTGGTAAGGACAGCCAGCACCCAGCAACCTGCCGGTGATCACATCACCAACGCAAACCAAACCTGCAAGACATTCGCCGCAATTTTCCTTGAGTTTCTAATTCTAGTGACTACTACCAAGGCTTTGCAATTCCCGTTCGAGGAGAATGCGGCCTCCTTCCCAATCACCAATCAGAAGCTGATCGCTCTTCTCTTTCTTTAGATTCATTTCTATCTACTAGATTAGGTGAATTTACGCTGTGAATTGGTATTTTTTCTATTTATATTTCTATTTATTCTTAACCTCGCCGCCACTCTTTGCGCATATTACGTCTACCTATTCTTTGAATCCTTCAATGCGAGCAACTATCAAATAGCCAACACTGACTGACCAAGCGCATACTTGAGCCAAGTCGCCATGGCGTTTCAAACGTCAGCTCTGCCGAGCATCGCGGCGGCGACTACGGATTTATGGCCGTCAATATTAAAAACGTTGATGGTATCATTCCGAGCGCCGGCGCTGCCGCCTTTGAATCCAAAATTACCACGAACCCCAAAACTCGAATCAAATCATCAACAGGCGCATGCCCAGTCTAAGCCCTCTCCGGTTATTCCCAAGTTTGAACTTCCCGAGTTTCTTCGAAATGCCCAACACGATGCCCGTCTCATGCCCACCGCCTCTGTAAAGAATATTCCGGCTCCCTTCGATATTCGCTCCTCGATTTCGAGTATGCAGCGTACCGCGCTCATTGCAGCGAACCCGGTGGTGCATCGTCTATATCCACAATATTTATCGGTCCGCTCTATCTCGACGTCCACTACTCCACGTATATTCTCGAACCAGTTAACGAAGATGAATCTGCCCCAACGCCGATCTTTTCAGACTGGTGGTCTGTCTAGGAACTTGCTTGCCCATATGGAAGAGTCTGCCAACAGGAACCCAACTAGTGCCACCGCTCAAAACGCATTCTATCAGGCCCTCTTGAAAGCTAATATGCCCGCTATCATCATTGAGAGATATCAGTCTGGACGCTTTGCAACGAACGGTGCTGCAGCAGAAGCGTACCATAAAGCCTTGAATATGTTAACTCCGAATGGTGGCCAGGGAATTCAAGACGAGGATATCAACCAAACCGTTAAGAATCTACCCGGAGACCTAACTCCTACACAAGTCCAAGCTGTCACCCAGGCTCTAGCTGCTCGATCCCGCGGTAGCAACCTAGCCGTCTCCAAAGGCGGCCAGGCGACGGGTGGCAAGGATGGCCCACTTCACGTTGTCGTCGATGAGACCCTTGGTGGCAGTGTCTTTCGCTGGGTTAAATTTCTTCTCTGGTTCTGTCTCTTCACCTATCTCAGTTTAGTCGTTGTGACTATGCTTATCGATGCCTTGAGTGTTTTTAAACGTCCTGGCGGCAAAGTTGAAAGTGAGGTCAAAGCGGAACATCAGAAGACTCGATTCTCAGATGTGCACGGTGCTGACGAAGCTAAGGAGGAATTGCAGGAAATGGTCGACTTTCTGCGCAACCCCGACAAGTTCTCCCAACTAGGCGGTAAACTCCCTAAAGGTATTCTGCTGGTAGGTCCTCCTGGTACTGGAAAAACACTTCTCGCGAGGGCAGTCGCTGGCGAGGCTGGTGTTCCGTTCTTCTACATGTCCGGTAGCGAATTCGATGAGGTTTATGTTGGCGTTGGTGCGAAGAGAGTCCGAGATCTCTTTGCCGCTGCCAAATCTAAGTCGCCTGCTATAGTCTTCATTGACGAACTTGATGCCATAGGCGGCCGTCGAAATGCGCGCGACGCAGCATATGTGAAGCAGACTCTGAACCAACTCCTTACTGAACTCGACGGATTCGATCAGACCAGCGGTGTTATTATCATCGGTGCTACTAATTTCCCAGAGTTACTCGACAAGGCCCTTACACGACCAGGTCGTTTCGACCGTCATGTCGTTGTTGACCTGCCTGACGTCCGTGGTCGTCTTGCCATCCTTAAGTACCACTCCCAGAAAATCAAAGCTGCTAAGGATGTCGATCTCCAAGCTATCGCCTTAGGTACTTCTGGACTTTCCGGCGCCGAGCTCGAAAATATTGTTAACCAGGCCGCTGTTCACGCAAGCAAGGCGAAGGCGGCCTCAGTTAGGAAAGAAGATTTCGATTGGGCTAAGGACAGAGTCATCATGGGCGCCGAGCGAAAGACAATGGTTATAAGCGCCGAGGAGAAAGAAATGACAGCTTATCACGAGGCTGGTCACGCGCTTGTCAACCTATTGACCAAGGGTTCTGGCTCAAGCTTGTACAAAGTCACCGTCCTACCTCGCGCACACTCACTAGGCCACACGGCCTCTTTACCAGAAATGGACAAATATTCTTACACTATAAGCAATTATCTAGCCCGGATAGAGATGTGTCTAGGAGGTAAACTGGCTGAAGAGATTGTCTATGGAGTTAACCAAGTTACTAGTGGCGCGTCATCGGTAAGAGTGCACCCTACGTTTACTTTTTCATATTTGAGTATGGATTTGTACTAATAATATCTATTTAGGATCTCCAAGCAGCAACCGCTGTCGCCTTCGACATGGTCGCAAGCTTGGGCATGTCTTCCAAGCTCGGAAATATGGAGTACAGGAGCCGATACGACTCCCTGAGCAGCGAAACCAGAGCTCAAGTCGAATCTGAAGTCCAACGCACACTGAACGAAGCTTACGAGCGAGCTCGGAAACTGCTGATGGATCATCGCAAGGAACTTGACCTCCTAGCTAAGGCGTTAGTCGAGTACGAGACGCTGAGCAAAGAGGAAGTTGAGAAAGTTATCCGTGGTGAACGGTTACCTAACCGTATAGCCGTTCCGAAAGGCCCTATGACCATCCCGTCGTCCGCCAAGCCTCCAGCCCCAGGCGAACTGGCACCCCCTGCTCCGGGAGGGGATGACGGCCCACCCCCGCCGCCGGTTCCGCCAGCACCGGGCGGACTCGCCCCGAAAACTCTCCCTCAGGATGGTTCAAGCGAGAAACGGGATAGCTAATCTAGTGTTTATTAGTAGTTTATCTATATTATCATACCTCGATGCCCAGCTTCCGTCGAAGATGAGATAGGGAAGCCGGCGGCTAGCTATAACCATGCATAGTGGCGAGTGTGCCGAGCTCAGGATTGTGTTAGGTGGCATTGCCATGTAAGCACTATCTGTGCACAGCGCAGCTGATATGACAAGCGCAGAGAAAGCGAGAAGGGAGGGGAACACCACTTGAAGCGTTAGCTATAGCCTATAGCCCACTCATGTAAGATGATCGAGGTCCGCAGAGGCGGTCGGGTGTCTGTATTAGCGCGTCTTATAGGGTATCACCACTATACTATTGCCTACCGTTATTGTGAATAATCGAAGGAGGCAGTTAACAGTTAGGTCTATCTTTTTCTTGCGTATGTGTATTATGTTACCCTTTGAAAATAGAAATAAGATCATACATGTAGACAAGTGTTACAGATAAAGAAAAAGGCTCGAAAAAAAAATTTCTCGAAAAGAGAAATATCGTACGAAATTGTTATTATATTAGTTACCAAAGGAACGTTGTATGCATTTGATTGCTTGCCCACTGAGACAATTCGACATATACTAGTTAGTGAATGAATACATTTATACTCGAACTATTACGTTGGTGATCTTCATACGAGATTATTTACCAAGATAGTTGGCTGTTTGCTAATGTGAGAATTTAGGGATAGAAGTTTCGACCTCTTCATTCCTCGTTTATATATAAGACTATAGCAGGCAATCTGTAATACAACTATTGCAATATAAAGGAAGCCAGCCGGAAGAAAAATGAACAGAGACAGATAAGATAGATTGGATTAAAAAAAGATTTAAAACGTACAACACCAGGGATTCGCTGGTCGTCACCGACCCAACTACTAATCCGGCAATATCTAGCTTGTCTAGGGGAGAGCGGACGGGATCCCGAATTTTCTAGATCTTATGGTCGTACGTGATGTCTTGTTGTGTCGTTAGGGCTTATATTACTTCCTTGGTTGTCCTACGTATATCTGTAAGTCGGTCCACCTCTATCCGTCCTTTTTCTAACACTTATACCACTACTCTTATTCGGGACTCTTTATAATTGGTGCAGCTGTAGAAAGTATCACAAGATTGCTCAGCAAAAACTTCTTCTCGTTGGAGTTGGCCACCTCGTAACGGTATATGGGACTTTCAAGCCCGGCTCATTCGACCGCGAGAGCAATGTCTCGTGCGTAATGAATTATTGTTATCGTATTAAGGGTAGTTTTACCTGGTATTCCAATTAGAGTACTGAAAGTAATATTACTCGGATAGCAGACATGGCTGCGGGCGACCTTTAGAACTACATGGAAATTATTCTCGGTCTGTAATGTTTTGGTTAATAATGTGCAGATGCTAGTAAAGCATAAACCTCGAACCATTCCGGCGATCTTATTTAAGGCTGTATTGGAATTGGAGTAAGAACTAAGAAGGTATCCCTTGATCTTGATCTTGATGGGAGTTTCCTTAACCTGTGTTATCCGGTAGCTTTATTGTCATTACTAAGCATTCTGAGCACCGGGGGGGGGGGGGGGGGGGGAGAGAGAGAGAGAGAGAGAGAGATGGGTGTCTACTCTGATTTCAAGGTCTGTACACTTACATGCAGTGCAGTTTCTCTCAGTAGAAAAGCCCTTGAACGCTGTTGCTGTTACTTTCCATTTCTGCAGTTCTAATGTAAGTAGTTGCGTTTAGGGGTAAGATATGTAGCACTTTCCTCTCCCAAACCCATGTGAAGCCCTTTAAGCTACACTAGACATATCATCATACGCGCTACTGCAGAAAGCAATAATTAATTTGGTTAATTCAATTTAGAGTTATTAAGTTGGCGAGCATGTTAAGTGAGTTTAGGTTCGGTTCCTACATATTGGCGTCAATGGTCTCTCGCATGTAGCTCATTCTCAACCGTCACACAAGCTACCTTGTTTTTAAGTTCAAGTAAGAAGCTACAAACGTGTTACTATACAATCGTTTCTTGTTATGTAACACTTCCAGGTTTATATACATAAGGCTATGGTGCTTCTTACTGGCTTTAAGGATTAGCTTCGTATTAGGTTTCAACTACTTTTTTTTACAGGAAGGGTCGATCTATACCTACCCATACCTACCCATACCTAAGTCTTCTGATCTGCTACTTGACTAGAGTAAGATTAACTAACACGACCCCGTGGAACCTTCCAAACGTGATTCCATCGTTAAGTGCTTCCTTAGGCCGGTGACGGGGAGTTGCCGGAGCTCGTAGGACCCGGGGGGTAAGCGGTGTTGTGGGTGACCTATGAATGTGATACTTGAACACTATGGAGATCAATACATATATAAGAACTAGGTACTTAAAAGATAAGACTACGAATATAACACTAGCAGGAAATATAATTATGAAGTTGAAGTCTTATTGAGGTATTTTTCATAACTATTCAGAACCGTAACCAGTACGAAGCGAATACCCAACAAAGACACACGAAGATCCTCATACTTAAAGTGATACATAGGAATAACTTCAAGACACGAATATATATAGCAAACAGATTATCTATAAATTTTATCTATTTGGTGAGAACTGATATTCATTTCCTTTTACAAACGTATTAAAAAACATGTCTTCTCCGCAACAATATACAGTGTGTCAATAGTAACTAATTCACTGTTGAGGCAGTTAGCCGCCACTATGGTCGGATAGGTAGATATCTGAATATCTAAACAGTCGTATACATATACAGAAGTTTTAACGGGTAGGTTCAAAGTTACGGATTATTCTAGGGGTTTTAACAGTGATCAGAGTTCTGCGGCTAGATAGCTAGACAGATAATTCATCTATGGCAATTTACCTCCTGTTTGTTATCTAAATTATATGCAAGATCGTACTTATGATTTGAGGTACGTTCAAGGGTTAAATATAAGTTGCTGTCAGTCTAAATTTTTGGGATCTTGCGGCTTGTCTAGAGCGAGTATTAGTATGTCTACTAGTAGTGAAACGGAAAGGCTTCGTTTCTAACTATAGAGGATGCGTATCATTGATAGGAAGACTAAGAGATAAGAAAGGAGAGCATCCATGGGAGTTCAACATAATATTTGCTAAAGACATAGATGGCCTCTACTTATTAGAAAGCTATATGTATTACAGAATATATAAATGCCATATCATTATCATGAACCGAGTGTATAATGGACTGCATTTGTTCTTACAAAACGGCAAGTAAGCGTCCTCTAGGCGATTTGGCTACTAGTTCAACTTCTTCGTCTCTCACCCAACCGAATAAACCAAATAACCGGTCCAACTAAGTCATCCGTATCTCTAGGTAGTCACAAAGAAGAACTCGCCACTCGTCTATAGGTTACATAAGTAACTAATGTCTCCGCTGTAAATCTTTCTACGATACTAACCATAATTTCGTATTGTTAGATGGAGCATTAAGCAACAATCAAAAGTTTCATACGCGTCCTTGCGGCAAAGGTCATACTAGCAAGTAACCAATCCAATTCAGTCAAGCCCCATCCATGTACATGTCGCGAGTAAGTAGGTAGATGAGCACCGGCATCAGGGGATAGGGGTAGCTAATATGCTGACTCGGCATAGCAGGCTCAGCTAAGTACTAGGTGTAAGTGCGAAGGGGAATAGTGTGAGCGACTCCTAAGTTCACCGCGTATTCGTCTTTGAGGCTTCCCTGGATGGTTTACCAGATTCGTCGGTGCCGTAGGGGAATGGAAATGACAATATTCCGCCCTTACATATGGAAGTTCCACTTATCCCCTTTTCCTCTGTCGACCTTAATAGGAACTTTCATACCAAAAAGGCACCCCTGGTCAGTTAGTTGACTACCTAAAGTAGTCATCGTCTTACCTATTCCGAGCGCCCCTCTTGGCGGAGATTTTACGAAGTATTCCTGGATAATATGTAAGCGATATCAACCCAATCCAAGAGTGTGCTTGGGTCGCTTATACGGTTATGAATGCCCAACCAATGGAGAGCGACAAGGTGTACAAGGCTTACTACAGAATGTATAGAGGATCTCAAGCATCAAGTACTCAACGTGGGCATCCGAGGATGCTGGGCGTACGGTCAGTGCGAAATTTGACACCTGGCTATCACAAGGTCATTGTATGAAAGCGTAAAGGTAGCCTAGCGGTCAAAATGGATAGCGGTCTTCCCGACGGTGGACCATGTCTCACGATGATGTTTATCTATCTAACCGTACATAAAATCATAAAAGTTGTGATATATCCTCTGAATGTGGCATTGCTAAACATTAAGGGTTGGACCTAGTGAAGTACCGTTGCCCTATGCAGCACTCTTGAACTTAGCGGTGTGTCTACATACTGAGGCTTCTAGAGTATTAACTACCGTACTTACCATACTACATCATTACTAGGCTATTTTCTTCCTTGTAAAGGCCCACTCGACCTAGGATGCGCATAATAGATGCAATTTCTACTAGCTTCTAGTGTTATTCGCGTTGAAGACCTTAAAAGACCTTGACAAAATAAGGCGGCTCAATGCCCTCAACTATCCACTTATTCAATGAGACCTACCATATTAGATTAGTCTGTACCATACTTTAGATACCTGGTATTCGGTTTAATCCGTTCCATCTACCACCGCGTATCCCGAGTCCTTGGACGTGGTATGTCGTATGTCGTCAACCGTCTTAGCCGTAGATACAAGGGCACCTTGTAACGTCGGCTCCGAGTTGCCACGTTTTAGATACGACGGCCCCAGTACCGGACTCCCGGGTAGAATAAGGGAGACGCCCAGAAAAGTACCCAGATGAATACCAATCCCTTACGTTTCCGCCACTTACCTGGCCACAAGAAAGAATCAAAATAGAAGAAAAAAGAAAAGCGAGACAATCTTACACTATGCCGGTATGTCGAAAAAATTGTGGATGTATAGATGAGTATACGTATCTTCCCGACCCTGACACGCATTATTGTGTTACACCTACCCAAGTACCTTGTAAGAATATTGGATATGACAAACAACG